CTCCTTTTCTTTTTCTTTTTTTTTTCTGTTTTGCTTTCAAATTTAATCTGGGGTTGATTAGAATGTTAAGAGAGTAATAAAACGTGAAAGAAAAAGTGATAAGACAATGAGATAACGAATGATTTCTTTGAAACAAATATTAGGAAAGAGAGTAGCCGTATGCGAGAAGATAGAAATAGAGCAATGATTTGTGAAAAATAAAAAAAAAATAGATCTACCTGTAGTATCCTTAGTTTTTTCTGTTGGGATACTGGCTGCATCAGATAGACCATGGAGTCCACAGATGAACACCATGCACAAGAATATTAACGTTGGACTTTTCATCGTTAGAAGAAATAATATTATCTTTCAATTCTTATGCTCTTCGATTATCCGTTCACAGATAAATTATAACATAAATTTAATTAAAGTAAAATTTGGCCTGGTGAAAAATCACAAAATTGAAAAATTAAAAAATTCAAATTAAATTTGAAAAATTAAAGAAATAAAAATGTTATGTTTGAGTGCACAAATTATATTTCGGAAAATTTACTTTTTACTTACTGTTCGTTATTGAAAAAGTTCAACGAAAACGTAGCAACGCTTTTGTTCAACGCGAGTTCGAAGGAATTTGCGAATATTTTCATGTGCGCTTAATACTTATATAAAAAAACGCTACCATTTCTTATCCACTTCTTATCGTTAAAAATGTTAAAAAAATTATTCTTGAAAGTATGGTTAAAGAACTAATTAATACACATATACTATGAAAAATCGTCGAAGTATGTAGGAAAAAAGAAAAATGTAGTAACTATTTGAATATTCATTGAATTCATTCGTCATCTAACACTTGCATTATGTTACCTTATCGTATATCTATTTCTTTCCCTCCATTTTTTTCTTTCTTTTTTTTTCACCATAAAATAAATAATTAATCGCGGCGTATCAACGACAGTTTAAGAGTTTATATATTTATATATATTTTAAATCTATTTTATATTAAAATATATAAAATATAAAATATACATGTATATATATATATATATACATGTGTTTTTATATGTAAACATATATATGTATTTGTATATATTCCTATGTAAACTTGTATACAATTAAAATTAACGACTAAACGTACTTCAACATCATTAGAAAGTGTCAAAGTCAAAAAGTTCGTAAGTATTAGTCATCTGACTCATTACTTTTGATAATAAAAAGGAACAAATATATAGGATGATACTTAAGTAAGACAACATAAATGTCTCTTCGGCTTATTATAATCAAAATGTAAAAAATATTTTTTTTAAATAATGTGCATGGTACCAAAGAACAATTTTCGAATTCAAACCTTCGGCAATCTTCGGGTACCTTCGAAAATTTTCAATTATCTTCGGCAATCTTCACCCCAGATATTAGTTCTTTGACCCCATGCAAATCACCTAAAAAATATTTTGCATCACAATAAGCCGAAGATATTTATGTGGCCTTATATAAATGTACCACCCTATATATTATGTATATGTGAATAGAATTTATGTAAATATTTAAATATCATTAGACTAAAAAACTCGATGATTAAACTCATTGTAGACAAATTATATATTACGAAATATAGTAAGTAGTCTTTTATCTATCCTTTTATCAGTTAATGTATCATGACTATTACAATATTTTATCAAAATGTATTGACATTCTATTTTTTTTGCAATGAATATTGCTCGAAGCTATTAGTCATTTTACTATATTAACTATAAATAATTAACATCGAAACGACAAACGACTTTTACATCTCATGGACGTCGATTATTAGAAAAAATATGTGTTCTTCACTTTTTTTTTTATAATTATAATATATATAATGAATTCGTAATAATATCTATTAAAAAAGGTTAATTATATCTAACAAAGTTTTTACCTGAATCAGTAATTATGATTCTAAATATTTATTTAATAATTATTTCAGACTTTTCTTTAGAACATTTTAACTTTGTCATTTGATTTGTTTTCTTTAATAACATTGTGATTATAACTATGGCCAACTATAACGAAATAGGAAAAGATTCGAAAGAACGTATTACTTATAAATGACAAACAATCGTATTCGAAAAAGATTTTGATGTCTCTGTTATTTAATCTTCATCATGTGTTACTCAGTGCTACATGTCATTAATATTCTGGAATTAAAACAAACACTATCAATTCGGTTATTATTACATCAATTAGTAACAGCGTAAATATAAGATAAATATCAAGTAATAAGCTAATGTTGGTTTTTTCTGATTGGTTCACAGTGCAAGACACTGATTGGTCCTTAATACAGATCATTGATTGGTCGATATTGTAAGACACTGATTGGTTCTTATTGTGAGATACTGATTGGTTCTTATTTCATTACATCCATTGGTCCAATAGATTTAACCAATAAAAATATAGAATTTCATTCTAGCTTCTAAAGAACAAGAGAATAATTTGATAAAATTAATATTATTGTTGATTCATTATATATTTCATATTTTTAGATTTTCCAAAAGAATGTAACAGATTGTAAATTGCCAAAATTATGGATGATACCCCCACTCTTTGATACTTTATAACAAAAAGGTTAAGTTAGGCTTGAGTAGCAGATACAAGCAGAGACATCACGAAATTTTAAGACACTGACACTAAAGGTATTAGATTGTATTAAATACTATACTGAAAACGGTGGTACTATACACCATATCAAACGATAACGAATGAAAAGTTTATCTATAAGACAAAAATATTTTTTGCGAGGAACTACTGCGTCTCAAATAACGGTTCGAAGTTATAGATCGGTGTACGTGTCTCTGTCTGTCTTCTCCCCTCCTTTTTTTTTTCTCATTTCTCTTCGTTTTCCATATTAATTTTATGCACTTATTTACAAATCTTCGTAATATTGTTAAATATTGTTATATAAAAGAAAAAAAATTACGATTTTCATTTGCGAGTTGATGAGAAAGATTTTTCGGATGTTGAAGAAATCTTTGATATACCGATTTAGTTATAACAACACATTCACATAGATACACTAACCGGATTTTTATTTAATTAAAATTCCTTCATTATTTCTTCTATGCATTACGTCTTCTACACGACGATGAATTGACATAAAACGCAAAACTTCTCAATGGTCGATATTTTATTGAATTAATTCTATTCTATTTAATAATTATTATACGTTTATATCTTAAATATTCATTTTATATTAATCGTTAAATTTGTTAACTTCTTTTTCAGATCAACATATTTCTTTGACAAGTAATGGCTGTCAAAGGATTAGTTGCTGCGATAGTTCAATTTCTGACCCATCAGTTGGAGGATGGGGATATTACAGCAGATTCGCGTGAAAGTCTTGAAGTAGCGATTCAATGTTTAGAAACAGCGTATAGCGTACAAGCTAGTGATACTCCTGCAAAATTTAATTTGTATGAAGTTTACAAGGCTGCTGTAGAAAATGCTAAGCCAGACCTTGGTCCAGAAGCTACGCCAGAGGCAAAAGCTGAAGCTGAAAGATATAAGAATGAGGGTAATGCTCTGGTAAAAGCAGAAAAACTTGAAGAAGCCATTAACAATTATACCAAGTATGTTATATTAATTAATACAATTGATTATTCCATTATTATATCATATATATTAAATTATACAATTTAATATTATCTTTAGGGCAATTGAATTGAACGCACATAATGCAGTTTATTATTGCAATCGAGCTGCAGTCTACAGCAAACTTGGAAATCACCATCAAGCTATTAAAGATTGTCATACTGCATTATCGATCGATCCTATGTATAGTAAAGCATACGGACGTTTAGGCTTGGCGTACTCGAGTTTAGAGAGGCACAAAGAAGCCAAGGAAAGTTATCAAAAGGCTTTGGAGATGGAACCGGATAATGAAAGTCATAGAAACAATTTGCAACTAGCAGAAGAGAAATTGGCTCGGCAATGTGTTTGTAATATGGGATTGGGAGGAACAACAGGATCAGATTTAAGTGCTATGTATAATAATCCTCCTCTAATGAATATGATAGAGCAAATATTATCAAATCCAGCTATGCAGGATGTAATAAACAATCTCATCTCCAGGACGAACGTTGAACATAGAGAACGGCGTATGGAAGCATTAATTGAAGCGTAAATTTAACTTAGACCTATCTGTTCTTAACAAGAAGAAATTATTAATTAATTTTATTATTTTTACCTTTATAGGGGATTACAATTAGTACAGGAAATGCAGAGTGAAAATCTAGATTTATTGATGGATACTATAAGAAGACAAATGGGAGGAAACCCTAATGATCCTGATCCACCGCAACATAATTAAAATAAGCCTATGTTTTAGAAACAACAACCTAAGATTGAAATAAGCAAGGTTGATTTTAATGTGAAAAAATTTTAAGACAGTGGAGTCATTTTTTTTTTTTTTTTTATTAAACTGCAAAGTACATATCAATACTTTGCTTAATTCAGTTAAAACTGTCTTATTTAAAATGAATATTTATACGCATACAAATAATCATGTCTATGGTCATATATAATACTTAAGAATTCTTCTCTTTAACTTAGAAGTTGAATAAATGTAAGATATTGTCTTCTGAAACTCTGTATATTCCATTTTTAATGTTTTATCGAAATTAAAAACGTTCAATAACATAAAACAGATGTAAAATACTATACATACTTACAAAGGCTGAGGTTAATATAAAAAAAAATTTTCTTATAATTCTCTAATCATCAAAAAATGATTCATTCTTTGCATAATGGAAAAGTTATGTTTTCTTTCTGATTTGTGTCAATAATCGTATTTATCATTAACACGTTTATATATCGTTTCAAATTATATACATATATACTATTAACTATTATATTTCATTATTATTACTATTACTGTATTGTAATTGCTATTCCAATATAATGATCAAAGATTTAATTAATTGAAAAATTTGAGTAATTACGTACGTACTTGTGAATTCTTTCTTAGCATATCAAACCATAAATACTTGATAAAATTCTTCATTGTCCCTAAATAGTTAATTCATATATTAGAATAATGAGAAACCTAAATAACATGAGTATATAATGACAAGTGGATTCCAAATTTCTCATAATCTTCTTGAAAATCATAATTATCTTGAAGACATCTATAAAGACGTCTTAAGTTCTAAGCTATTAGATATCAAAATAGTGTAATTTTTCAATTATGTTTAACTCTAGTATGGTATATTAGTCCAAAGTATTACTTCGTGTCACGTTATTTGCTATTATGTAATATTATTCATTCTAAAAATATTTATTAACTAAATGAAAAAAATTAAAATTTTCTATCGTGTGTGAAGTATTTTAATATATTTTTTCAATTATTTTTATAAATACATGAGTGTTATTTGGTAAGGAATCATTTAGTTCTCATAATACTCGATAGGAGGTACTAAAGATCAATATAGTATGACATGATTAAATTCAGTTTACTAAAAAAAAAAAAATCATAATTAATTTGTTAAAATAAATAATCTGATATCTTAAAAAAAAAATTATTTAATTTCAAATGTTAAAATGAAAATATAAATTTCTATATTATCGACATAGCATTTACAACGGTCTTTTTCATTTTAAATATTTTGTTAAAGTTTTTGAACATTTTAAATAGTATATATTTCGAACATCGTAATCACTGAATTAGTAAAATAAAACAAAATTATTAAACAATTTAATTCATTAGGAAATATTAGACACGATCGAGATAGAAATTTAAGAAGGCATGATAGTTAAACATTATTTTAACTTATCAAGCAATTTCGTTTATTTTGGTACTCGATAAAGTTGAATAATTTTATGTTACAGTATTGAGCCAGTTTGTGTAAAACTGTAATAGTAGTAGTAATAATAATGATAATATAATAGTAATAATTATAATATAACTTTTCTTTTTTTTCCCTAAGTAATCTAACACAATATACTATCAGTAGATGATATACTATTTAGTACCTAACAAACGTAAACAAATTAAACAAAGTAGCATTAGGACCATGCATTTAGGATCATCTTATTGTAACTATAGGATCACGTATTATTTCAATCATACATTGAATAATACAATGCACGAATGATCCTTAGAAAGAGTAATAACGCGCGTGACTCGGTGTTATAGAGAAATGGCTCGATCTAACCACCACATATGCACAGTAATTTAATGCCATTTTAAGTGCTCGATTGGACTGACTGACTCTTTCTCTCTCTTTCTCTCTTTCTCTTTCTCTCTCTCTCTCTCTCTCTCTCTCTCTCTCTCTCTCTCTCTCTCTCTCTCTCTCTCTCTCTCTCTCTCTCTCTCTCTCTCTCTCTCTCTCTCTCTCTCTCTCTCTCTCTCTCTCTCTCTCTCTCTCTCTCTCTCTCTCTCTCCCTCTTTCTCTTCGGATTATATGAAATAGTTATATTACTGATGTTTCTGTAAATATTTAAATTAATCATTCGTATGTAATATTATAATTGGCTGATATGATTTTTCTAATTAAATAAAACATATTTGAAAGAATAAACGAAAGTGACGTTAAAATAGTGCTTATATATCCTACTTACAAATTATTGCGATTAAAGATAGAAACAATTTGTAAATGTCTTCTGAAAATACAAATTGGCTTTTGAAGTTGTTTCTTTGAATTGAAATATACATAATAAAAAGTCACGCTATAACGAGTGTCTTTCGTTTTGCAAGATTTCTATTTTCAACGAAGTCTTGACGATATATTGCTTTTGAAACAGTTACTCTCAGCGCGTATATTGTTTATACTTACGTAGGAAATTTCATTCTTCCGTCATACAAAACTTCTCTATATGCCAATAGTAAAAGTATAATCATACGCGTACACATCATGGAGTAGTAACTCTGATAATAACGATTAAAATGATGCGAATATAATTTTTTTTTTCTTTTTCTTTTTTTTTTTTTTTTTTTTTTTTTTTTTTTCATTATCCAAGAAGTATTTAGTCTCTCTACCGGCGACAACATTCTAGCTGAAATACCATCCCATTTTCAATAAAATCTTACAACATTTCTTTTTTATAAATCGATCGTTCTCGTGTTATTGACATGATCGAATGTATACTGGTCTCACACTGACTTATCAGCAAGATACAATTATTGTCAACTACAGTCGAGTCCTGAGTACTCCCAATTTTCTTTCTCGATACAATTTATTAATAATAAACATATTAAATTTCATATAAAAAAAGAAAGAAAAAAAGAAAGAAAGAAAGAGAGAAAAGAAAAAAAGAAACAAAAGATCGAACGATTTGACTGTTTGTGCATTCGCCTTGAAACTAACGTAACAATAGCAAAGTGCAAATACATCAATCGTGATGTGTTATCTCGATCTTATATAAAAAGTGTAAAAAAACATAGATAATCATTTAAATCCGCGAGCTACGTAACAATATCCAATATGTCATCTCGTTATTTATAAAAAACATATTTTAGAAATAACGAGTTAACTCGTTTGCAAAACTTAATAGATACATATGTACATGACACTTCAAATTAACAATCAATCAGGGCTCCAACACCTACAGTAATAAATCAGTGTGATATATCCAACGAGGCTCGTTATACTTATTTAACCAAAAGTACTAATATTATAGGATGAATTTGAATAATAATAATAATAATTAATAATAATAATAAAAAGAATAATAATAATAATAAATTCAAGCAACAACTGGTTCGGGACTACACGGTTGAAGTTCCGGTTCGTTTTGCGATTCAGCCGTATTGGAGTTGCTCGAAGCAGATGCTGTTGTAGCACTTGCATCATGATTTGAAATAGGATCGGGTGTCATAGCAGCCCACTGTGGAGCATGCGGTGCTGCACGTGCTTCCCGTCTAGCTTTTCTTTTAGTACGACGTTGTTCCATGACTAAACGCAGACGCCGCATTTTTCCCTTAGTAGCTTCGTTTTCTTTCGATAATTCTTCTACACAATGAAATATAAAATCACACAGGTGTATATATGTACAGCATATATATATATATATATATATATATATATATATATATATATATATATACCTGTGCATAAATTGACAAATATTTTCTTTTCTTTAAATATTTCATTTCACATACCCAAAGAATGTCCTGATGTGTTTGAATCATGACAGCCTACACCAACAGAAGTTCCAGTTCCTGAAGTTGGTGCTCCATTAGATGAAGAAGGGCATTGTTGACGGCTATTCGAATGCCTATGATGATGCCTATAATGTCCTGCTGTAGCGGCAGGTGTAGCGCATAACAAATCATTTAAAATATGAATAATAGTACTAATATCTCGTTTGGGACGACCATGTCGATCCTGAAGCGCTGGATTAATGGTCCCACTGAAGGTTCCAGAATATACTCCCTTCCCATGATGATGCATACTCTCTATCATCGCTCCTTGCCTGTGTCTCGCATTTTCCTACATATAACACAAGTTAAAGTAATGATTAATCTCATTGTTTTCTTGTCTTTTAAATTAAAAAATTAAAATATTGAAGTTAAATATAAGATATTAAAAATATTATACTCTAGAGCATGCCTTTTCAAAATAAGATCCAAGATAAAGTTTGAAAAAGCTATAATAAAAACTATAATTGATTGATAAATTGAAGCTCTTTTAATAATTCATATATAATACCATATAAATATAAATATTATAAGTATACACAGGGAGAACTGGCATCGGTAATAATGTATACCTCTGCGAGGTCGACCCGCGAGGTGAATACCTCAGAGGAGAGCTGCTTCAGTTTCTGCGTCAAATTACGGGATGCCTCGGCTAACGCTCGGGTGTCTAGGGCGAGCTTGGCACTTTTGTCCATGAGGGAGGGTAGAGGAGAAGTCTGCGTCGTGATATCCGTGCCATCCTCTCCGTTTCTCTTCGATGTTTCGAGCGTCGATTGATGCACGTGATGAGCGGTGCAAAGCTTTTTGCTCGCTGGCGTCGTAGAGTCGTACGACGAGGAGGTTGACTCAGAGCAAGTGTAATTGATGGAGGTAGATTGTTGCAAATGGTCGATGGAAATGGTCGAGGATGAGGTAGTAGTAGTAGTAGTGGTAGCAACAGCGGCAGCAGTAGCAGCAGCAGCAGCAGCGGCGGCAGCTGCAGCGGTGGCGGCGGCAGTGGCAGCGTTAGTGGCAGCGGCAGCAGCAGCGGCTGCGGCTGCGGCTGCGGCGGCGGCGGCGGCGGCAGTAGTAGTGGAGCAGGTGGTTGAAGAAGAGGAGATGGTGCCGGAGGGTGAGGAGAGAGATGAGGGTGAGGCGAGAGATGAGGGTAGAGAGGAGGAGGAGGAAGAAGAAGAAGAGGAAAAAGAAAAAGAAGAGGGAGAGGACGTTGAAGGGGAGGGAGAAGTACAGGACGAGGTACAAGTTGGCTTATACCTCGAATGATGGCGGTGATGGTGGTGGTGATGATGATGATGATGATTGTGGTAACGATGATGATGATAGAGAAGTCGAGACTGGCACATACTCGAACAGTTGGTAGCCGAAAACGCAGTGGTAGCGCGACTAGAACAGACTGAACTTGTCGTTTTGGTCGCTGTCGATAAACTTGTGCTGCAGCTCGCCGCAGCATGTAAAGCCGATGCCAAACGGCTTACGAGGGAGGACGTACGGGCTGCTGCGCTTCCTCGTTGAAGTTTCGCCGTAGAACTCGCTGTAGAACGTGCCGCCAACACCGTTGATCGCCTACTTTGAAGTGAGGGCGAAACGTGATTCGTCGAAAGATTCGGTCCGTTTCCACCGCCGTTGTTTCCGCCGACGGTCAAGCTAGTAGTACCGCTGCCGTTCGTTTGATTGCTACCTGGTAAAGGCACTCTCACCGTCGATAACTGCAGTTGAATCAGCATCATGTGATCGCCCAACCGCATCGTCAGATTTAGAGGTGCCTTTCCAGACAAGAAGTCGTTCACCTGCGAGTCATTTAAACTCTCCAATGCTTGCATTACGCTTTGCTCTGGGCGCTGTGCCTAAAAAACAAATATGTTTTTTAAATGTTACCAAACGTTTCACATATGTCCTTTCTCCGCAATATTCACATATATCCATTTTATCCATTTACAATTTTTCGTAGGGTCCATAGGAAAAATAAAAAAAAAAAAAGAAGATAATATAACTCGATATAGAAGGGAAAGGATGAGGATCGAATAAAAGAAAGATGATCGAACAAATCGATGAAACAAAGCAACGGCAGAAGATGAAAACAAGAAGACCTGCAGAAGGAAGGAAACCTCGTCGCATCGAAGCTCAGAGACCCTCGATGGTTCGTCTAGTCATCCCTCGGCACACCTAACGGACTTCTTTCTCACATTGACGGCTATCGCGTATTTGGTATAACTTGATTTGTATATACGCTTTAAGAATCTATATTAAACACTTTAACCCGAATGTTTTTATTCTCTGTTTCTTTATCAGTTTGAAGTAACATAAATAAATAATTAATACTCTTATAATTAATACTCTTCGGAGATGATATTTCTTTTTATTGATAAAAAACGGTTTAAAATTGCAAGAAAATATAATAATTAACATTTTTACATCATCGTTTTTAATTCACATCATCATCTATCTGATTTCTAATATTTTATGCACATATATTATAGAAGAAGCATCATTAATTCTCACAAATCTAAACATTGAAGGAAACTTACCAATAATCCTGTTTCCACACTTGGCAATAATGTGAGTCTACTTCCATCTTGCAAACGATTTTCCTCAAGAGTTCCATCGCGTAGCTGTCTATAACAAAAATTTTAGAAAAGAATAATCTTTCCTGTACCAATACGTATTCTTTATTCAACATTTATTTATTAAACATTTATTTATTAAACATTTATTTACAATCATTTGTACAAGTTTTTAAATGAATTATATAATAATTAATACGAAGTTAATTCAAATGTGTAGAAGAAGACGAAGTTTCGGATTAGATAAACGCAATAAGATATCTTCGAGTATACAAACTTTTCCCTTATAATTACAAAGATGCTATGTCATATTGATATAATAAAATAAGAAAAAGAGAGTATAATTTCATGGTCTCAAAGTTCCCAATGATAAGAAACTTGGAAGAAGAGAACACGTGTGATCAAACGTATCGGTAGCTCAAAGTACGTATTGCGTTTACCTAAACATGAAACGATATGATATCGATTCATAAAACCGTTGAAATATATCGTAAAGAAAAATAATAACATGAATATCGACAAATGGACGATAAATCAATCGGGTCGTTAAATGAAAAGTCAAAATAAAAATAATCAATCGTAGCTGATTTAAAACTTTTACTATTTTCGTATAAAATGTTTAACCTAAACGTTTGGCTCAATTTTATTTCGTTAATAATACCTTCATTTTTTAAGTAAACATCATTTCTACGTTTTATTTTCATCAAAACTCGAGAGCTAATTCTTCATAGAATAATTATAATAATTTGCAAATCATCGTAAGCAATTTTGGAAGTGTCTTATCGAAAATCTTATTTCTGAATAAGTATTTCATGGAATCAGAAGAGATAAGGCGAAATAGATATTTGTTTCTTCTTTTTTTTTCCCCATTCCTTTGTAACACTTCGAAAACGTAGACTAAGAGACCACGACAAGAAGCAACCAAAAGAGACGGGAAAGGCCAAGAAGAGACCCGTTGGTCCAAGCTCGTTCTTCCATAAGGCGCATGCGCACACGAGGTCGTCGCGTACAGGGGACGACGAAGGGCTGGCGGGGAGAAGCACGCGTATATACGTACACGCAGTCGTGTCTCAAATAGAGAGAGAGGGAGGAAGGGAGGGAGGGAGGGAGAGAAAAAGGAGGGGAAAACCAAACTCGTGCGACCCTGAACGCACGCGAGCATATATGTATGTAAAAAATCACGTACGATGTTACTTCGTTTGTTTTCAATTCATCCTCTCTGTTGCCCCTCCACCTCATTCTCCTCTTGTTTCGCGCCAAATTTGAATTTTCATAAAGCTTAAAAACAATTGGCTAACGAGCTTTGTTAATTATTGGACGTTGTTGTTCACACGTTTTACAGAACGCTTCTCTGATTGGTGTTTCTCTATATCTGTACATTATATATTCCTTGAAAATTGGCTCAAACAATAGAAGAGAAACTAACGAAAAAAATAGAACACAACCTGTTATTCAAAAATATCAAATGTCAAATATCAAAAATATAGTTCTCCACGCGTAACCTTTAAAAAAAAAAAAAAAAAAAAAAAAAAAAAATCTTTTATTTATTTCTTTTTCTTAATTCTTTTTTCGTCTTTATAACCTTTAAAATTGTTTTAATTTAATCAATTTTATGGAAGAATCGTTCGTGACCTCGTCCGACCAATATCACGTTTAAAAGATAGATAATTCAAGGCGAAATACGGAATAGAGAATCTTCTAAAAGAAGACGAAAGAGACGAAAAATATCGTCGTCGATGAATCCGTGTACGGGAATAACCGCTCTCTGTCCTACGTTCTCTGACCGGCCGCTTGTTTTTTTTCTTCTTACTCCTACCCTCTCGTGAATTCTTCCACTCGGTCGCCCTCGCGACCGAGCTCGCTGTCTTTCTCTCCTCTCTCTTTCTCTCTCTCTCTTTCTTACACACACTCGTTTCCTTCCTCTTCCCCCGCGTGCACGCGCGAGAACGCACGTCGTAGATGGCTGTCATCGTTTCGCTCTAGAGAACGCAATTTATCGAGGTATTCTACCTACTGCACCACCACCACCACTTCTGTCTCTTTCTATCTCTAGGCTCTTATCTCTTTCTCTCTCTTTCTTTCTCTCTCTCTCTCTCTCTGTTTTTCTGCCTCCCTCCCTCCCTATCTTTCTTTATATCGTGTGGTAGTAGTGTATCTATCTATCTTTCTTTCTTTCTTTCTTTCTTTCTTTCTTTCTTTCTTTCTTGTGCATACACGCGCCACAGGAGGATCCATGGAGAGCGACGGCCCCCACGACGCCTACGAAGCGCGCACACGTACTCCCTCTATATATCTCTTTTCTTTTCTTCTTTTTTCATTTCCCCCTTCACCTCCTCCATCTCCTCTTTCTCTCTCTCTCTCTTGCTCGTTCTCTCAAAAGAGATTTCTCCTACTCGATCGTTGCCGCACTACGTCCGAAAGCGCACCACATACACCGGTGACGACTATTCCGCGAGCTCGAGCATTCTCTTGTACGGGTCAACAACGGTTTCTCTTTCTTTCCTTCTTTCATGAAACCTCTCTTTCTTTTACACGGTTTCGCCGAACGATCTCTTTCTTATATTCAAATGATGATTTCATATACATACACGTGTACAACACATTCTCAAGCTTTGTCCTCACTACTACCGCCGATCACCGTCGCCATCACCCAAGAAAATTCTTTTATTCTTTTCGAAAGGAGAAAAAAAAGAAAGAACGACGAAAATGGTCGAAGCTCTTTTAGATTGTAAACGAAAGAGAGAAAAATAGAAATTATCTACGCATTTTCTTTCTTTCTTTTTTCCTTCCTTTCGCTTCGGGTTAAAAATCTTTCAATGATAATAAATGTCTTACATATGTATTAAATATAGATATTAATTAATACCTTGTAGTTCGAAGTTTTACAATTGTTTCATTCTTTTTTTTTTGTTTTTTTCTTTTCTAACTAAACATTTTTTTTAGGAAAAGGGCGGGGGAAGAATAAGAAATAAAAAAGAAATATACCTTCGTTAATTATTTCATAACAACGGACTAATTATAGTCCGTTGAAAAAACATGTTCAAATTAACTGTTCGAGGATCGTATAAATTATCAGCGAGGATAATACTTCGTACTTTAAATAAAATACGTCGTTCGCTCGATAAGAATCTTCTTCCCGTTTTGGTAATACCATAAGAAACGAAAAGGTTGAAAATCTCATAGAATATATTTAATTATATTTGATCGGCGTAACTTCTACGAGTTGTACTCACCTCTCGAGGTGCAACAAACAGATGCGTTCTTTAGCGACCTTGAGTCTCTTTGAAATGATCTTCTTAAGATTTTCGATAGTTTCGGAACGATCGACCGTAAGATCAAATTGTCCACCAGTTGTCGGGGTGATGCTGATCGTGATCTCGTCGGGTTCGACGGCTGCGGCCGCGACGCAGCCACACCCTGGCGGGGACGGAGATGTGGTTGGGATCGGGGAAGAAGAATTAGATCTTAGATTTGAAGCCCGACCACGATAGTCCGGTTCGTTCGGTAACGTTGCATCAGGTGAATTTGACCAGTAGGATATGGAAGAGGAGGATGAGGAGGAGGAAGAGGAGGAGGAGGAAGAGGAGGAGAAGCAAGAAGACGAAGACGAGGAGAAGGTAGAAGAGGCGGAGGATAGTGACGAAGACGAGACGGAAGAGGAAGAGGTGGAGGACGAGGTGGAGGACGAGAAGGAGGACGAGACAGAAGAGGAGGTCACCACCAAGGCGGCAGCTGCAGCAGCAGCGGCGGCGGCGGCGGCGGCGGCAGCAGCAGACTTTTCGACGTTTCTACATATCTTTGATTCTTCCTCGTTCTCCTTTCCCATCATTATATCCGATGACGACGGCGGTGGCTGAGAACTACCTTCCATCCCGTCGGCTCCTGCAAAAACGTGCGATCCCTCTTCTAAAAAGGTGTACGCTTTTCTTCCTTTTTCTTCCTTTCGAAGCAGATACTGCTCGCTTTGTCCCACCTTTAATAGTAGTAGTAGTCGTCTTGATCGTCGTCGTGGTTGTCCTCCTCGTTGTCGTCGTCGCCGCCGTCGCCGCCGTCGTCGTCGTTGCCGCCGCTGCCGCTGCCGCTGCCGTCGCCGCCGTCGTCCTCGTCTTCGTTGTTGTTGTCGTCCTCGTCTTCACGCGTCGCCTCCTCTTCTCTTCACGCACACACACACGCACGCACTCACGCACGCACGCACGCACGCACCTAAGCAGGCACACGCGGCTGGGAAAGCACACTCGCACCCAACACCCACACCCACGATCGCGAGTCACAGTGTTGTAGCCCCTACGCTCGATCTATCGATCCCACTAAAGCGTTTTTCTCTTCCTCCTCCTCCTCCTCCTCCTCTTCTCTCTCTCTCCCCTTCTCCTTTTCCTTTTTCCCAGGAATTCGTTGAAATCTTTTATTTTTTTCAATCCAATCGAAACACGTTAAGAGGAACTCCAATGACAAAGATATAGAATCGGTCGAATCGGTCAACGGAACTACTGATTATAGAAAGAAAACGAAGAGAAAGGGTATTGGGAATGCATGCAAAGGTGAAAAGTTTCTCGATCGATATTACGAAAATAATCAACCGTTGTACGTTGCTCTTCGCGATCTTTCGACGTCCTTAAGATTTTCACCAAACGAAATACTAATTTTCTTCTTCGTTTCGTCGCCGGTACGTAGAATGGTGATACGAACATACGTGATAGACGCTCAAACTACCTTCGCTTCCTCCTTCCGCCCCTTCTTCTATCTTCTCTTCTTCCTCTCACCCACTTTTATTTGCTCTTATCTATCTATCTCTCTCTCTCTACCTCTCTCTCTCCTTTTCCGACCTCACGTGTTCATTCTCCTCACCAGACGGCCGTCCTCCTTCGTTAAATGCCTACAACTGCCCGCAACTGCTGCCGACCGAGCAACGAAAACCCTGGAGCTCCTGTGAAATATCCGGACGTGGCCGAACTTTTCCGAACTAATTGTGACGTGTGCAATGATGGCGCTGAATCTAAATGAGCCCGCTAAATTTAAACGAAATAATATTTTTCTTTCTATATTATCACATCGCTCATTTCCTATATTATTGTACGTTTATAATGCCAATAAAAAAGATTAATTTATTTATTCTTTATTGCGAGATATTCATTATAATATTTTTTTATTTATTTTTGAAAATCCTTTTTAAGAAATTATCCTTTCACCTTATTTGTTACAATCTTTGTACATAATTCAGTATATCGCTCTCTCTCTCTCTTTCTCTCTCTTTCATTCTTTAAAAGTATATTTTTAATAACATTAATATAAAACGATATACATAGAATAATTACAGATTGCTATCGCATCAAATATTTCATACAGAGATAAAGTTGTGCATATATACACACGACATTTACAGTATATATTCCATGACAATTTTTCGGTTAAATATTTTTATTCATTAGTTTATTTGATATATTTCTTAAATTTCTTTTATATGGAATAAGTTGATACGGTGTACTTAATTACAAAGCAAATATATCATTTTCCAACGATGTATTATTACGATATAACCTTCAACTATATACAATATAATAATGCTTTTTTATAAGTTCGTGGTAAAACTGGAAGAACAAGAGAGTACTCGTATTATATTTACATACTCATAAGCAAAAACTATAAAAAGTCGGATAGAAAAATATATAAAAGCTATTCTTAATAGTTTTGATTATACACGTATACACGTAGAAATAATGTTTATGGTATTTTTGCTTACATATTGAATTCTTTTGAAAACAAAGAGATCTATATAAATTTGGTATTTTAATAAAATATTATGTATTCTTTTGCTCGTCATTTCATCTGTTTTCATTATTTCTGTTATGTTTATGATTGCCATTTAATATAACCGTATATTTCACCAAATAATCTTGTTTAAGAAAGAATAAAAATATTTATGATCCAAACTTTTCTGTATCTGATCCAATTTCTCCAAATTCGTATCCTCCTCTACCATCCATTTGTAGGTAAAACTGCAATCGAATAGACCAAATTCATTATTAATAATTAATTATTTTTTAAAAATACATAAATAATTGTCTGTATTGTAAATAATGACAACTGGTGGAAAACAATTCGTTCGTTACCTCGTGATGTTTCCAAAGAGACCGTCTATGAGAAACAGTAAATAATGTAATATTTGCATCTTTACAATAAGAATACATAGAGTCTTCGACATCGACGCTAACAGCACTTGTACATTCATCTAATATTGCAAATTGCGGTTTGTGGTAAAACAATCTAGCCATCTACAAATATATTAAGATTCACTAAGTAATAGAGATATTTTACATGTAAGTTCATCTATTTGATGATACAATATTTAATTAAATTATTTACCGCAATACGTTGCTTTTCACCTCCTGATAAAATATCCATCCAATCGCCTACAGCATCCCATCCTTGATTTCCAGAATCTTCTTGAAAATTTCTTTTCAAAAGATGACTTAATTGTACTAAATTTAAAAAATTCTGCAAATCTTCGTCGCTCATTTGTCCACGTCTGACCATTTCTGCTTTAGTATGAGGATAGATAACTTGGTCTCTTAAAGTACCCAATGTCATGTAAGGACGTTGTGGTATATAAAATAATTTTCCACGTGGTGGTTTTATAACTGTACCACCCCAAACAGGCCACAACTGATTCAATATAAAAGAGAGATATACAATTAAAAATTATTGGCTTATTAGAGATAATGTACAATAAATAAAATAAAGATGAAAGATATTCACCTCTCCAAGAATTCTGAACAAAGAGCTTTTCCCACAACCGTTTGGACCACAAACTATTACATTCATGCCAGATTGAACTTCGAATGTCAATTCTTTAATAAGAATGTCTCCATTTGGTGTTACAAGTGGAACATGTTCGAATCGTATAATATTATCTTTTGCAACAATCTTTCCTGCACCTGGATGAACTTTTGAATCATCACTCAAGTTTGTGATCATTGTTCTAGCATATTTTCCTGAATTCAACTCATTCAGTACATTTTTTATTTCTGTAACTCTTGCTGTGAAACCTACTAATCTTGTTATCTCTCTGCTTGCTAATATGAATACACCTATTGCTTCTGCAAATTTTACCAACATTCTTCCATATGTATAATAATGTTTAAATCGATGTTCAGAGGAGCCTGAAAGAACGGGATGATCTTTTTTAAAGAATGGTATACTCACGGCATAAAATCCAACTACCATTGCCAAATCTAAAAAAAGAAACAAATTTTTAACAAATATTATTTTTATTAGATATATATGTCTTGTTTATTTATTAATTTACATCTTCCAATGAAATTGTCCAGTATCCCTAATAAAAATTTAAATTCCAAAAATTTACGAAGATGTGTAATCTGAAACAGAATAAATATGTATATTGTTATATAAATAATAATATTATAAATATGTATATTGCTATATAAATAGTAATATTGCCATATAAATTTTTTTTTCAACTTACCAATTTGTGAAAACTAGTTAGCAAAGTTAATTTCTCTCTATTATTTCCTTGGTAAAATGCTATTTCTTCCGAATTCGTTATTAAGCGTGTATTGATATGTCGGTATTCACCTTCCAACTGCTGTTCTTTCATAGTCATTTGTGCCACTGGCCTTCTCAAAGTGGTTATACAAGTACCAGCTACCAGTAGATATGAAATCAACAAAAGTGGTGTCTATAAAAAGAGAAAAAAAGAAAACAAAAACAAGAAAAAATATCAAATAAGCAAGGAGAATAAAAAGTTTCTTTAAGTCTATAGAATTGAACAATGCATAAATATGGTATAAATATTATAATATATTAATATACTTGTCCACTTAGATTAATGGTGAGTTTGGAGGCATATATAATAATGTCAAGAAGTGGTTTCATTATATTTCCATATAAGTCTGTAAAACTTTCGCAAAATTTATCTATATCAATTGTTAGTAGTTGATCTGGATTTGCAATGCGAGCATCTAAATTATTTATTTTATAATATGTAAAGCCCCTGCAAATAAAAAATATATGTTATTAATATCTAATATTAAAGAAAAATAATATTTATTTTATAATTCTCCTTGAATTATGCTTTCAAGGAAAATATATAGCTTCACAATATCATTTTATAATAAATTTTAAATAAACTTTCATAATACATTGTAATCGTTTCCCCATCCAAAGAATAATAATCAATATCAAATCTGAATAATTATTCTAACTTTTAACTTTTCACAATGACATATCATTTAAAGTTAATTATCAATTCTAATAACTTATAATATTCTATTATTATATTCTAATAATTAAAAATAGTAATAAAACTTACTTAAGATATTGATTCATTAAATAATGTGTTAGATTTGTGCGCAATCTTAATTTCATTTCGCTTATACTATATTTCATAATGTTGGTCACAATTGCTACCTAATTAAATAAAATTATATTAAAATATATAATAATTCTTTTCAACAAATGTAAGATTGTTGGACAACCTAAATATAAAAAATATATCAAGAATCAGTTAGTTACTTACACTAGGTAATATAATGACAAATTTTAACAGAAGTTTCTTGAATAAATCAAGATTCATAGTGATAATTGATCTAAAAGAAATATTTTCCATTATTGAAAAAAAATCATTGGAAATAATTATAAAAAATAATTAATACGTTTCAATAAGAGTGCTCATATTTATCAGCCAAAGATCACATATGGTTCTAGCAGTTAAAGAACCAGCGATAAGCAATAAAAAAAGAAATTCATTTGATAATACTCCAGGAATGCCAATAGTCAAAAGTTTATATAACTCTTGCAAAAATACTTTGTCAACTTGTACTTTTGGCCCTTTTGATTTTTTCTATAAAATTAAATACTTCATTATTTGTATTTTCTTTCTTTTTATATATATATATATATATAATTGCCAAAAGATTACCTCTTTGATGATATATTGTATTTCATTAGTAGACCACACATTTCTACAAATGAAACAAATCTCTTAGTAAGCATGATTAAGATATTTGTAATATTATCAATTAATTACCTGGATTTTGCAGAATGTTTCCTTCCTTTTTTTTTTAACAACCACACCAAAGTACTAATCGTTACGGTTCCAACTAAAGCATATTTAAATGTGTGTTTACTAAGTCCTGGTGCCATCGTGTTCTTTAAGAATCTTTTTCGAACTAAACTTTTTTACATCTATCACGAATATAAACTATACCAACTTCACTTTTACAGCGTAAATAGAGAGGGGATTTTTTAATTTGCAATTCAGTATGATAAAAACTTAAAAACATTCATGAATTTAATTTTAAACAGCATCATTAGTATAAGAATATATTATAATTATTAACAAAACATGAATAATGTATGATGGAAAAATATTCATGATAAAAAAGAATTAAAAAAAAATAAATATAGAAGAAAGAAAAGAAGGAAAACAAATATGTACATATATAAAAAAATGATAATGATTGTTTTGAATAATGAATGAATAAAATTTATTTCCAAATCTAGAACATTTTTTCGTGAAATATATATAATAAATCGATTTACAGATTTTATACCACGTAAATATTATATCTAAATTTCAATCAATGATAGAAGTATATAAATTTCATCAACCAATCATATAATAGATGTAATGAAGTTAATCAATTTTGATATGTCATATAGTTTTACAATTGGCAAATATTTTTCAATTAACAGAAGAATCACTTTGATATTTTGAAGATAACATTAAATACAATTTAGAAAGGAATAAATATTACAGAAGTAAATTGGAATTAAATCGACAGAATAAGTGAGGATAGTTTAGTTGATACTTAAAGATACGTGATGGTGTTGCAATCGCACGTGTGAAACAACTTTTATAGAATTTTCCAATCTTATTGAATATTCCTCTTAGGTAGTTTACGATTGTGGTGATTGTAATCTTTATACAGCTTGCCCAAGTGATATCTTTCAGTGGTTATTGGTTTGGCCTGGTCACATAAAAAAAAAGTGTAAAAAGAAATCGTGTATTTCTGAAAAAAAGAAATGCCGGATAGTGGTGCGGTCTATCAACCTACCACCGTAGGATATACGTATGATAGTGGAGGTGACGGTACCGGTAGTGCAGGTGGAATAAGAAGTGGTTTTTGGAGAATTGCATCAAGGCATAAGATTAATTCTAGAAAATGGCTAGAATGGACGTTAGTATCAGTTGGATTGTCCTTCTTCGTCGTTGGACTCACCACAATGCTCGTGAGTCTGGTCTCATCCGACGACATTAATCAGCGAACTACGGAGGTGATTAATAATTTTCTAGAATTTGCTTCTTCTTATCATTCTCTTCCTTTCATTCTCTGTTTCTCACTCTCTCGTGTTCATCCGTCTTTTAAATGACATTCTCATACCTCAGAGTATCTTCCTCGCTGCTTCGTGATAAAGGATTGCTCCCACTGATAAGGTAATACCAGTGGTGAGTATGGAGATAACACGAATGATAGCGGGATTTATTGACCAGTATCCTTCGCAGCATTTAAAAAAAAAACAACTTCTTGTGATCAAATATATAAAATTGCTTTAACATTGATCATAGGTAAAGCAGGAGTCATCAACGCATTCAACTCTTCTAGCAACGGAGAATGTCGAAGAAACTTCAAGAGGATCTGTAGCAATAGGAGCAGTCATGATGTTTGTTGGAATATTATTGTCTATAGCTTGGGCATGGCTTCGATTCTTCCAACGCAGCAAATCACCACGGAGTGGAATTACAGGAGGTAGTGGTCAGGTGAGAACAATCTAAAGAAAATGTTCGTTTTACTTGAGTTTTTTTACCGGGCACCATCTTTGTTTCGTATGTTCGTTTTCTTATCTTACTTACGCGTTGCTATGAGGAAAGATGTTGGGCGGTTTGAATCCATCGACTGACTTGCTGGTGGGTTCCACTTCGCAGTACGGGCCAGTACTTACGGAGTTGCCGAGTCAGCTGAAGTTAAAAGAAGCAAATATACATGAGACGCTAGTAGCACCACTTTCCGATCAAGAAGAGGAGACCCTTACTCTAATGTTGGATCCTAATACATCTACAACGCTTACTGTTGACCCTAATAGTGCTGCTAACCAGATTCCAGGTTGAGTACATTCATTCACCACACTGAATGCAATAGAGTGACCTGAAGTGAACATTGCTTTACTTTTATAAATCTGATAGTACTTATCAGAAACTAAATGCTTACATTTTCTTACAAGAGAAGAAAATCTTGTTTTTAAATCTCTATCTACCCACAATGATGAGAATCATTATATAAATAACATCAAGTTGTAAGTTCATATTTAATATTAATTGGCTATATCATCTATTTTCACAGTCTAGAGCTTTTAGTTATACAAGTCTATATCAATATACGTCATACGAGTAATGATGTGAGATCTCATTTTTAGAGTCTTTCATAATGTTTAGTATATATTTCTTTGCTATTGCCTGCACATTCCTCTACTCCGTCCATTACTGTTAATGATTTCTTATCTGCATTGGATCCAGACGTTATAGATAAATAAAAAAACACATAGACTGCAAAAAGTCAAATAATTCATAATATCATATATATAATAATTTGAAAAAGTGTGAAAGACAATATTCTAATATATTTGATTGTTTGTTAATAATAAACAGCACAATTGATTTACAAATAATTGTGTTTTGTGTTTTTTAATTTATAGTACATAAACGAGAGTGAAACATACAATATTTATTTGAAATATAATAATTTTGATGCAAGGCACAAAATGAAGAAAATACGAAAGTACTTATTATGTAAATTCTTCATACATATTGTATTTATAATTTTATAATTTTTATTCTTATTAATATTCTGCATAAAGTATTTTCTGAAATTATATCTAAGTTATTAGTTTTATATTCAAATAATAATTAAAAAACAAAAAGTTTTCTATATGATACGTTATATTTCTTTTTCTATATTTCTAATCCTTTTTATTATATTCTATATTCTTTTATATTTCTATTTTTCTATTTTTCTAAATTTCTTATTATAGTTTTATTTTAAGTTTTCTAAAATTTCAAAAATGGTTTTATTTTTAATCTAAAAATATATAATTTCTTCAGTAATTATAATTTTATTTACATATTTTAGATAACATTATACAGAAGGCACTGTATAGTAATTAATTTGTGTATAAGATATGCATGCATTTTTTTATTATATTGTTGTTGTTATTAATATATGTATATTTCTTTACATTTTATATACTATATTAATACGTTTTTTTAACTGCTGTATATTATTCTTGTGTTTGGTAGATTATACTTCCTTTATTGACTTAGTTTTATTATGATTCCCATTTCCAATTTATTCAACATTAATTCTTATCAATAAAGAATATGTGTGTACAAAGGGGAATGCATAGATTATACTTCGTGAAATAATAAACATTATATATTATATTTTAATTTATAATAAGAAAGTAATAAAATAGTCAATTTAAATGCTCATGCCAATTTAATTATGTGAAAAGTGAATAAAATGTCTGGATATATCCCATGACATCATATATTCTGAATTTTATATGTATTATCCTTTCCTTTTAATTTACTTATAATAGTAAAAATCTACAAAGGAAAAGTATGTTTTTGCTGATTGGACATAGTTATTTCAACTACTTTATTTACATTTATTTTTTAGAATTATTTGTGTAATAAATTATTTTTTATGTAATTTATAATATAAAAACATGTAGTATTATTGAATTATTATAATTATATGTTACAAGAAATAAAATAAATTTTTTTCCATACTTTATTCAAAAGTATTCTGAATTCAGAAAAGTATTTCTGAATAATTTTATAAGACCATAAAAAGAATTGATAATATTTTGTTTAAATACTGTCTGGATACAATGCAATCGTAATATTAAGCACATTTAAAAAATTTTTTTGTATTATGTTTCATAATACCCATTCCTACACTATTTTATGTACACATTAATGCTTACAATGAAATAAACACCTTTAGGAACATATGTTTCATTAATAAATTAATTAACAAGTCTTTCTTTTATTTTTAAATTCGGTAAAAATTTTATATTCGTTACAAAAAAAAACTCAGATTTAATTAAAGACATACATCTTTCTTTAACTTTGTAGGTATACCAACTGTATTTATATAATATACGAGTATAAATGTGAATATACCAAAATATTTGTGATTTCTTTATTTTTATAATATTCACACTTCCAATAAATCTGGAAAAATAATTTAATGTCAATATTAAACAGGATTCCTTTGAAGATATGCTTTCATTACAACATCTGTTTGAAGATTGGCCATGTCTATATACTCCGTATTCTTGCATCCAACCATGGGACACCTACACAAAATTTTTTAATTTCTACAAAGCTCAAAACAGACGTGCGTGTGTGTGTGCGTGTGTGTGTGTGTGTGTGTGTGTGTGTGTGTGTGTGTGTGTGTGTGTGTGTACGTATAAACAAAATAGGAAAAGATTCACTTTTTCTACCACTTCTAAATCATTAAATCCTTCATTGTTATATTTTGTATGCAGTACTTGCCTTGTTTTCCTATTTACTTTTAACAAAGCCATGATAGTTTCACGATCATAAGTATGTCCACATATAATATTTTTCATTGGATCTTTTATCCTCATTTTTGAAATAGGATCTATTATATTTATGGAACCTGATAATTGTAATTCTTCATCATTGTTGCTTCTTTCAGAATCCTGATTTTTGTTTACATCTGCTCACGATAAAACCATAAAATATTAAAAATAATGTTTATAATGTCATTTCTTTGTTTTACATTATTTGCTTACCGCTCAATAATGCTTCCAATTGTCTATCAAATTCCAATAGTCTTTCATTCGTGGATACATTAATATTCATTTTAGATACAGCTTTCTCATAGTCCTAGTATTATACAATATAATTTTTCAACTGTATTATATACTTTAAATTTAATATATAATATAATTTACCTTGATAATTTTCTGTATACTTTTCTCTGTAATTTTACTATCATTATACTGATTTAAGATATCTTCCTTTATTTCTTGAATCATACTTAATTTAATATCTATTTCACAGTTCTTTTGTACCACATCTTTCAAATCATCAATTATCTTCTCTCTATCTTCTGCAAATTTTTAACCTATATATACTAATAAATTATACAAATTAAGACAAAGCTTAAAAAAATATAATAACTTACGAAAATATAAAACTATATTTGTAGCAGTTTTTATATAACACTCGTACAATTCTTCTGCTACTTCTTTCGATTGTGTCATTTTCTTTATTACAATTCTATGACATATTTTTTTAATTCAGATACAAATAGAAATATGTAAACATGATTAAAAGTTTACTTTTGCGCCATCTAGACTTCGTAATGAAAGGGAGGGGGTATCTTCGCCAAAGAATTACTATGCTGCAAGACGATATTTATGTTTATTTGGTAGATACATTTATGGCGCGAAATACTGTGGAAAATGAGTAAAAAATTGAAATTAACAGCTTTGTCGACGTCGAGATCTTTGAGATCTAATCAACGAATTAATGATGTAACGTTTTCAAAAGAATCACCTTATTTTGATCAGAAAAATGATCATTCGTCTATGGCAGATCATGTCAAAAACAATAACTCAACGGAAATTCAAAATAAAACTGATGATGAAATTATGTCGGAAGCGATTAATGAATCTAAAAAATCAAAGAATAAAAAAGTTACCAAGAAACGAAGTGTACCGCTAAAAATAGAATATGAAGAATTAAATGAAATTGAACAAAAGGGTAAAAGTGATAAAGAATTTCTTATGGTAAAAATAAATAAAGAAAAGGATGAAAAACTTGACAAAGTAGAAAATACATCTGGTTGGATACCATCCAATTGGAAACGTATGTTAGAAAATATACAAGAAATGCGAAAATATAAAACTGCACCAGTAGATGAGATGGGCTGTCATAAATGTCCGGATCCAAATGCTACTGATTCAATTTTTAGATATCAATGTTTGTTAGCATTGATGTTAAGCAGTCAAACTAAAGATCAAATAACACATGCAGCTATGAAACGTTTAATTTCTTATGGTTGTATACCAAGTACTATAATAGCTACACCTAATGATGTCCTTGTAAAACTTATACAACCAGTTGGATTTGCAAACGTAATATTTTTCATAGTGACATTTGTGAGGATTAATTTCAATGTAATATTGAGACGCTACTTTATTTCTATAAGATATATAATTATTTTCAGAGAAAAGCTGAATATATCAAAAGAACTTCTGTTATTTTAATGGATAAATATAACGGTGATATTCCAAAGACTATAAAAGAATTGTGCGAGTTACCTGGAGTAGGACCAAAGATGGCACACATTTGTATGCAAATAGCATGGGGAGAAATAAGTGGTATTGGTGTAGATACACATGTACATCGTATTTGTAATAGACTTAATTGGGTAAAAAAACCTACAAAAACACCGGAAGAAACTAGAAAAGAATTGGAAGAATGGTTGCCTAAAGATCTTTGGAATGAAATAAATCATCTCCTTGTTGGGTTTGGACAAGAGATTTGTTTACCTCGTTTTCCTAAGTGTAAAGAATGTCTTAATAAAGATATCTGCCCTTCTGTTGGAAAAAAATAAAGTAGAAGTAAATTAAAAGTATTATTATGTATTTTTATTAAAGTTGCATTAAAAATATTTTTCCTATAATTAAAAACAATATTATACAAAAAAAAATAAAGTATACACAATAAAAATATTAGTGTTTCACTTTCTTTTTAAATTTCCCTTCTCGCTTTTTTAATATTTTCTGTTGTTTTTTCTTCTTTTTAATGCTTTGCCTTTTATTCTTGTTATGTTCTAATCTATTTTTTTGTTGGAATGCTTTACTTTTTTTTACTTCTTTTAATGCAGCTTGTTTAATAGCTCGTTTTAAATCCTTTACTGATTCAATATTTTTATCTTCCATTCCCTGTATAGAAATTTCTGCTGTAGATTTCCCATCAGCTTCTACATTTTCTTCTCCTTCAGATTCTTTCTTATTGTCAATTATTTTGTTTATTCCAATACATTTATTCTTTTCATATAATGAATCAATATCCATTTCTAAAATGCTAACCATATGATTTTCTGTTTCGAATTCTTGTTCTGACAATAACTTCTCAAGTTCTGGTACATCACGATTTGATAATAATTTTTTGTAACGTTCACGTGCCTAAAAAGTATAAATATTATTCAACAATTTTCAAAGTCATAAATAACATGGTCTAAATACACAGTATGATATAAAAGACATACATCTTGTTTTATTCTTTTTTTTTCTTCTTTCAATTGCTTTTGTAACTCCTCTTGAGCTTTCTTTTGTCGTTGAACTTTGCGCTTATGAAAACCTCCTAAAAATTGTCTAAAAATATTTTCAAATATTATTAACCTTGATATAAAATAATAACTTTAAAGATTTTTTATATATATGTATTTCATTGAACGTATACTTACCGTCTTTTATTCTCGTCAAATACTAAAGTAATATTTTTTCGTTTATTTTGCTGTTTCTTTTTTTTATTTACACCTAACATTTTTGCAAGTACATAGTACTACATCTAAAATTTGTCACTAGACGTCGCTATTGACATTATTACTACTGTTATATAACGGAAATACATTGAAACAAGCGGGAAATATCTTTTCCGTGCAACTGATTATAAACAATTGCTATAATATATTTTAAATTCAATTATATATAATTATGTTTTTTTTTTTAATAAAAACATAACAGAATTATTAATTTCAATATGAGAATTAATCCATATATTATCGATATAATATACGATCATATCAATATTACATTTCTTAAAGTGTCGTATAACTCTTAAGACGCGTTAGATAAAATAATTTTTTTCCAACCTTCGTCGTTCGATAATGTCAACAAGGACCATTGGAAGGCGGATGCGAGACTATTACGTCAGTCTCCTTTCGTACTCCGAGGAATAAACATCGAAGTACGCTCTTTATATCAATAAACGTCGAAATGGACACTTTCTATACCGTTACATTTAATCATTTTATAGATACGATTATTTTATAATTATTTAAATGCATTCGGAGTACGATGAGATAATAATTAAACAATATTACATTCCGTAAAGCGTCGCATAGTTCTTAAGATGCGATCGATATAGAATAAATTTCTTTCGGTCTGGTCGATTGTTTAATGTCAACAAGAAAGAACATTGGAAAGATCATGCGAGTTATTACGTCAGTCTTCTTTCGCACTCCAAGGAATAAACATCGAAATAGACTCTTTTCGTATCGTTACATTTAATCATCTTATAGATACGATTATTTTATAATTATTTAAACAATGCAACGATGCACTCGGAGTACGATGAGATAATAATTAAAAAATATTACATTCCGTAAAGCACGTATAAAATTACATTTACAGGAATATAAATCTATACGTGATAAACGCAGATTAAGGAAACGATGATTTTTAAATTTATACATAAAAGAAATAGACCTTACAATAATATCGACATAAAATCGATCATGCAAAATAAGCACAAGTTTAAATTCAAATAGGAATCATTAATAAATAAGATTATTTTACTAACATTTAAACAATAGAACATTTTTACTAATATAAGATACAATCGATATAAAATAAATTAAATTTAATCTTTCGAGAAATATAAATCACAAACTCAGGAGAGTATAATTAATAAATAAAATTATTTTATTAATATTTAAACGTTAATATCTTCAATTAACTTTGAGATTTGAATTCTTGCTAAGCTCATGTCACTCCAGGAATTAGAATAGTTTTTAAAATAGAGTTTCATTCAGTTCGTGGGCCTTCAGACAACAATTTATACGTGGTAAGACCTAGTTCAGTAATAATCGCAGTATAAAAGAATCATGTAATATAAGAATAATATATAATAAAAGAATATAATATAATATCTGTACTATTGAACGAAATGGCTACATGTAATAGTTTAAACAATTATTTTAAATTTATTGTTCTAGATTAATTACTCTAGTTTTTCTAGAGTGGGGGCTCTCGGGTGTGGGCCCTTGGATGGGCCCTTGGGCGGGCACTTTATTTCAGAAGAGAAGAAACGAGCTCTTTTTGTCCTAATGCGTGCACACGTTTTATAATATCTTCTAAATTCATTCAGATTTTTCGTCGAAGGATCTAATTATCATCGATAGGTGGAGTTCTCATTAACGAATCGATTTCTTTTCATTAATTTCTTTTCATTAATCTTCCATTAACATGGAGCGTTCCATCATCGATAGGCCGACCTATTAGCTAGGATCATCGTCCAAAGTCAAGATTCATCATCGAGGGATTAAATTTTTACACAGATGTTTGAGAATCTTTCCACACTTGATGTGGAGAGATATCCTTTCTTAATGACAGAAAGAACACACGCATTTGTCGACGGGCATATGCGTGGGTATTCGTGAGCGCGAGATGAAGTCCTACCGAGGACTGCGCTTTGATTTTTGATATACGACCGGTCGTACTTAATATTCGTAAGTGGAGTCTTATCCATCTCCTGTTAGCTAAGAAGCCTGAAGCTCCCGAAATGGAAAAGCATCTCTGTACGCGGATTTTGGAATAAAGTCACAGTTACTCAGTGTGTCTCTGTAAGCAACAACCTCCACGTAGTGGAATCTGTATTAGTTGCGATATATTGAAATCTAAATTTTGATTATATAACACAATTACTACCGGGCGAATAGCTGCATATTTTAGTCCAGTTTCAAAATCTCTTCTTTCTGATTCTAAATAAACATTAAAGTACTTACATTTTGTATTACAAATTATAAATTAGTAGATGAATATTATAGATTGTATAGAATTTTAAAATTATTTCTTAAAATTATTGACTCATGTAATATCTATTAATGGATGATTAAATTACGCTTTTTCATTTGTATAAGTTTATCTAGAAATAAAAAATATAAAATTTATACAATTAACAAATACTTTTCAATTAATTTATCTTCAAAGAAGTATAATCTAACATATGATTTTTTATTGCTTTTGTCAGATGTACTACTATTTTTATTAGATACAAAAAGTTCTGTCATAAACTAACTCGACTATTAGGTTATACGAAAGAGGATTATAACCTATATAAGTTTATACATCGATACAATAGGCGCATAGTGAAGACAGTGTCTCTCTATTATGCTTATAGTTCATATATTATTCATACCTGTCGCTGAAGTCGCATACACTATGAGCGATAGGCAATGAACAGCCTTAAAAATAGATATAATTGCGGTAGGGATATGTTTGCAGAAATATATTAATTGCGTGGATACCTTCGAATCAAAATAAATATAACATTAAAGTAAAACTAAACAAGAAGCAGTAACATTAAAATAATAATATTTAAGATATTAATTAAATGATTGAATGAATTTAGTCTACTTTAATTTAACGCGTATTTTTTTATTGCTCTTTAAACTTTTTATTTTCTAAATTCAATAAAAGATATTTGAAAAAGTTTTCTAATCCATCGAATGTCAGCTATCGGCCAAGCAGTGCGTATGTTGTATAATGTAAAATACGTAAACATACGCAAACCAATTTCTGGATCTCGTCATTTGGCAATTGCTATGTATAGAGATTCTTTTCTAAATTTATTAAAAGAAATAGAAAATATTATGTAATAAAAACTCTAGATGTAATATAGCCTATAAATCTATAATAAAATTACAATAAAATGCATCAAGTCATATGATACAATAGTTTGTTAGAATTAATATCTAGCTTATTCCAATTAATAACATTCTTAATGTTTTTTTGCTCTTATATTTTATATTATATACTACTTTTTAATAATAAATGAAAAAATTAATACATATATTGGCGTAGTTACCAAAAATGACGCATTGCGCATGCGAAGCGGGAAATGTTCAACTACCTTGGCGGCAAATAAAGCATCATATTATTTAATATTTACCAAGTTGACACGAAATCTGATACTTATTCTTCGTCCATGATAAATCTTAATAATTAATACTTTCAATTATTTTCTATTTATTTAAATTTATTAAATTTATTAATAGTAAATGAAATTTTTAAATCCCTCTGATCATTCAATTATGTCGAAAACAACATATCTGAATCAACATGATCAGTTGTAATTTTTTTATAGAAGAGCGATAAGTGAACAAGAGTAAATCTTAGGAAAGATTTATTTTTATTCTTATTAGAAAATAAAATTTTCTTTTAAACTTTCTTATTTAAATGCATTATTAGCATTAATTCTAAGGAGAATGTTTAGATATAAGATTTTAAGAATAAGAAACATTTATAGAAAGTTAAAATCAATTATTAATGATCCTTTAATTATAAAATTTACTCTTTGAAAGATAAGAAATATTTAATTATAAGTAGTTATAAATAGTTTCTTTAAGATTTTTATACAGAAGAACAGAAAGTCTTTTGATTATATAAAACGTAAAAAGATTATTTTTCTTTCTTCAAGTAAGCAAGTCTAGTAATATAATTGCTTTTACTACATTATTTTTCACCTATATTAAAATTGATTAAAATGTATTAAATATTGATTTTCTTTTTTATATTTACTAGATAAAATTAGAATAATCATTAATTTATGGGTCTCTAAAAATAGCAACCACCATATAGTAAAACCCGGTCAATTGACACATATGTAAGAGATTGCAAAGCATGTTTACATTTCCACATGTCCTAACTACAGATCATTGTTTTTGACTAAATGGTACATGCACAGGAATTTTATATTAATATATAATTAATATATATAAAAAAAGTAATATAAAAGTCAAATAAAATATTTTAAAATAAAATAAATATTTTAATATAAACTATATGTATAACCTAACTTTTTAATATTTAGAACTATATGTATAACCTAAAAAGTTGTATGATAGATACGTATATACATCAAAAGTATACATATTGATAAAATAAAACTTAAATATTCCTTAAGAAATCACTTTTAAATGTATTAAAAAATTTTTTAAACTATACATTATATGTTATAACATATAAATTTCGTATGTAAAAAAAATTAAACACAGCTTCACTTTATGCCAATTAGGGAAAATTGTAAAATAATCTTAGATTAGTAACAAACGGATACACAAGTGCTGGAAGCTTGTCACGTAACGTAACAAAAGAGAAAAAGAAAAGAAAATCAACAACGTCCAATACAGGAAGTACCGGGCACCCAACGATGGAAACTCATTCCTGGTTCTTTCCTCCCCACCATCGTGTCGATCGCTGCGCTACTCACAGATTGAGGTGTGGCCAGTGAGGGCAGCCATTTTCTTGACTTTCTGTCGCTTAAGATTTCAGGTAAATGCGTAATTATTTCTTAAATAATGTCGATCGTAGTAATGCGAGAGTGTGTTGTGTTTTGTGCTCGCGTGCTCGCAGCGTGTTATCCATAAATTAATATGAGTTCGGGGTTAAAGTCTGTGCTTTAATGAGAGGAGAGAGAAAAAACTTCACCTACGGATGCCTAGGGAGAGGGCTGAGGGAGTGCCATGCGTTACGAATTTACTTCATGACGGCGAGTCATCTCGATAAAAGCGAATTCTTTTTACTTTATATAAATGCGGTCAGCTTAAAGCGTCACGTTACGTTTCAAATGACATTCTTTGCATATGCAAGAGAAATGTTCTCTTTCCCCATTGATGCGCATTTGTGAATTTATTCGTTCAGTGGACTCTTCCTACCTCCAGGGCTTCGGACCCCTGCATCGCTATCTTATCCTGCCTGCCCTGTCGTACTATGCCCCACCCTACCCCACTCCATCACTCTACTCTATTCCATTCCATTCCAACCCACCTCGCCTTTCCTCGCACTCTCAGCGCCCTCACGTCCGGCTTCCCCTTTACTCTTCTCCTCTATGTTTCGTCCTAGCTAGCTCACCGAGCAGCGATGCATCTTCCATTCGATGAGTGGACTAAGATTTTTTTCCTATAATCATATCTTCGATTTGCTCGTAGAGATTACGTTTCTAGTTTCTAGTTTAGTACTTTTTACCTATTCGTCTTGTTCGTCGGCAAAAGGCAGCCTTTCGCAGAGATAAAAGGTCGGTATATACTTTGACGTCTTGGAATATTACGTCGTGCTCGCGTACGAAAAAACCGTACGCTTCTCTTTTTTCAATCGTCCTGACTAATCATATTCAGAGATGTTTTTCCACGAAATCATATAATTGCGTATTCAATTTCAATCGTCCATTGATTTCTTTTATTTTCTTGTTTAATTTTTTCTCTACAAGTAGTATATACTGCCTACCCTGCTCGGCATTGCGACTCGTTGTTGACTCATATTCTTTTGCTATACGATATGAACACAAGATATTTTCTAATCTATTCATTTAAATTCTTCTTCCAAGGTATCTGTATTGTGCAGTTTTGCATAACTTCAAATGTTTTAAATACAATATGTGATATATATATATATATATATATATATATATATATATATTGCATAAACGAAGTTGGGTTTCCTTATGTCAAGTAATATATTTCTTTACCATCTATGTAATACGAGTACCTATTGGTAGTTTGATCTTTTGCTCCACGAAAGTGATCAGATAGTCTTTATTTTTATTGAATGGTATGGCTATTGCATTGCACTATAAGCTTAAAAGAATTAATTATAAAATCATAATTTATAATACGAACGTATAAAATGATAGAAATTACTGTTTCGTATTGGCATACAACATTTTAACATAAAATATAGTCATTCATGTAATGAATAAAAGAAAATAGAAATAGATTTTAAAAATTCATACACGTATATATACTTATCTTATGTACTCAAAAGATAAGGTCGATTAAAATTCTTCTCATACAATCACATTCGAAATACTTCTTTTATTTATTTAGCTTTGGTAAAATATATAAGCATACTTCACCATATCTTTAAAAAAGATGATATGAAACTTTAAATTTAATATATATTTAATTTAATATTCTTCAGTTTTCTTTTTCTTCTATATTATTTTTTTTTGATTTTGTTTCTTCTTTTTTTTTTTGTTATCTCAGAAAGGGCATATAATAATAAGGCATCCTGCATACTTGCAGATAAGTAATATCCAGTAAGAAGTAATGAATGATTCCTGTAGAATTATTTTAAGTATCATATTCACTTTGTATAATGCATATGTATATAAAGCAAATGTGTCTTTGCAAATATCTGTTAAAGGAAGTTTATTTATATATATTATAAAAATTATTATTTTTAAACTTGAATACATATTTATATTTATAAATATTTGTCACTAGGATCATTCCTAATCTATATGATTGATATTATAACGTTTAACAAACTTGTACCATGTAATATATGCAGTATGAAAGTCTACTTTAACTTAGGTATGCTTTTCAAAATGTTTTTCATATAAGTATGTTCTGTCCTAATGCATGTTTAACGAATAATATCTTTTATTTATATGCATGTAATCTATAAGAATGTCATATTATTTAAATCATAAGGTATTGTCTTTTTATACACGTTTTACACATACATCATATTTTAGAAAGTAAGTAATAGTTAAAGAAATTTTAAATAATAGTTAATAGAAATTTTATAAATTCAATTGTTTTACCAAAATCAGTTTGCAAAGCTATGTATTGATTTAATGAAGACTCTACCTTATGTGATTATATGATCTGTTATATGTGACGAAATTTACTATACAGTTATCAACTATTTTTAATTGGTTTCTTTTGATAATCCTATGAAATTAATTTATATATCTGTAAGACATTAAAAGGAAAGAGTTAAGAATGTTGATTGCACGATTAAAATATTGGGCAGTATTTCCTCTTAAATATTTACACAGAATTTTTATTATTTTAAAGAAAATATAATATACTATTTAAAAAAGTAGAACACATATTTACACAGAAATATACACAGACAATTTTTGTTGTGTGGAATTTGAGTTAGTCTCACAGCTTCCTACTCATTCTAACATATAAAATGTCCACTTAAAACAGAGACGCTGAAAGAAAGACTAAAAACATGGGATGCAATGCGGGCCGATGCCTCGGTCCAGACGATACGGGGTACCCTGGATCAGGTACGACCCAGTCAATATCCTCTAAAGCTTCAACCCTCGTAGGTTGCTTCTCAAATAGCATTCAAGTAGATATGAAATTAAATGTGGAATCTAGGGAATTTTTACTACAATCATTATGTAAGTAGCTTGCAGTAAACAAATTAGAAATGACTCTTAGTGAATTATCTTCAATACAAAGTATTAAGAGATTTAACGATACTATTACTAGACAATCAGGATTGTGTTGTAATTCACTTAATATATGCAATAAAATTATAAATAGATAGTGAATTCAAACTACGAGGTTTGAACTCTAGTCACTGTTTATGACAGTTTCAAAAGAGATCAGTAATGTCAAGTTACGCAAGTTCAAAAGTTTACCCTGACTTTTCCTAACTCTATCCTCGAAAATGCTTTTTAGTCTTGTCCATTTTTTTTTTGCAAATGCTGATCTTATATATGTTCTTAGTAATTGCTTACATTTTTTTATTATCATAAACAAAATAAAATTAAATATTGGTATCAAAATTATCTCCCATTTCTTTAGCAATTCTTACGTTTCTATATTTTTTGCATTGTTTTATATAATTTATATTATGTATGTTACACATTCATGCTGCATGTTGGTAGATATTTTTTGCTTTATTTTATAATAGTTTGCAAATCTGATTAGATTTTTTTTTTTTTTTTTTTTTTTTTTTTTTTTTTTTTTTTTTTTTTTAAGAAGAAACCGGTTATATATTTTATTAAACAATAATTATAGAATTCATATTATGACAATTTATTATCAATTTATAGTTATATAAAGTAATATTGTGTGTGTCGCAATCAAAATATCTAACATTTTAAGATGGGTATGTATGCATATGTCAACAGTTGATTCGTTTAATTAATTAAGAATGTTATGTATATTGATATGTATTTGCAATAGTCAACAATTTGTTGATTTTATGGATTTACATATTCATTGGATTACATATTCATCTACCAAGTATATTCTCTAATTATTCTTTACAAATGTTGAACTACGTAATTTAACATTATAAAACTGCAAGTGTAAAAAATTTTCTTGAAGGATTATTAAATATAGCTATAAGAAAATATATTTATAACTAAAAATATAGCAGTTGAATAAAAAGCTATATTTTATATGCATATGAATCAATTTCGATACAATTGTGACGTATGTATAAATAGTGGAGCTTATTATATGTAGTACATTGATGTACTACATTATCTTGATGTGCGATATAAACAATTAAAAATCAGTAGTATATAGGTAAGTTACTCATTAAGCATAGGATTTTCATAACTAAATCGTGGAACACTGCCCTTTAAGTTTTTTATGCATTATTGCTTTAGATGTGCATATATCTATGTTAGAAATACTTGTAAATATGTATGTCAATACAATAAAATTAATATTAGATAGTTATACATAGAATAGTTTTTATATTTATTAAACTTTTGTCAAATAATACACATGTAGAAAATTTAGAGAATAATTTTAGTTACTGTAATTAAAATGTCTATAATATTATATCTGAAAATATATCTCTAAAATTTTAGAAAGGATATTTTATTCTGCATAAAATAAATTATATATTATTATTAAAACAATATTCATTATGATTCACACACACGCACATGCACACACACACACTGTCGTCTTACATATTATTAATAATAAGACAAAAATAATATGAAATAATTACATAACTTTTTAGTTTGGAGCTTTTTATTTTATATAAAGGCGCAAACTTTGAAATTCCTTAAGTGTTACAATAAATCTTAAAAATTGTAGAAGTAGTAAAATGATTTCTGTGATAGTCTCTGTACAAGATATTTTAAACCAAGATTAAGACAAGTAAAATAACCAAATAAATAAGAACTATAATTTTTAAACTATTACTGTTTTTAAGAATAAAATAATTATTTTTATTGAATATCTATAACATTTAAAATTTTTAACAAAAGTCTGTGCCTATAATTTTAATCACATATATGAATGGATAAACACTTTGCAAGATTGTTACTAACTTATAACAATTTATTCTATCTTGCTTTTTGCATAATTGAAACTGTTACGCAAATTTACAAATTTCAACATTATTTTTGTACAAAAATTAAGTAGTCTTTAAAGGCTTTAAGTTATTTATTAATATTTTTCATATGAACATATATCTTAATTGTAGGATTCATGGCAGCCATTAGGAAGAAGTTAGTTATCGTGGGGGATGGTGCTTGTGGTAAAACATGTTTACTCATAGTCTTCAGCAAAGATCAATTCCCTGAAGTATATGTACCTACTGTCTTTGAGAATTATGTTGCTGATATCGAAGTGGATGGTAAGCAGGTATGTTGTCTTAACATAATCAATATAACTTATTATTTTTTTTATCATGTCACTAATTTCTGATATATAAAGATATAATATTTAATTATAGTACATGCATATAAATATATATATATGTCCACAGGTTGAATTGGCTCTTTGGGACACAGCTGGGCAAGAAGATTATGATAGATTACGTCCATTATCATACCCTGACACAGATGTTATCCTGATGTGTTTCTCCATTGATAGTCCTGATTCCCTGGAAAACATTCCTGAGAAATGGACACCAGAGGTGAAACATTTCTGTCCAAATGTACCCATTATTCTTGTGGGGAATAAAAAAGACTTGCGCAATGATCCTAATACTATCAAAGAGCTTGGAAAAATGAAGCAAGAACCAGTAAAACCAGAGGAGGGTAGATCCATGGCTGAAAAAATCAATGCCTTCGCATACCTTGAATGCTCTGCCAAGAGCAAGGAAGGAGTCAGGGAAGTCTTTGAGACAGCAACCCGAGCTGCACTTCAAGTGAGCCCATTTTAGTATTATTTCCTATACAAGGATATATATATATATATATATATATATATATAGGAATATTAGTAATTTTTTAGAACACACGAATCTATTTAATTTATTTATTACTAATTGTTAAAATATTTTTTAAGTATTTTATTTTAGATATTCAAGTTTTATCTCATTTATTTTTTATAATCCTTCATTATAATATTTCAAATTGATTGTTCTTTTTGATATTACATTAGTAATATGATATTTCAGGTTAAGAAGAAGAAGAAGGGAAGATGTAGGCTTCTTTAAAATGTAATGTCAGATGGGCCCAAAAAGTGGGTGAAATTATGGAATTGCAAAGCTAGCTGCAATAGAGCTAGTTGTAATACTGGAGGCCCCCAGTGAAGACCATAATATAATAACATCTTTTATCTTTAATTCTTTTACATAATAATCAAATCTACAAACATGTTCACATCAAAGCCACTGATTAACAAATCTTTCATGATACAGGACTTCTTTAACTATAATGAAATATGCTTCAAGTTTGAGCAAGTGAAAATTGTCATGTCAACTATTTACATTCAAAAAAAACATAACTGTTTCATTGTAGTGGCCATTACTGTTAATATTAGTATCATATTACTATATATGTATACATTCTACTTTTTTTTTATACGTATTTGCTCTTCATGTCAGTGAGAAATGAAACGAAAGAAATTGGGGGAATTAATAAGAAATATTAAAAATAATAAACAAAAAAAAAACAAAAAACCAAAAAAAAAATACGGAAGGAACCTACATAATATACAATGCAAAGTTGTAAAACTTTTAGAGCACTGTAAGAATCTAAGAGAAAGCGTTACAGATTCCAAATGTTGCGTCGCTATTTGATCGAACCATCAATCAATATTTCTTAAAAAAAAAAATAAAAAAATAAAAAAAAATAAAAAAAATAAAAAAAAATAAAAAAAGAAAGAAAAAAAAGAAAAAAGGAAAGAAAAAGCCAACAAACATAAACATACGTAAGTAGGCGAGCAGATCACTTTCGTCTTTAAGATACCAGGTAGACTAAATGTATTATTATTATAATATTATTGCTATATTAGTATAATACGACACTAACATAACGGATTGTAACAGCGACTATATTATATTTATGTATTTCGAAAACATCCTTTGTGTTTAATCACGATCATGAACAATGCTTCAGAGATCACACTGTATCTATATGTTAATATGAATCATTCATGCAAAATACACTAACAGATTTATAAGGATCGTATACGAGGAGACTACTGACCTGTCACGCGTAATGCTCAATTTCACTAAAATGATTTAGCTTATTTCAATTATTTTAAATTTCTCAATTTGTAAATTTTTTATTTTATACGTGATCTTTCGTTAAAAGTTTCTTTATGATACGATCGAAGTTGACATTAAAATAAAGAAAGAGTGACATAGAGAAATAGACAGACGAACAGACAAACACAGGTAGAAAAAAAAATTTTTTTATGAAATGCAATACACGCGTTTTTTCTTCATGCTTTAATTACGTATATCAGGGCATTTGAAATAATTGTAATCGTAGCATCAGGCACGTTTATTAAAGCCTAATCTATAAGGAATTTATTAAAGAAAAAAAGAACAAAAAAAAGAAAGAAGTCTGTGAACTAATCGAATTAACGGCCTTTGGTACGCTATGAATACAAAACCTTAGCCATTAATTCAGTGAGTGACTGTGAAACTGTGTTCAACTTGTTTTTTCTTAATGATTAGCTGTACATCATCATTGAAATGCGCTTTTGAAAAAATCCGATCGCACAGTGGGCAAAATTTTTAGCAATGGTAATACATACTTTTACTACGTTGTACTTTATGTACATACATACATAACATATACATACACATCCCTGCTGTGTTAGCTTCCTCAGAAAAGAAAAAAAAAAAGAAAGATAAAAAAAATATTAATTACTGCCGATTACAAACCCATTTTTCCCGGTACCGAATTAACAACAACAACAACAACAACAACAAAAAATATCTACTTTCGTTTCAGTAATTTATACTCTGTTGCGAGGTTTGGAAGTGATCTTTACAATTTGTACATGGGGATTTACTATTACATCTATATTAATTACGATTTAAAGATTGTATATAAATCAACCTCAACCATTCTTATAGTAGACGTGATTGTTGAATACCAAATGAAACTCGAGAATTACTTTCGAATACTTTTGCATGATACGATAAAACAATAAAGTCACACAAGGTGTTATTATCTCATTTCATTTCCATCGACAATTTAAACGATTAGATTTTCCTGATTAACTGGAATGCTATTTTATTTATTTTTTAAATTGAATATCCGTGTAACATATATATTTTGAATTAATTTATATTAAACTTTTTTAAATTTTCATGAAAATTTTTTTAATTCGTTAAATTCTATTTAAACTTTATCGTATAAACTTATCAATGAAATAATGATTATAGTAATCATTCAAGCAAGTTTTACATAAAAATACGTCATATATATCTAATACGATATAAACTAATTTTTTATGGTCAGATAATAAGGTTATACACTAATCCTAATCTAGAATCTTCCAAGAGATCCATCTATCATATTATTTATGAAAGTTTATTTTATAAAATCAGGGAAATTGACAAACGCAAGTGAGTCCAGATAATTTAAAAACAATGATTTTTTATATATTTAAAAAATCTTAGTGCGTGTGAGTAAATAAAAAAAATATCAAAATAAGAATCAAACTTAAATTTAATCAATTTAGAAATCAATTCGTTCATTTCACGTTATTTTTGCACATTATCGATTAATGAAGAAAGAAAATAGATATCATTACATATGCATTTCTTATAGAAAGCAATCGCCATTTTAAATTATTCACAAACCTAAAGGAACTATTTTCATTGATTTTAATCATTAAGTAAAGTTTTAATTGAATTTATTAATAATCAATAAATAATATCATATTTATGAAAATAGAACTCATGATAATTATATATTATATTTAATAATCATTTAAATATTGTTTGCATATTAACAAACATAAAATTCAAAGTCCAACATGATTAAAAAATGATGCAAATGAGTGGAGAGGGTAACCTTAGACTACGCAATATGTCATGGCAGTCATGGCCATGTAATAATGATCAGAAAAAAGGACTGTGAGCGGGAGGGGAATTTTATTTACAAGATATTGAATATTGATATTCACTTTTTTATAAGGAGATTTATTATTAATTATGAAATAGCTATTTTATTAACAATTTAAGAACAGTTGATATTATTATAGTTTCTAAAAAAGTAATGTCAGAACAAAAAGTTTTTGTAACAGTCGGTACAACAAGCTTTGATGATTTGATTTCAACAATATTAAATCCTGAAGTACTTGAGGTATATCAACAGAATGGTTTATACATATATCGTAAATTATTTCTTAACGATGTGTCAAAGTATTGATTATGTTTATTTCATTTTAGGCTTTAGCTTTGAGAGGTTATAATTATTTATCTCTGCAAATAGGTAAAAGTTCTTTAGAGCCTGATTGCACATCTCGATGTGGTATCAATCATATTGAATATTTTCATTTAAGTTCATCTATTCAGGACTATATACAGGCAGCTGACTTAGTAATAAGTCATGCTGGAGCAGGAAGTATTCTAGAAGCTTTGGAAGCTCATAAACAATTAATTGTAGTTACTAATCAGTTACTCATGGACAATCATCAGTTAGAATTAGCACGACAATTGTATGAAGATAAGCATTTGTATTATTGCACTTGTGATACTTTATTGAATACTATTCAAACAATGGAATTACATGTATTAAAACCATTTATATCTGATGAAAGTAAAAATATCATTAATTATTTAGATCGTATCATGGGTTTTAAGTAAAATAAATATGATTTATATGGTTACAATCAAAAACTAAAATATTTTTAACATATATATGCTTTTGAAGTTCATAAAATTATAGAAACAATAAATTAAATAAGGTAAAATATATATAAATGATACATTTTACCTTATTTAATTCCTTGGAACAATAATATTCAATAACTTTATATTCTCTTTTGTATTGTACAAATTCTCTTTTGTATCAGTACAATAAGTTATCATCATCACAAAAACATTAAAATTGAATAAACATTGATTACACATAAGTATATAAGTGCAAGGTTAATAGTATAAGGTATAGTGAGAATAAGAGAATCATATATTATATTTATGTTGAAGTACATATAAATAATATAGAATAGATAAACTTTATATTTAATAACAATATAAAAAATAATATACTTAACAAGCGTGGCTTAAAATGTTTATTTAGATATAAAGACAACTTTCTCATTTCATCTAAAAGTAAATTATAGAAGATATTATGGCAGTCAACTTTGTTAAATTTGTTCAATCAGAATCATTTAGTTACCTCTGATTAGTTACTTAAACGCTAAATCTGTAAATTTATACATATATATAATGACTCTGATAATATTAAAATAAATTTAATTCACTAACAAATATTTGCATATATTACTTATGTTATCATTTATATTATCATTTTTACATTTATTAGACAAATATCATTGATGAATTTTCATGAAACATTGTATAATCAGCTGTAGGATAAGCAACTTTTATATCTAGATGCTTCAAGCTGTTGTGTTTCTCAATCACAACAGGTATTACATTTTCAATTTATTTCATAAAGATACACGAATATGCAGAAATAAACTACATTGAGTTAATGAAATATCATTTAATTACAGACCAGACCAAGACGAGTCATTTCATTCAATAATTCATTACCCATTTGTGCAGGACTCCTTGTTACTATTACACCAGCCTGAAAATTAAGTAATATTTCATTAAAAAAAGAAATAATTGCTTAAACTTTTTACTTCAATTTGAATATAAAATATTCTCACCTTTTCAAGGGCATTGATCTTATCTTGAGCACCTCCTTTTCCTCCTGAAATAATAGCTCCTGCATGACCCATTCTTCTACCTGGAGGAGCAGTGAGACCAGCAATAAATGAAACTACTGGTTTAGCTTTACAACCCTAAAATTGACAATAAAAACGGTATTAAATTTATAAAATTATAAAATAGCCAAATAAATTTATATATATATAAGAGATATTAGGGTGAGGAAAAGAGGAAAGGGAAGAAGGAAAGTTGGCAAGAGTAGGGGATTTGTAGATGAGAGATTTGGAGGGAAGAAGGGGGAAAAATAGGAAGTCAAAGTATGAGCGGGGAAGCGGAAGCCAGAAATGAATGCAGATCTAGAGGCTTAAATGAGGAGAGCCAGGGAGAGATGTATTAGATTATAAAATAAATTGGAATTAATGTATATAATATATCTTTTAAGGAAAATTGTACTGAATAAGGATATGAATTAGAATGTGGATTAGGATGTGGATTAGGATTCAGGTACCAATAATTGAGAACCGCAACGAACAGTATTGTTTTCAATGAGGTATTCTGCCGCTAATTCTTCTGCGCTTCCACCAATTTCACCAATCATGATGATTCCTTCGCAGTCTGGATCTTTAAGGAATACTTCCAAACAATCTATAAAGTCTGTCCCATTAAATGGATCTCCACCAATTCCAATGCATAAAGTCTGCCCAAGACCAGCCTTAAAAAATAAAGTTTCTTTTTGTTTTTTTCTCTATGTTCCTTCATATTAATACGCTTTATAAGCAAGAATTACAAACTTACAATAGTTGTCTGATTTACAGCTTCATATGTTAATGTTCCTGATCTTGAAACAATACCAATTTTTCCTTTTTGATGTATATGTCCTGGCATAATTCCAATTTTGCACTAAAATGCAAATAAAGTTATATATAATTTTTACAAAAACTCATATTTGTTCATTATTTTATCAATAATTATTAAAAATTAATACCTGTTCAGGAGCTATGATACCAGGACAATTAGGTCCAATTAATCTCGATTTATTTTGTTCAAGTAATCGTCGCTTTACTTTGACCATGTCATGTTGAGGAATACCTTCTGTAATACAGACAATTAAGGGCATTTCTGCATCCATTGCTTCCATAATAGCTGCAGCAGCACCCGGTGGAGGAACATAAATTACAGATGCTGTAGCTCCTGTTGCATCTTTAGCCTATTATATACAAAATATACAATATATATATTATATAATATATATATAATATATATATATATATTATATAATTATATACTATATATATTTATATATTATTAATTTATATATTATTAATATATATATATATATATATATATATATATTAAACACATAATAATTATCAATTTTTAACATATAAATACAAAAGATTTCAGAAGTGATTTTCTCGAAAAGAAATCAACTAAATCTTATATATAGTATAAAAGAAAATTAAAATATAAAACCAACCTCTTTCACATTTTTGAATACAGGCTTTCCAAGATGTTCTGTACCTGCTTTCTTTGGATTAACTCCACCTACTACTTTTGTACCATATTCCAGAGCTTGCTGGCAATGAAATGTACCTTGTTTGCCAGTAAATCCTTGACATATTAATTTTGTATTACAGTCAATTTTTAAATTCTGCCTAGTGTCTTGGTAATTGAATCTTATTTGAGAATGTAATATTCTTTTGCAATTTCCAACTGAAATATAATATAAATATTACGAAATTTGTAAATAAAGAAGGTTACAAATTAATAAAATTAAGTATATCAAAGGAGCCATATTTTAATTTGTATAAATTACTTTACAAACAAATATTTCTCATATATAAAAACGCTTTACTATAATTATATAAATTGAAAAAATATTTCTAAAAGTTGATGTTATTCTTAGTTACAATATTAAAATTTAGACTTCTAGATCGAGGTTCAAAATTACTTGACAACTTATGAAAAAGTAAGAAAACTATAACAGTACAAAACAAAATATAATTTAATGCAATAATATAAAGTCAACAAAATTCAAAGCAAATTAACATGTAATTAAAGTTTAACTTTACAAAAAGAATTGATAACTTTAAGAGATAAAGTAAATGCAAGGTAGAATTTTTCTGTTGGTTTAATTTTAAATGACAATATACATTACTGGAATTATAAGATATACATGTATTACATTAAATTAATTTTACATGTATTACATTAAATTAATTAAAATTATGTTCTCTATGGAAAATAAATTCTATTATGCATTGCCTTATGTAATGTATTGGTTAATAGATGGACATAGATCAGAATTATTTTTAGTTCACAATAAAGATTGTTTACAAGATAACGAAAAATATTAAAAAAAAAAAAAAAGACGGAAATAAAATGTTTTAATAATTTAATGCAATATGTCAAAAAGTAGCTATGGTTATCTTAGAATGCATTTTACTTTATAAATATGTCGAAAGAAATATTAAATTAAAATTATTTGTCTTACTTGCGAATTTTGAAAATGTTCTAGTAGCCACAGCCATTTTCTACTTTTAGTTTTTCTATGGAAAAACTATCGTAAAGATCTGGATAATTGAGAAAGCACCATTAATAGAACTGCTACGACGGTTTGGCAAGAGGGCCAAGCAAGTCGAAGCAGGTATAAAATGAAATACGACAATATTGGTGTACACCAGCGAATGTAGTGCGCACGATTTAGTGAGCTCGATATTTATTGCATTCTTGGTGGACGTATATTGTTAATTTTAATAAAGAAAAAAAATTAGCAAACTTTGTTCTCTTCTATTCCATTGGCCGATTTTTAATGTATCTACATGATAATATAAAAAAAAATCCGAATCCCTTTTTTTTGGGTTAAAATTAATATGGCAAAATAGTTTGTTTTAGGGTATTAAATTTTCGTTATTGTTGCAGCTTGAACAAGAGGTAAATATATATAATATAATATATGTATATGCATTTATTACGTACAAAAACATATACATAGGATTGAATTCTTTCTTCGTAAATTTTATATTTTTTAATTAACAAATAGGAGAGGCAAAAAAATGTATGCATGATTATAATTGGACAAACAATATATCGAACGATCATGATTGGTTGATATATGTTGTAATACATATCGGCCATATTTACTATCACAGCGGTCGAATAGTACCGCTACATTGCCTATAGATACAGCCATTTAACATTTTGTGTACTAAGAGTTTGTTTGTATCGAACAATGAAACACAGTACACAAGAATAAGGCAAGTGAATTTATGATAAGTAATTAAGAAAAACGGATTATCGGTATCATGTCTACTGATTTTTATATACGATATTACGTTGGCCACAAGGGAAAATTTGGTCATGAATTTCTTGAGTTTGAGTTCAGACCCGATGGAAAATTGCGGTATGCAAATAATTCTAATTATAAAAATGATACTATGATACGGAAGGAAGCGTACGTTCATCAATGTGTTATGGAAGAATTGAAACGGATTATTCAAGATTCGGAAATCATGCAAGAGGACGATTCACTATGGCCACAGCCTGATCGAGTGGGTCGTCAAGAATTGGAAATTGTTATCGGAGATGAGCACATATCATTCACAACCTCAAAAACAGGATCGCTTTTGGACGTTAATCAATCACGAGATCCCGAAGGACTTCGATGTTTTTATTATCTTGTACAAGATTTAAAGTGTTTAGTATTTTCCCTTATAGGGCTACACTTTAAGATAAAACCTATATAAAACAACGTTAATTTATATATTCTTCATCTTGCAGATATTTCTACTATTAATAAGACACATGTAATTTCTTAATAAATAGGATAAATGCAAATTTTTCAGTTTATCATCAATATTCATGGTTATTGTGTATTTTGATAATTTTTCTAACAAGTATAAATATATAACTTCAAGTGTTCACTCCGTTATTTAATAAATAACTTTTTTAAATGTATGATAACTTTAAGTTTTTATCGTTATTATATATCTAGGTAACTTCAAAGACTATGAATCATAGATGAGATATCGTATTATAGGTTATCTTATCTGTTTGAATTTCATGGATTCGCTCAGTCACACTATCAAGTATATTAATTCGAAAATGAAAAACTGTAAATATAGTAATAAATCTGTCTTTAATTGATGAGTGCAAATAATAGGATTTAAATTAAAAAGGATAGTACAATAACTAAACTAAAATAAAATAAGTAAGAATATTTCTTATTGATGAATTTCGATTTTTTGTGAGGTTAGAATTTTTATTTATTATTAATTGGAATAAAAAGATATTTCAATTTATTTAATTAATATAATATTGAATTATAGATACAAAATATCTTCTACTAAGAACAATATGTCTGAAATACCGAAAAATGGAAATCACAGTAAAAGAAATGAACTAGTCGTTACAGATTCTGTTCATGAAAGATTTCGTGAGGATCATGTTTATTGTGACATTTGTAAAATTTATTTTGTTGGAAATTGTAAAGAGATAAGTAAACATTTTAATAATAATCATCCTTCTACTCTAATATGCCATTACTGTAATAATAAGGTATTCAAATATCGAAAATTAAGAAACGTTGATTTTAATAGCAAAGAATCTGGAGAAGTTATATATCACAAATGTTCTTCATGAAAACATGAATGTACAAAACAAATGATAAATCTATTATTATATGATAATGCAGATATAATAAATAAATTTTATTTACAAATAGTAAATTACAAAGATACACACGAACTTGTACATAATATAAGTTACATATTTTTCTTTAGTATTTATAAAGTTCACATTTTCTATTATAAATAATAATAGGTAAATGTGACGAAATACATTACAATGCTTATTTATAAAATCGGTTTCATAAATTCCATTATCATAGACAATACACCATTGTATTGCTTAAGGCATACCAGCTGAGTTCAGATAGTGATTTATAATATAAAAAATAATTGTCTTCAACACAATATGATAACTAGGAAAATAGAACTTTTATGAAACATTGTAAATTCTTATAGCAATAATAATTTAAAAGTTATACTATTAACAATATAATCAAATATATGATCATATGTTTGCTGACAAATATTAAGATATGTATGTATAACTTATACAAAATAATATTGTTAAAAGAAAGAATTCATGTCTATTAATTTTATACAAAGTAAGGTAACGTATTTGTTGTATAATACTTGACAAAGCTTTTGAAATAAATTACTTAAAGTACAACTTATATGTACTATTTAATAATATGACATTCTAAAACTGTACATTTGTAATTTTCTTATTGTTTTTAGATATTACAGTAGACATTAAAAAATGTATTATATTAATATTGTATAATAGCAAGAAATTTACTTTAAACTAAATGCCTTATAATAGCTCTATAAATTTATATAAATTGTCACGGCTTTAAAATATACTGTGCAGTTTAAAGTGCGTTTGAGTTGTTTCTGTAGGTATAATTAAATATATAAATTGGTATTAGTGCATAAAATTAAAAATTGAAAATGCTTTTCTTTTGCTTATATAAAATTAGATATACTTATTAATGCACTAATACGAAATAGATATTTTTTAATATATCAATTTCATAAACCTTTAGAAATCAAATAATATTATTCTAAGGCATAATTCTCCAAAAATAATTTTAATCTTGTAGGATAATCTGTCATTACTCCTGTTGCTCCAAGATCAAAAGCTTTCTTAAATTCTTCATCTTTGTTTAAAACCCAAAAGTATACCTGTTATAGTATTTTTATTTTCTTAATTATTTTTTTATATTACTAGTTACATTATGGAATTCATTATGGAGTAATCACGTCAAAATATGTAATTGTAATATTAAATTAATATAATTTGATCAACTCTACTCACATGTATTCCACGTGCTCTTAAATGTGTAAATAAACATGGTCTCATTAAGAGTACATTGATAGTGCGTACAACTAGTTTTTCGAATGATAAGATCGTTGGATTTGATCTATTCTTCCGTCTTAAGAACATAAAAGTGTTTTTCTAGAAGTATTGTATATATTTTATATTAATTTAATATAACATTGACTTACCGTAAGTAAATAGAAGGTAAAAATATTTCTAAATGTGTCTCTTTTAATGGTACAAATGGTAACAATCCAGTATACATCAGAAATAATAACATTGTAACACGTCGCATAGAAAATAATAGATTCACATTTGGATTCTACAATGAAATATTAATAAATGTTAAAAAATACCTATTTCTAAACTGATAATATAGATATTAATATAATTACTTACCATTTTGTAACATTTACGTGTAATTTCATCACTAAAATTACCCCAAACTGTATATTCCTCTCGTTTAAATTCTATAATCAAATCAGAAACTTGCTTTATAAGTTCATCATCGTTTATCTTAATGTCGATATTAATAGGAATATTTGGAAATGCCTCAAATACTTCTCTTAATAAAGGAAAACGCCTTTCATCTTCATTTGCAGAACCGATAAATTCCATGTCTGTGAACTACTATTTTTAAATAATTTCATTCAAAGCTGTTAATATTCTTAGAAGAATAAGCAAAATACCTGGATCAAAATCAATTGGAAGACGTGGTTTTAATGGTGGTAGCTCTTTATAATTTAATTCGGAGATGTTTTTATTGGTACCAGTACTACGTAATAGATTTTGATCATGCGACACAACCACCTTACCATCTTTAGTAAGATGACAATCTAATTCTAGCATTTCGGTACCAATAGCCACTGCTCTGCAATTAGATATATTAAATTATTAATATATCCAATCAGAAATGATTCAATCATTTTTCAATTTGAATTCAGAATGAATTAAAATTGGCAACAATTATATAACATCATACGTTCGTTTAACTACCACATTATATGACATTTATTTCATATATAAACATAACCTTGAAAGAATATATTAGAACTAACCGTCGAAATGCGGACATTGTATTTTCATAATTTTCTCCTGCTCCTAAAAGTTTTAGAATGATATTAAAATGGAGTATTGTAATACTCATCGTAATATTAAATTAAAAGAGAATGTAAATAAGTAAATAGAACGTACCGCCTCTATGACTAATATGATGACAATTGAATTTTATTTTTTTCTTTTTATGAAGTAATCTTGGATATTTAAAAAGTATCATCGATGTTAATACATAACCTCCGATTAAGGTATATAACAACATTGTTCATTGTTTTACATCCAACACATCTTAGATATGAATTGAAACCATTTATAATGTAATGAGTCAATGTAGTAGATGATACACACTTGGTGTTTCTTGGTGGTCAGTTTTTCAGCCAATAACAATAGTTACAAGAGATTTGTGGCATCAGAAAAGTATGAATTTGTAACATAATTTTTAAATCATGATTTACATTTTTTGTCCTATAGTTAATTATTAAAATTTTAATTTAAAACTGTTTCAAATCGAACAATAGAGATGAGAAAATAATCTGAAATAAGAAATTGTTAATTTTTAATTTTCTTTCTTTTGTTTTAGATATCCATAAACTGCATGTTTCCCGCGCACTGATATTTCTGTTTTCGTAAAAAAAATCTGAAAGATTTACCAAATATATTTATCTTTTTCTTACACTGTATAAAATAACTTTATATTTTCATTTTCTTCTTATTATGCGAGAAGAAAAATAAAACTTAACTTTACTCGGAAGATAAAATAATTTCTTTTTGAAGTCTAAATCTAACCTATATTATAAGCTGAAGGGACATTTATGGATGTACAATACATATAGAGGAATTTCAAGTTCACAATCGACATTCAATACAGATTTTTCTTAATTTAATTCCAATGGTTATTTACAACTATTTTAAGAAATGGCTCTTAATTTAAAGGCTATTTCTATCCGAAAAAAAAATTTAAATATACGACCTACGGAGCGATATGTGGGGGGTTCCTATATATATATATATCGACGAGTCAGTGCCTTGTATACTTTGAAAAAAATTGATATCCAACTAGATGTCGCCGCATATTCAGTCTCTTACGTTAGAACATCATTGATAATCTGGCGCTTTATCACCGTCTTAAAAGAGCTAAAACAAACGCGTCGATTACCGATTTCATTGTATTCAATTGTTTCTAAATATTCAGTTTATATTTATCGTGGGTATGTATCCGTATACATGTATTGTTATTGCATCGATAGATACGTAAAGAGATTCATTTAGAGAGATTTTATTAACAAAAAAAAAAAAAGAAAAAAAAGAAGTATGATACTAAAAATATAGTATCAGGTAAGAAAGGATATCAGAATGTTTAACATTAAATTGTCTTTTTCAATTGGATTTCTAATTAAAATAAACAATTTCTTATAATATATAATATATTTTTAATATTATATTTTATAATAAAAAATAAGTAACGAATTGTTAATGATAATTAACATCTTATACCGGTGAAAAGAATTTGTTTTTTACATACTTCTTATGACTAGGTATATTAAAATATTTGTGTAATTATTTATTGTTAAAAAGAAAAAAAAGGAAACAAAAAATGTTTTAAATAGTAATGTCATGTAAAAATTTATTTATATTCTTTTATATTCTAATTAGTAGAAAATTAAATGAAAGTGTGAAATGAGATATAATACTTTTTATTTTATATATAAAATTATTATTATAATTTAAATTTATCTAGGAAACTATATTTGTTGTCTATCATTTGGAATAATCTTTATAGCTATTAACTACATTTGATAGTAGTGTTCTTTGTTTGTGAAAGGTCATCATGTATGACCTTACTCTTATCTTAGCTTTGAATATTGAATTAATTATCCAAGAGTAGAATTTCTGTTCTTTATTCGAAGTTGCATCAATACATTCAGTATTTATGATAAAATAGTTATATTTAATAAGTATATATGCCATCTATTTTCTGACACATTATATAGTTGTAAATTCATATTAATAATATTTATTTCAGATATTTAAGAAAAATAATGAAGTTTTTCAGTCTACTATTATTTTTGCTTTGTTTCTGTAGTAGTCTATGTAGTACAAGAGAAATCACGTAAGTATATTGATTCATTGGAAATGAATTATGATTTATATTTTATATAATAAATTTGTATTATTATAGACATGAGGATATAAAAGATGCTATGTTAAGTTTGGTACATATGATGCGAGAAAACACAGAAAAATTGGAAAGACATGAAGTGCGTGAGCGACAGTTAGGAGAGCAATTAAAAAAAGCTATATCTGTATTAACAAAGCGAGTATCTGCCATAGATGGATTAAAACAGCAATTTACAAAATTAGATGAACGATTTGCAGGAATTGAACAATTAATTGCACAGGTAATGTTATCTTATATTACAATTTATTTTACAATTAACATTACATAACATAGAATGATTAGTAATAAAATTATAATTATGAATGTTATTTTTACTTTTGCTTAGAGGGATGAGCGAGAGCGTATACAAATGCAGAAAACAACAGATGCTTTGGAAGATTTGGAAGTTAAATTAGAAGGATGGTTAACAGATATAGAAACTAAAATAACCAAAGTTCATGATATATCATTAAATCATAGAGAAATAAATCCTGATATTTTATCCAAATTAAATAATACAGAATTATTGCTTATAGGACACATTACAGATCTTGAATTTACTTTAAAATCAACATCAATGGAATTAAAAGAAACTGTAACAAATCAGTTAAACAAAGCACAATCAATGGATATGAAGGTAAATATCATGTAAAATTGACTTAAAAAAACTGTCCACTATTGTGACACTTTCATTTTATGTTGTATATTTGTTAAAAAGCTTATTCTAATAATACATTGACTTATTTTGTATCTTCCAATAGTTGCAAGATATTAATGATAATTTAAAAAATGTTAAAAATTCAATGGAAATTATTAAAGAATCATCTAAATCTCCAAAGAAATATTTAGACGAACAATTAAATATCTTTTTACTAGTGAAAGAACAAAGTAAAGCATTGAAAGATATTGAAGAGTTGGTAAGAAATTCTATAGGAGATATTCATGAATTACCACAGTAAGTTATTTTCTATTAATTATAAACACAATAATAAATAAGTTATTAAGTATTATAATGTCTATTTTTATTTAGAGTTAATGAAGCTCGGACATTGCACAATGAAACAGAATTACTTTTACAAGAAACTAAACACACAATTAAAGATATCATTATTAAAGAAAGTACTGATATACAAAATAAAATAATGAAAAGTAAAGAAGAGTCAAAAGATACAGTTGAAGCATTAAGGTAATATAAATACATATGGAATTGAAAAATATCTTCATAGAATATAAATACTTTGTTAATTGTAATTTATGAAATTTTAGGATGGCTATGGCAGATAATTCTAATCATGTAAGCAAGGAATTACATGATCTTAGCAAAGGTCAATTATTAATGGTTTCAATGGCTGATCATGTATTAGATACGAAAAAAAGAGTAGAATATGGCGTACATCAAATTCTTTTGGAAGTAGGAGACTTAGTGAAGGCACAGAGTAAAAATATTAACAATACAATCAATACAAGATTCGATGGAATCTCTAATGATATAATGGACAATCAGAATGGTGCTTTAGCAAATTTAACTACCAAAATGGAACAAGAAATGAATCAGGTGACTATATAAAAACAATTTTATAAAGTAGATCTCTAAATAGGTATCTAACCTGTTTTTTTTTCTTTTTTTTTTTTTTCTTTTTTTTTTTTCTTTTTTTTTTTTTTTGTAAAGGTTTGGAGACAAATAAATGTAATGTATCAGCAAATGACAGAGAGTGCGAAAGCTTTAGACAAATTACATAAGCAAAATGAAGTTTATATTAATGGTACAACTTCTACTATGGATGGAATGGAAAATAAAGTAATTATATTTAATAATATCAAATTATTTAATTTAATTATAATTGATATATTTAGATAAAAAATAAGGAATGGATGAGAAAATAATTAATTTTATACCTAGGTAAGCGAAATAACAAAGCGTATGACAGAAGTAGATAAGAACTTAAATTATCTATTGGGTCGTCTTTTATTGGTAACACAAGAATTTAACCAAATTAAGAGTGGATTAGGTACAGCATTAGACAACATTAAAGCCTCTTTTAAAGAAGTGCAAGAAAAAGCCAGTGATTTAAGTAATCCAGGACCATATCCAGTGCCTGAAAATTATAGTGAACTAAATGAACCAAGAACTAACTAATTATATATACATGCAAAATATGGCATTGCAAGAAAGGTAGGAACCAAAGGAGTTATACATTTGAATATTTTATATACTTATATTAAATATTTGACGATTTACATACAATGAAAGATACTTTGTATGAAATTTTTTACAACTTCTTTTTTAAGTATATAATTTTTTACTGTGTAGTAAAGATATAAAATATTATCAATATATATAGAATATAATACATGCAGCTCATTTTTTATACAATGTTTTAAATAAATAATATATGTACATATAAATTTATATTAAATAAAAACTGATATATATATATATATATATATTATATTAATAGAAAATAAGGCTATAAAGCTGTGAAAAAGTGTAAGCTATACATGTATGTAAAGTTAGGTAGTATCTAGACAAACACATATTAAGTAGTATAATTTAGATACTTACTAATTCATACATTGTATTATTTCAATTAATATTATACTAATTGATTGCGTTTCATTTTGATCACATATTTTTCTAATAACATGAAATTAATTTTACTGATGATATATACGTTTTACAAATATATATAGTGTCCTATATAGTTCTCTACATTTGAAAAATTACGGTATAGATTAAAAAAATAATGAATTTTTTTATAGAACGTATGAAGAATATGGCATGGAAATTCAATGCTGTGATTTTTTGATGTAACTATTAAAGTATCCAAGTTCTTATGTAATCTAAGGCTCAAAGTTTTAGGAATAGTTCCTACCGTATTGATAGATGACTGTAGTGTCGTTGGGAATTGAACGCCATCTCTATCGTCTGTACGTATTGATGTGACGTCACTATGCAAAGGAAATTACACCTAACGTCATTCGCCTAGAACAAAACAGAAGGGCGGGAATGATTCTATTAAATGCTTAGTCTATTCTACATGTTAATCGATCTACGGTCTAGATTTAAGGTTATGACTGCAGTATAGTCGTTTGGTTCACTTTATCATATCTTTGAAGATATTTATATTCAGTATCAATTTATCAGAGGAAAAACGAACAACATGTTTACAAATGTTCGATAAAGTGTATATATTTTCTTTCTATGTTTGTCGTTTGTAAATAAATTGCAAATATGGTTTTTGAATCAATTATAGCAGAGCTTTTAAATAAAGTTTTGGGAGAGTATATTCAAAATTTGGATTATACGCAATTAAAACTTAGTCTATGGGGAGGTAAGTATGATTTTATATTATTAAATATGTCTTTTATCAAATATTGTCTTTTAAATCAGATACTTATTTAAATTGTGAAATTGTAATTTCCGGTAAGAGAGAGAAAAAAAATTAAAAGCCGATATCACATCACATTATTGCGCCTTTGTTTATGCAATATCTAAATGTAGGAATCATATTAAATATAATCGACGAATGTGACATCAGCTTCTATTTCTGATGTAATTCCATGCGCGTCTTATCACACGTTATATCAGGATAATTTTTAAATGGCCTATAAATATTCGAACTAATCTAAACAAGTTATTGATCCGATTATATTAATAAAATTTTCAGTGGAACAGACATTTTCACATTTTTATTTTCTTTTGTCATTTAATTTATTTATGATAATAATTTATAAAATATTATTTAAATATTACGAAATTATATGACTTTATATTAATTAATATTTTTATGTATTATAAAATATGTCATTAAATAAATGTTTGTTATTTCAGGCGATGTAGTATTAACGGATTTATTAATAAAAGAAACAGCATTAGATGTACTGGATTTACCTATAAGATTAGAATATGGTCGATTAGGTTTGTAAATGTATTAGATAGTATTTTATGCTAAGATACATTATATTTGAAAAAAGGATTGAAAAAGCAATGTTTATAATATATTTAGGTAAATTGATATTAAAAATTCCATATAAAGATATATGGAATGCTCAAGTTGATGCGATAGTCGAGGAATTATTTGTACTTATTGTACCTTCAAGCCAAGTTGTTTATGATCCAGAAAAAGAAGCGAAGCAACAATTAGAAGCCAAAAGGGCTGAGCTTGCAAGAATAGAGAAAAACAAACAATTAGCAGAGACTAAACGTAAATTTTAAAATAATCTATAATATATTTTTTTTTAAATATGAGAAAAAAGAATGATAAATTTAAGTATAATAAAATTCATATTTATTTTGTTTATAGCACACGAAAAGCTAGATGATTCGATGGTTGAAAAATTAATTGCTCGTATGATAAAAAATATACATGTTGAAATAAAGAGAATTCATGTGCGTTATGAAGACCATGTTACATTTAAGGATCATCCATTTTCATTTGGATTTACATTAAATAAATTTGTTTTAGAAAGTTGTACAGATACTTGGAGTACAACTGATAGCATGAAAGATATGTATGCAATTCCGCAAATTTATAAGGTAAATGATAGATATAACTAATTGATATTTTTTACAGTTAAAAAAGAATGGAAATTTTTAAACTACTCAAACTAGGTATTATTTATATAGGAATAATTATATGAATTAACATGATTTATTTTTAATTATTTATGAAGTCATTATCATTTACTTTAATTTGTTAATACTTTTACAGCTATGTACACTAGATGGCTTGGCTGTATATCTTAATACTGGCATAGAACAATTTAGTAAAAATCCACTTTCTATGTTTTCAAAACTATTCTCTGATGGTATTGCAACGATGGATTATACTCCTACTGATTATTTATATTGTAAGTTATATTTTATTGCATTATATAGGATTAGTATTTTATTTTTTTTTAATCACTTAAAAATATGTAGATAAATAATTATTATGATTCTTTTTAACAATTATAGTACTGGGTCCAATAAATGTTAATGCAAAATTAAAACTTAATCCAAAACCTGAAGCAGATGGTAGTAATTATACCATTCCAAAAGTATGGCTCAATTTGGAAATGCTTAAATTACGAATAGCATTGACAAAACATCAGTACCAAACTTTAGTACAGTTAGGAGAAGGTTTGGATCAAGCTCAAAAGGCTGCTCCATATAGAAAATATAGACCAAATATAACATCGTATAGGGGCCATTATAAAGAATGGTAAATTAATAAAAACCAACCTGGAAATTTATTTATATTAATATATAAAATAGAGTATACTCCTTATTACTTATTTTATTATTAATAGGTGGAAATTTGCATATACTTGTATATTGGAAGAAACTGTAAGAAGACATCGTAGAAATTGGGATTGGAATCATATGAAAGCACATAGAGATATGTCCCGTGAATATGCACAAGTATATCAAACAAAATTAACAAATAAGAAAGTAACGAAAGATATTGAAGAACGTCTTACGAATTATGAAAAAAAGATAGATCTTTTTAATTTAGTTATTATCAGACAACAAATTGAAATGGAAGTAAGTATTATATCTATTATTCAACTGAATGTATATTGAATTATTTTTAATAGTTTATTATTTTTTAATAGGTTGAAAGATTAGCAGAGAAAGAAAAAACTCTTAAAGCAAAAAGAGGATGGTTTGGTTTTTTGTGGGGTTCTCCTCAAACAGAAGAAACTCAAGAATTGAATTCTGCTGCAGCTATTAGTAATTGTTTTTACTTTTTATTTCTCTTTTAAGAAATATTGTGAAAACTCTTGTTTACAAAAATTTATTTGTTTATTATTACAATTTTATGGATAAAATGTTCTATAAGTTTTTTTTTTATAAAATAGAATGATACAAGTAATTTAAAATTCATACAATTTTTTAATTATTTCAGTGCGTAAATTCGAGGAAGCCATGACACCACAAGAAAAGGAAAAATTGTATCGTGCAATTGATTACCAAGAGAACATTGCACCAGCTCATTATCCCGAAACTTATGAAATGATTGATACTAATTTCTTCTTACATGGACTTCAGTTACTTCTTTTAGATACAGATAAAGAATATCCAAGTATCTTGGATTTACAATTAAATAGTGTTAAAGCTGGTTTTAAGTCACGACCTTCTGCTAATGCTATTTTGTAAGTTTCTTAGGAAAATTCATGCAGTACATATAATATCCGAAATAATATCCTCATTTTCAATAATATAAAGATTTAGAAAGATTATTGCATTATTAATTTCAAAATGATAAATAGTATTATTTTGTTTCACAGAATAACGACATCAATTAGTGATATGAAACTTTTTGGAGTAAAACAAAATGATTATATTCCTTCACTTTTCAATTCTGAACATGGAAGTGCAGATAATGTTTTATTATCTATTTCTTATGAAAAGAATCCTCTTGACAAATTATGTGGCGATCGTATTATTGTAAAATCAAAATCCGTGGATATCGTCTATGATGCTCAAACAATTATAGAATTAGTTAAATTGTTTAAAGTTCAAAATTCTTCAGCTTTAAATCAGTGAGTTATATCTTTTTTATATGAATTCTTTGATAACATGATATTTTACATAAAAGAATTTTATTTTTTATAGAATTCAAGCAGCTGCCGCAGAACAATTAGAAGGCTTAAAAGAAATGTCTGCTTTAGGTTTAGAGTATGCTATTGAAAAGCATTCAGTATTAGATATTCAGGTATGATATTTTATATATATATATTCTTAAATATATATTAAAAAAGGAAGATATTCTTAAATGGGATATAAACAAAAATAGAAATTATTTGATATTTTTCCATGTGTAGGTGGACATGCAAGCATCTCAATTAATTATACCACATGGCGGATTATATGATAGTACTAAATCATTATTTATAATAAATTTGGGTAGTTTGAAGATGCACTCTCTTGAGAAGCCTAAAAGTAATAAATCTAAAGCAACTGTTAAACAGCTTGCTAGTATGGGTAAAAGTGAAGAAGATATTTTATTACATTTAAGGGAATATAGTTATGACAAATTTGCTCTGAATATAGTTAATTTTCAGGTATGTATTTTTATGTTGCCTTTAATATAAGCTGTAGATATATATATATAAATGTTATATTTTCTTATATTTATAGGTTCTTGTTTCATTGGGAAATGAAAATTGGAGGGAAGCCTTAATGAAACATAATTCAATGACATTATTGTGTCCAACTACATTAGAAATTCAATTTCACAAATGTTTAATAACAGATGATCCTTTATTACCAAAAATGAGATTAGTAGGACAATTACCATCTCTTGCTATTAATGTAACAGGTTATTATGATAATATTTTTTCCAAAACTTATGTCAGTTCATTTCTTTTTGACAAATCTAAGAATAGAACATTTTGTATTATAGATGTACGTTTATTAGAAGTTCTTAATATTGCTCAAAGCATTCCATTTCCTGAGGAAGAAACTTCTACACAACTTACAAAATCAGCACTTGTAAGAAACTTGAGAAAATTAATATGGTTTTTTTTTTTCAATATTACTATTATATCTTATTTTAAGTACTTTATTTTTTTTTTTTTTTTTTTTTTAGAGCAAATCCGTTTCCCAATTATCTCTATTTAAGGAATTGACTACAATTTCTTCGAATGGTAAAAAGAAGCAGGAAGATAAACCACTTAAACAGACAACTGATTTAGAAATGAAATTCGAAATGAAAGGTAGTCATTTTCTCATATAAATATGATAATTATTTTATCTATTTCAACAATATATATATAATATTTATATATTTGTCAGAATTCACTTTGTCAATCTCCAAACAAGTAGATGAAACAGTCATGCCATTTGTAAGATTTGAGATCTTACAGTTAGAAATTGACATGTTGCAACGTTCCTATGATCAAGAAATATTATTAAAACTTGGTGGTACTCAAATGAAACAGCATCATAATAATGAAGAAATTTTTATGATAAATACTCCCATGTCAACTGGAAAAGACGAGTATCTTATTATAGTCCAGTATGTCAATGTAAGTCTATTTTTATATTTTATGATTAAAATTCATAAATATTATATAATTATTATATCATTTTTACATATAAATTTTTTATTGTTATAGGTAAATAAACGATCACCAGAATTTACTACTCGACATGGATCAGTTGTAAAATTGTTACAACTAGAATTTACAACATTAGAAGTAGTATTTCATCAGGAAGCCCTTATCGATTTTTTAAAATTTATGACATATATACAAGTAATATGAAATATAGAAAAATAAATGTAACGCATGTAATTTTTAATTTAAATCATTTTTATTTATTTTTTTATTTTTTCTTTTATTGTTAGGATGAGATACAATCTATGTCTGCTTTAAAAGAGAAAGTGCAAGAAGATATATTACCATCTCGGCCAACTCATTTATCTTTCATACAAGAAGAAACTTCTACATTTGTCAGAGATCAAATCCAGAAGCAGAAATTTAAATCTTCAAATTTACGTATGTATTTATCTATTTAGTAATTTTTCTTTACAACTATATGATAATCAAAATTTAATCTGGAAACAGTCCCAACTGAATTACTGTTTCTAAAAATTTATATTGTTTGTGTGCAGGACGTAAAAGAGGAGTGGTTGAGTTTATAGATTTAAAAATAAAAGCTAAAGTTGGCACTATAAGTATGAAAATGACCAGTAATGTAAGAGACATTAGTGCTTTTTTTATTGAAGGCATTATTGCTGGTTTTATAATGAAGGCTTCATATTCACAAGCAAATATTAATCTTACTTCTATTAACATCAAAGATCTTAATACTACATCAATTTATAAAAATGTAAGATTATAAAGATTTTATTTTACACTGAAAAATTGATTTTCTTTTTTATATAAATTCTGTCTTTATTAATCTTATAGATTATATCAGTAGAAGGTGAAGAATCTTTAAAAATTGAGGCAGTAATGTATAATATTGAACCACATGAATTTGATAAAAACAATATGTCTATTAAAATTATTATGGGTTGTCACCGTATTATATTTTTAAATGTCTTTGTTACAAATGTTATGGTAAGAGATTTTAATTACTTATAATGGTAATAATGTGTGTGTAAAAGTATATATAAACTAACCTTTATATTTTTAGAATTTTCTCAATAATTTCCAAGCAGCTCAACAAGCAATTAAAGAAGCATCTGCAGCAGCTGCAGAAGCAGCAAAAACTAATATTAAGGATGTTCAAGAAAGTGCAACGCGAGTAGAATTAAATGTAAAAATCAAGGTATATATTTTGATAAAAATTACACAAATAATACGAATTTTTACTTATGCAATTCACATATATTTCATATCATTTTAGGCTCCTCTTATATATGTGCCTAGAAATTCAAAAAGTGAACATTGTTTAATGTTAGATATGGGTAACCTTACAATTTGTAATATTTTTAAAAAATTAGAAGTTGAAACTGAATCTGAGGAATATCCTATAGTTGACGAGATGAAGATTGAATTACAAAATTTAAAACTCTTAAGGTATAATTCATTAAACAAAATTTATATCTTTTAAATGTTTATATATTTTTATTTTTTTATTAGAATAAGATTAAACAAAATTGAATTTACGATTGAGAACCAAGTACTATTGCTAGAACCAGTTAGTTTTACATTATTGATGAAACGCAATTTGTCAACTGCATGGTTTACTTCTATACCAGATATTGACATGTCTGGTCGATTGAATAAAATTAATTTATTATTAAGTCAAGAAGACTATGCAACCATAATGAAAGTTTTAGAAGAAAATTTAGGAGAATCAATGGAAGAGCCTAAACCTACACAAATTTCGGGACATAATGATAAAAAGTCTTTATCAGATCATCAGAATAAGCGAAGAGCTAGTAAGTGCTTATAATAAATGTCTTAACCTTGTTATTTCTTGTATATTTATATTTCATTTGATTTAAATTCACAGTAGAACCAATTAAAGTGGACGTTATTACTGAAGAAGAAGTTACAGTTTTTCAAGAGCAAAAACATGTGCATACGTTTATTAAATTTGAATTTATTATGGATAGCCTTGTCATTAATTTGTTCACAGGAGGTTCCAAAATGGTAAAGTTATATATTTGCAGAATTGTCACAGAACTAATATGATATTTATTATATTGTTAATAATGTAATTTATTATTTTGTATTAATATTAAAATTATTATATTGATAAATTTCCTTTCTTCAAACATTATAGAATTATATTTCATTACAGTTACAAACTCAAACGTCACCTCTACATCTTCCAGAAAATGGTTTGGCAAGGTTTTCCTTAACACATTTTGCAGTTAAAGGACGAATATTCGTTGGTGATTTATTAGCAACTTCTATCCTTCTTATGAATTGTACTTTGGACGATATTCGGCCTAGTAGAGAAAGTACTTTGACAAGACTCATGGAAAGGACAACAGCCTATTCATCTGCACATGATTCGGAAAAAGATGCAAAGAGTGTGAGGAGTATGTTGGATGTAACAGTTAGACGAGGCCCTAATGACATATTTGGTAAATATTACATGCACACATATGCAATACACTACGCGTTATATATAATTATAATATATATTATATTTTTGATATTTAATATCTTTTATATATAAATTTGCAGTTGATGTCAGAGTGTTTTCATTCAGTATTATTGTGTCACTTGATTATCTAATGAAGATAAAAGATTTTTTTAACATAGAATCTTCTACGTCAAGTAAAAATGTATCACAATCTTCACAAAAGGGTTATAATGAAGTAGTGACTAAGAAACGATCACCTCAAACTTCAGGAAATACTACCCAAATGTTAACTGTGAATTTACATGTAGAAAAGCCAGATATCATTCTTCTTGAGGATATGGATGATATAAATTCAAATTGCATATTATTAAATGTTTGTAATTTAAATATAATCTTTATTTATTTAGTAATATATATATATATATATATATATATATATATATTGTTATTTATGTATTGTTATTATATTAAGATTTTATTTTCATAGACTGAGCTACTTTTAAAAATGCGCATAATGGGTGAACATCAAGTTATAACAGGTTCTATTAAAGATCTTTCTCTTCTAACTGGTATATATAATCCTGCTAAAAGGGCTGATTGGATATATCAGGTATGAGACAATTATATAATTATAATCTTCTATTATATGTAATATGAAATTTAACATATATTTTTTTATTTCATCTATGTAAAAGGTTTTAAGACCATGTAGTGTTAGTGTAGCAGGTTCTACACCTGAAGGAAAAGGTCTTCATATAGATATATGTTGTACAGATATTCACATTTCTGTGTCACCAGGTATATACATACATATATGTCTAATATTATATTTATGCTAATATTATTAATTATTCATTATTAAATAAATAAATATTTTATAGGTGTAATTGAAATTTTGAACAATGTCATTCATACTGTAACTAAAACAGAAGTGGAAGATAATGAAGTGGTGAAGCCTGAACCTAACTATAAAGGACTTTGGCAAATTACTCCATATAAAGAACAAAATTATTGGTTTTTGAAACCAGGTTTAATGCATTTCATAATTTTTATTTAAAATGAAAAATCTTATATATAGAAACTTTCTAATACATTTTTAATGTTTGTTTATATAGAGATTGCGATGGATGTATCAGAATATTTTTCTTATCCTGATTGCGATGATAATGCGGTTTATAAACCTGAATTAGCTATTATTTCTGCACCAACAATTTTATTGACATTGGAAGCAGGTGTTGGTAACAAAACATTGCCAATGCTTCTGATGCATATTGGATTTCAAAGTCATGTCAATGATTGGAGTACTAAATCTGTATGATTATATATATACCTATATAAGTTTAAAAAAACAAATATTTTTACTAAAATACAATTTATATTTTGTAGATGTCCTTGGAATGTACAATTTCTCTTATAATGGCATATTATAATAGTCGTTTAGCTTTATGGGAACCATTGATAGAACCAAAGGAAGGAATACAAAATGGAAAACGTACTTCAACTCCTTGGGAATTAAAAACGAAAGTAAATTCGCTCACAATTTAATATTTTTAGATTTTTTTTTTTAAATATATTTCAATTATATTTTTGTTTTTATCAGGTACAATTTAATGATTTAGCAGTGAGCTCTAAAGGAGCTAGTGCAATCAGTCCAAGTATAGAGAGTGAACCAGAAGATTTACATCAAATTGCTAAAATGTCCATTGACGTAACATCTTCTGTAAGATAATTGATTATAATAGTTTTTTAAAAAGTAAAATATATCAATCTAATGATTTTATTTTATTTTTACATATAGGAAAATCTAGAGATTACAGTGACCAAAACTTGTCTCGATGTATTAAAACAATTAGGTAATGCATTTTCTTCTGCTATTGAAGCTGGTGGAAAAATGGCCACTCAAAAATTAGCACCATATATATTGAAAAATGAAACTGGCTTGCCAATGACACTAAACTTAGAACTTAGTCATTTTAAGGTAGGTAATTAGTATATATAAATTGCAACATCTATATTCTTATATAATACAGCAATTTATATAGATGAAATACATTAATTTTTAGATATTTGATAGTGGTTCAAGATCAAGCAATAAAGCAGATTTGTATACCGAAGTAATTCTCGAATCTGGAGCATCCATAGAACTTGTACCAAAGTTTACCAAAATAGAAACACAGCTTCTTGAACAATTAAAAGCTGATTCTGTTAAAGATAGTGAAGACAATAAATTTGTTGTTTCGGTAATGCAAATAATTTTTAAATATTCATTATAAATATTCATTAAATTGTGTGTCTTTAATGCATATTCCTATAAAAATATATTAATGTATTTTTTAGTTCAAAGAAATTTGTGATAGACTGACAATACCAGTTCTTCGAGCAGATAAAAGATTCTTCTCGTTGAAATATCGTAAAGATAACTCAGAAGAATGGGGTATTGTTTCTGATGTTGTTGTTGATGAAGGAAGCACTATTGTTACACTTAGAAGTATCCTTCAGGTAATTATTTTTGCCAAATAATATAATCATTTATACTATTAGATCATTTAATATTAGAAAATTTTGATTAAAAATAGCAATTTTGTTTTTTTTCTTAATATATGATAATTATTATAGGTACATAACCATTTCACCGAACCTATATCTGTATATTATATGACGAAACGAGGAAATGAAGTTGAATGTGTAGGCACGGTAGCTCCTGATGATCGATTGAATCTTCCATTGGATGCTGTATATACACCAACAAATATTTATTGGTTGTTCTTCAGTGTTAATGGGTTAGTTCATTTTACATTGTCTATATTTGCATTATCAATTTCTTATTATTAGATTTAAATTTAAACCACTATTACAGTTACATGGTTTCAATAGAACCATTTGTTTGGAAAGATCTTCAAAAAAATGTTTCCATGACAAAACTGCTAAAGTGTGAAGCAAGATCAAAACAAGAAATAATAGAACCATTTTATATACAGGTAATTATGACAATCTATATATATATATATATATATATTCTTTAATTTTTATGGTTTTTTTTAATTACACTTTTGAAAAACTTTTCTTTGTAAATAATTTCTTACAATAACTAAAATTAATATCTATATTATATTATATTATATTATATTTTATTATATTATATTATATTGTTGTGTCAATAATATTACTACAAATATAATTGTGAAATACGCGATGAATTAGATAATATTATATTGTACAATTATTTTTAACTTTATTGAGAGAATTTTGTTGGAATGCTTCGTATGCTTGTACAAGAAGCGATTTTTTACTTTTAGATGTTTTTCGTGATGATTGTGGTTGGTAGTATTCTCTATAATAACAACACGATCAGTTTATTATTAAATGCTATCGACTGGCAATACAAATTATGTAATTTTATTGATCACGTGAAACGTTTCTGCTTGAATTGTTTTAATTCAGAGCACCCAAAATATGTGGAAACGCCTATTCAGGTACTATCATATTCTTCAGTTAATATGTTGCAATCTTGTATATTAGTGATGATTTTATGGAGAATAAGAAGTGTACCTGCATTGTTTTGTTAGTTAGATCGTTTGTTATTAACTGTGAATGTAGAGATTAATATTTTTTATAACTGTATATTTTTTAACTAGAAATACTTGCATCATTTTTTTGAGAATATGATTAGTAAAGAGATGAGTATTATGTATGTAAATGATAAGGTAAAAGTTAGAGTTTTTTGGTGAGTGTCATTTTCAAAAATCACACTGAAAATGAAAATTGGATATACTATATATATCCCTTACATATACACATATATATATACATATATACATATATACATATATACATATATATAATTTATTCCGAAGTGATTATATCATATTGTAAAACTATCATTTAATTTTATTATTTTTATATCAGCTGCTTGTAAAACTATGGTTTAAATATTTACCAAGTATTTTTTTGCATGATTCTTATGTCTAGTTAGTATTGTTATATGAAGTATTGTAAATATATTATGTTGTTTATAAAAGTGTATTATAATATATTAATATTTGCAGGTTGTAGGAGAAATAGAGCAAGTTTATTTTGAAAATACTAGTCGCCACACAATGGCAAGCACTATTTATAATGTGCATTTATATCCATCTGTATATCTAAAAAATTTTTTGCCAATTGACATTATTATTTGTCTTCCTGGGATTATTGAAGAAAAACTTTTGGAAGCTAGTGCTACTTTACAGATTCCAACAATTGACTATACAAAGTCAAATATTGTTATTAAGGTACAGATAGTATTAATATTATATATATAATTTATATGTATAGCTAAAGTGACATAATTGTTTGATTTTGCAGCTACCAAATTATCTAGAGAAAAATTGGTCATGCAAAGGTGAAATAATAGCAAATCCACCAGAGTTTTCAGTCTGGTCTTTTGAATCGTTTGATAGTGCACAAAAAGTTGTTATGGATTTAGGAATGCATACATCATATAAACATGGCTCCATTATAATGGCTCTCTATTGTCCTTTTTGGATGTTAAATAAAACTGGATTAATGTTATCTTATAGGGTAAGTGTAAAAACATGTTGTCTTTTAATAAATATTGTATCATTTAGGTGTATATTTTTTATATATAACTAATTCTTTACTTATTTATTCCTAATATAATTCTACTCAAAATTTCATACAACAATTCAATCAAGAGATTGAATGTTTCGTAGTATTAACATTTAAAAAAAAATATATTTATACAAATCTTTTTATTAATCTTTAAATTGAAGCAAATTCACCGACTAACTATGCTTGCTGGCTTTTTTCTTTTCTTTTTTTTTCTATGTGAAAAATATATATTACTATAAGTTTAATTTACATTTTACAGCTTTTTTTTTTGTAATAATTTATATAATATAAATATTGAATTTATAGGGTGTTTCAAAAAGGATAATGTTATTGGAGTGTGAAGTTGCTGAACAAAAATGTCTTGCATGATCCTTTAAATTAATATTCAAATTTATATTTATACTTTTATTTAAACTTAATGTATTTGTTTATAATATTTTATCATGTAGGTGTCTCTTTAAATTTATTTTACGACATTGAACTCAGAATATTATTTTACAGAAGTCAAGTAAGGGTGGTAAAGAACACTCAAGTCCAGTTAAGGTAGAGCTTTATTACTATTGCACTTTAACTTCATGCTTTTTATAGAATTATTTTCTTGAAAGCTTGTAAAATATTATTTTAGAAGCTTGTAAAATTTTTGTGCTATTTATGATTAAAGTATTTATTAGTAGAAACTTCTCAACATATACATTTGGTATGATGCTATATGTATTTTTAATTCTTTTTAATTTTTTTAAAAACAAAGAAAACACTAAAAAGTGATAGTAATATTATTAAATTAATAAAAGTAGTAGTGTGTTTCATTTAAGTGACATTTATATAACAATTTTATTTGAATTTAAAAATGAAAATATATAATTATTCTTTATAAGATAATAATACAAAAATAGCACACTTTACATATTTGTTTTTATATATATATATATAAAGGTATATTTCAGAAACTCATTTCTGCTATGAAACCTCATCATCCACGTGCACAGTATAGGAAGAGGAAATCGGTGATATTTTCGTTTCAAAATTTATTTAAATTTGTTTAAATAACATTTAATTGCACTAATATTCATAAATTCAAAATTATAGTATCACATATACGAAACTGCAATACTAATGATATTTACTAATGATATTTCTTGCCAATATAAAAGTTGTTCTAACATCACAAATGCACAGCTTTTTAAGCTGATATATATGTATATATATATTTATACACACACATTCACATACATACATACATGAATACATACATACACAAGCTATTTATATTCTATTTCTTCTATAAATTTATTTAGTTTTTCTATTTCCTTGTATTTATTAATATGTTTTGAATACTTAAAAGAACACACATACATAGATAAAATATAATGTGTTATATATGTTTAATATATTATGAGTATATATGTTTAGTATAATGTCATAATCTGCAGCAATGTTTTGGTACTGTATATGCATGAGCAACTAAATAGGAGCATCATTGGAAAAATACTTGTGTTTTTATATATTTATTTGAATTTTAATTTCACTGCTTAATGAAAACATTATTATGAAGAAAACTATAGTAGTCTTTCCTTTCATTTCAGAGTGGTGAAGATCATTTAAATATTTTATATCATCCAGAACATTTTAAAGGACCAATATTATTTTCATTCCGCTCAAAAGTCTTTTTTGGTAAAAAGAAAGCAATGGTGAAGGTAGAAGATGGAGAATGGTCTGAAAAGTTTTCCATTGATGTTGCAGGAAGTGAGGGAGTAGTTGCATGCAAATACAATGGAATGATATATCAGGTATATTGTTTATTCATTACAAAATTGTGTTGTTTGTGTTACCTATATTATTTAATTACGTATATGTATTTTTATAATAAATTTTTATATTTTAGATTGGTGTACATAATCAACTGACATATAATTCTTTAACAAAGCAAATTACATTTACGCCTTATTATGTTCTTATTAATAATAGTGATTTTATAATTGAATGTCAAGAAGGCGATAGACCTGCTGATCCACTTATCGTAGTATGTTAAAAAGAAAACAAATTTATTCTTAAGTAAAATATATATTATATAACATATATATTTTTTGATATATATTATAATATATAGGTTTCACCTGGAGAATGTTCTGCTTTTTGGCCTCGTTCAGAACAAGAAGTAAAAACTTTGAAAGCAAAGGCTGCAGGATATCCTGAAAAAACAGCAGCTTTCATTTATACTGATAGCCATACTACACTGTTAAAACTAGACAACAAGGTTTGTGTTTATTATTGTGTAAAATAACTTATTAATAATTAAAACATTGAACAATTATTTAATAATTATATTTTTTTATTAGTACGGTGGTATTAATGTTGATATACAAATCAATGAAGGTGGGATATATATTTCAATGACAGGTTATAGTCCTGGCAATGCTCCTGCTCTTATTATAAATCACACTCATTATTCAATCAATTTTTGGGAAAAAGGATCTATAAATATAAAGTGCGTATAAAATTCGTTCAGCAACAAATTTTTTAACTGACATATTAAATAAATAAACATCACATATATTTGTAAATCACATAATTGTAAGAACATTTGTATGAAATAGAAAACATTTATATTTCTTGCAGAACTATTGCATCATTTAATAAAATGTTTTATACCTGGGAAAATCCTGCTGGTCCAAGAAAATTAATGTGGGAAGGTGATAACAATAAAGAAATAGAAGATGATCTAAGAAAGGTAAACTAAATTATTCTATTAAAGATTTACCAAACCATTAGAATTTCTAAATTATTTCTAAATAATCATTTTTTTTGGTTCCACTTTTTAGGATACTTTGGGTGCTTTTAAAATACTTATTTCGAATACAGAAGAGGATATATATTATGTATCGTTTCTTAATGGTACACAAAGAGTACTTCTATTTACTACAAATTTGAAAATAGCTGAAGATTGTCAACTAGTAGGCGATTTTGAGCCTATTGAACAAGAGATAACTCTTAATATTCATGGAATAGGATTTTCACTTGTAAATAATATTACTAAGTCAGAGCTTTTATACATGTGCATAGCTAGGTAAATACTCTTTGAAGTATATTTATAATTTTTTAATAATATTGGTATACCGATATATTATTGAATAATGATATATTATATTATTTATTATAGCTCTGGTATAATATGGGAAACGTGCAAATCTACTGGAAGTAGATGGCGTGGTCTTAATGCAAGAGAAATTAATATTATTGAAGAGGGATACCAAAAATATATACGTGAATTACAAATTGAGAAGGATCCGTCTCATAGAGTATTACTTGAGCCTAAGTTGGAGGTAGAGATCTAAAAATTTAATAATTAGCTTTATTCTATAATATTTATTTGCCATAATAGCCAATATTTATGCTGTAATTAATTTTAGGTTGATTACTTAAATATGGAAATGTTAAAACCACATCGTCGTTACATGCGACGTTCATTCCAAACTGGTTTATGGCTACAGTATAAAACATCAACTCATCAAGTACAATTACATGCAAAAATTAATAGATTACAGATAGATAATCAACTTTTAGATTGTGTTTTTCCAGTTATTCTAGCACCTGTTCCTCTACCTAAAAGTATCACACAAAGTACAGGTGAAAAGTGTTCTTAGTATTTTTTCTTATTATAATATTGGATTGTTTATTCCTAAAATTGTATTAATTTTACAGTACCTAAGCCATTTGCTGAACTTAGCATGGTAAAACGTCTTTTAGAACATAGCACCGTGCAACAATTTCGTTATTTCAAAGTACTTATTCAAGAATTTCATATTAAAGTGGATATAGTATTTATAAATGCCATTATGGCCTTTTTTGAAGCCAATGTAGCGAATGATGCGGAAGAAGTAAGATTTTATATTGAAACAATTGTTTTATTTATATCTATAATAAATATGTATCAAGAAGTTTTTAATTTTTGTGTCGTAGAGCGAATTATTCCGCACAGATATGAAATTGGTACATGAACCACTTATGTATCATGTTAGTCTAATCACAACAGCTGAGCAAAAGAATTTCTTCGACTTATTACACTTTTCACCTCTTAAGGTTAGTGATCTTATTTTTTATTTATATTATTATGTATAAAAATACTAAACACGTATTTTTATGATTATATAATTATTTTTTCTCCATTAGATACATATTAGTTTTTCAATGACTGGTACTGGAAGTGGACCTTCTGCACTACCTCAAGTATTAAATGTATTATTACAAGGGATTGGAGTTACTCTGACTGATATTAATGATATCGTATTCAAGTATGTTATTTTATTTCCTAGGTTTTTTTTTAACGTGATAAAAAAAAATTAATAAAAAATTAATCATTTCACAGATTAGCATACTTCGAAAGAGATTACACTTTCATGACAAATAAGCAATTAATCTCAGAAGCAACTACGCATTATGTAGGACAAGCTATTAAACAAGCTTATGTTCTTGTGTTAGGTCTTGATGTTATTGGTAATCCATATGGTCTTGTAGTAGGTACAATGAAAGGTATCGAAGATTTATTTTATGAGCCCTTCCAAGGTGCCATACAAGGTCCAGGAGAATTTGCTGAAGGATTATATCTTGGTGTAAGAAGTATGTTAGGTCATACTGTTGGTGGAATGGCAGGAGCTGTATCTAAAATTACAGGAGCTATGGGTACAAGAAGATTACATAACATTCTTTTTCATTTACTAGTCATGCATACGTACATTTATAATCGTAATGTTTTTATATGTAAAGGTAAAGGAATAGCTGCTTTAACTTTTGACAAAGATTATCAAAGGAAAAGGCAAGAACAATTGAATAAACAGCCAGCAAATTTGCAAGAAGGACTTGCAAGAAGTGGAAAAGGTTTAATAATGGTATGCTTATGAATTAAGTTAATACTTAACAAGAAATACTTTTTTATGACTTATATATTAAAATTAATCGTTTATATAGGGAGTTGTAGATGGTGTAACTGGTGTTGTAATGAAACCTATATCCGGTGCTAAAGAAGAAGGCGTTGAAGGATTTTTCAAAGGTTTTGGAAAAGGAGTTGTTGGACTTGTAACTAGACCAACTGCTGGCGTTGTTGACTTTGCTAGTGGATCTTTCGGTGCTGTTAGACGGTATAAACATATTTCTTTTTATATTTTGTAATTTTTTATATCTATAAAAATAGTTTAAAAAATAAAAATATATTTTAGTGCGGCTGAATTAAACGAAGAAGCTAAAAGAGTTCGTCCACCGAGATTCCTGCAGCCAGACAGTCTTGTTCGACCTTATATAAGGGATGAAGCAGATGGTAATAAAATTCTGATTGTAAGTAACTCATACAATTTTATGATAATAATATGGCACATAAAATATTATAATAAATTTAACATTATTGAAATTTATATATGTATTTTTTTTTTCTTTTTCACAGGAACTTGAAAAAGGAAAATACGCAAACACAGATATTTATTTCTATCATATATATATAAATAAGGATGTCCTATTACTTACTGATAAACGTATAGCGTATCTTGAACATAGTGATTTATTCGGTGGTTGGAAGGTATTTCTTAGATCAAATTCGAAGAATTTCTCTGTCTACTATAAAATTATTTATTCAAAATCTTACTTTGTAGGTCGATTGGACTCATACATGGCATGAAATTGGTGAATTACCGAAAGTAGTAGATAAAGGGGTACAGATTTTCATTAAAGATTCCTCAAAAAGAAAGAAACTGGGCAATTTATTTGGTAGTACAGAACAATCCAAAATAATCTTAATACCAGATAACAATATAAAACAGGTTGGAAATTTTTTTTCTTTTTTTTTTTGCATTTATACTTAAATAATAAAAAATAATTATTTATGTATCTTATTATTTTTATAGTTACTTTATACTAAAATATGGGAACAGATGAATCAATATGGATTAACGGATGAATTTAAATAAGTTACCAGTATGAAAATCAAAAAGAGAGAGCATAATATATTGACAAATTACTTTTGAAACTTTATGCTTAAGCAAAACTAAGAGTGCCTAAATGCTCAATTTGCATTAAGCTTTGCAACTGAAGTTATATAATTTTCATGCACATTCAACTAGTTTTTTATAAATAATATTTGCAAGACTGACAAATATTAGCTTTTAAATAGCTATAGTAAAGAATATAAACCTATATTATTTCGAGATAAATATAAAAAAAAAATTAGTATTCCCAATGCATAGAATTTCAATAGATTAAATATATCAGTCAAGTAATATTTTATTTTATATTATATAATATAATATATTATTAATTGAGTTTTACTAATTTATTAAGAAAGTAATATATACTATATATAATATATCAGTTTGTAATTATTAAGAAACTACTTACTAAAAAGTTGTTAATTTACAAAAAAGAGAAAACGCACATTTTTTTAATGATACCGTAAGTATATTTATATGAGATCATTTATGACAATGTCACGTGATTATTAATATAATACGCATACACATTGTTTGTTATAATAGAATTATTTTAATATTTTATTTAAAAAATTAAAAGAAAGTTAACTATCTTTGACTTCTATGCAAAAATTTAAATATAGATATATAATATTGTTCTAGGATATTTCTGTTGAAGTATTCTCTAAAAATAATAAAAAACTTATATAATTATAATAGAATTATATAACTAATAAAAAGATATAGAGAGAAAACATTCTACTTAATCTTACAAATTCTTTTTCATTGCCTTTGAATAAATTATGTTATTTTTAGATATGTATACATATGTAATATGAAAATATCCTGATATTGGAAATACAACAATAGTTAACAAATCTATAAAAGTGCAACTTCATTTAATATAAATCGTCATTTGTTTACTTGTCAGTTGTGTATTTATTTATTTATTTTATTATTTATTTTTTTATTTTAAAATATCTCTTATATACTTTTGAACTCAATTTTTATGCATACCACAAAAATACGTTATAGAATATCAATAAACATTATTATAATATTGGCATTGGCGGAAAATAAATTCTTTAAAGTCACAATACTTGAATAATAATTGTGAATATAAAAAATTTTTGTAATATCTAAAATTTTATACACTAGACTAATGCAATCAACTAATTCCAATGAACCACACGTTGAAAATATTGTACAAGGACCACCACAGTTACCACCTTTACATAAAGGACAAAAAATACAAAGTGTAAGCTAATAAAAAAGAAATTATCATTATTTAAAATCCGCATACATAATATAAATCAATAAACAAATTTCACATTTTTAATAGGGTCCATATACTATTACCGTAACAGATGATATGGTTGCACAAAGGGAAAGACAAAATCAAGAATTATATAGAGCGTGGTTACATGAGCAAAGAAGAAGAGAAATGGATGATGATTATATGGGAGATTTTAAAGATTCGGTAGTGAGGAGGAACTTTATTAGGAAAATTTTTTGCATATTGGGCATGCAACTTCTATTTACAACAGCTGTCGTAGCATTTTTTATGTTTGTGTAAGTTGTGTATTATTTCAATATTTTAAACATATTTATTAATCCTTCTTTACTTTTAGACCTGTTGCACGAGAATTCATGTTAGTTAATTGGTTTATTTGGCTAATAGCTTTGTACGTAGACTTTTTCATTTTATATAAATTATTTTAAATAAATTATTTTAATGTTAATTAAGTTTTTTCATGTTGTTAGAATAATCTTTATGATCACATACTGCGCTATAGCATTTTCTGATTGTGCAAGACGCCATACACCAAATAATTACATCTGTCTTTGTTTGCTGGTAAAATTATTTATAGATTAATATCTATATTTATGTATTAATATACAGTTTTCATATTTCCTTTATATACTTTCATATTTGTTTCAGACAATGGCTATGTCATATTTGGCTGCTTTTGCTTCTGTATTTTATGCTGTAGAAGTTGTTCTTATAGCGTTAGGCATGACAACAATTGTAACTATCACAATTAGTTTTATAGCCACATTCACTAAGGTATATGTAAATTATCTATTCCTATTTTTATTAAAAATTTTTTTAAGTATCAAGTAAAATATTTTGAAGTAAATTTTATAAGTTAATTATTTTAATAATGCATTATACGTTTACAGTTTGATCTAACCATGCGAACAGGATTGATAACAATAATTGGATTAGTTGGAATTATTGCTCTTTTTGTAATGGTGATGGTATCAATATTTATGTATATAAAAACATTGCACATAATAATGGCCATTATAGGAACACTTCTTGTATCAATGGTTAATATTAATTTCATAAAATATATTTCATTATTAATTATATAGATACATTTTATAAGTATATTAAATCACATTTCTACTATTATTTCAGTATCTATTTTTTGACGTACAAACAATCATGGGTGGACGAAGAATAGAATTAAATCCAAACGAAGTTGTTTATGCAACTACTCAAATTTATGTTGACATAATTTTACTGTATCAGTACATTCTTATGTTGCTAGGTTTATTTCACGAAGGATAAATACAGAAAATTTATTACATTTTGTATTTATATATGTGTTATTTTATTAAAAGAAATAACGAACTTTGTTATATTATAAAAATCAAATTACTTAAATATTTCAGTTTTTCCACAGCACATTATGATATATGATAAATATATAGTCTAATTAAAAATGTATATTTGTTATTTATTAAATATGTATAGTGTAAAAAATTCAATAAAAATCGAAAAAGATTTTTGAATAAACCGCTCAAAATCGAGTGGTCCTAAGTATATATCGATTATATCGATCAACATTATCAATTGCAATTACTTCTTAGAGAGAGAATCGTAATTTGACTTTGCATTAGTTCAAGGTGATTTGAGAAAGTAACTCATCGTTGGCTTAGTAAAATTAACCGCGAAACACGAATATCGGTCAAAAAGAATCTATTAATAAATAAAGAAGAAATTAGTAATATACAAAAGACGAGTGGTTTGTAAAAGAAAAAGAAAAAAATGGCAACTTTTGTTCCTGATTCAGAAAACATTAAAGCAAAGGCTTTACAAGCTTTTGTCCAAGAATTTGGTGTTGAAGCAACCATTTGTGCTTGTGCACCTGGTCGCGTGAATTTAATTGGCGAACATACGGATTACAATGAAGGATTTGTATTGCCAATGGTAATTTATAAAAATTTCTAAACAATATATACCAATATATTTCTTTTATTTCGTGAAAAATTTTTGACTGTCATTATTGGTTCGTTAGATGTTTTCATTTACTTCGATTCGTAATTCCTAATACTATTGTGAAATCCAAGATAAGAGTTAAACTTCGAATTTTATTTATTAAACGAGTTACGTAATTGTAATAGAGTTAAGTAACATCTATTTTTTCATTAGCAACGAACTGATATACTGCTTACGTGAATACAATGTCTTATCTTGTTAAAATTTTTTTGGCGCGAGAAAAGTTCCAATTCAAAAATTGCCGCCTAGGTTTATTATAGGCGGCAGTTGTTTTGCTCAGGGAAGAAACTAAATGTTTTAAATTCTGAAATCGATGTATAGAGAAGGGGAATAAAAGAAATTTTAGATAGATTAGAGGAATATTAATAAATTTTTGTTATTGATATTAATTAATCAGAATTAATAAGTATACTAATTATTTGTAATATGAATAATTTATGATTTTTCGTTTATTTTGTAATTTTTGATTTTATATAATATTAATAATGTATTATAAAAGGAATATACTGTATTGTATCATTTAGTTTTTTTTTTATGTTTTAATATTATTAATACTATTTTCTAGGCATTACCTATGGTCACAATAATAGCTGGAAGACCAAATAATAAGAAAGAATGTAAGATTATTTCTCTCAATGAAAATATTGGTTCATTACGACAAGTTGAATTTGATATCAGTGTTAAAGAAAATATAAAAACAGGAGAACCTAAGTGGGCTAATTATATAAAAGGATGTATTGTATATTTTCCATGTAAGTTTACAAGCTTTATTAAAATCAGTGATATAAATAATTAATATGTAGTACAAATTTTATGTGTGTTTTATAAATATATTTATAGGTGATTTGTCAGGTTTTGATGCTGTGATTGTCTCAACAGTACCGGTAGGAGCAGGTTTAAGTAGTTCTGCTGCTTTAGAAGTGGCAACATATACATTTCTCGAAGCAATGAGTGGCCATAAACTGGAAAAAGCTGAAGATAAGGTATGTTTCGTATTTTGACATTGATATATATATATATATATATATATATATATATATATATATATATATATATATGTATAGAAGAAGTTGCAAAAAATAATAACATAAAATAAAACAATTTCTACATTTGAATAAAAATATAAAGTTTACAGGCCTTAACATGTCAACGAGTAGAACATGATTTTGCTGGCGTACCATGTGGTATTATGGATCAGTTCATTTCTGTGATGGGAAAGGAAGGTTGCGCACTTCTCTTAGATTGTAGAGATCTGTCAACCAAGCATATACCTATGAAACAAATAAATGATTATGTTTTCCTAATTACAAATTCAAATGCACCTCACAAGCTAAGTAGTAGTGCTTATTGCAAACGTAGAGATTGTTGTTATGAGGCTGTAAAAAAGCTTAATATAAAGAGCTTAAGAGAGGCAACAATAGATAGTATTGATGGTGATTATATTAATATAGATCATTTGTAAATATTAATAACAAGGAATTTGGACTAACATTTGTTGCTTCTATTTCAGTGTTAAAATCACAAAATGTCTCTGAAGAAATGTTGAAAAGAACTCGTCATGTAATCAATGAAATTCAAAGAACAATTAATGCTACAGTTGCTCTTGAAAAAGGTGATTTTGTACAATTTGGCCATTTAATGAATGAAAGTCATGAATCTTTACGATATGATTATGAGGTGTCTTCCAAGGAACTTGATACATTAGTAGCTGCAGCTAGAGAAGTTAACGGTGTTTTAGGAAGTCGTTTAACTGGGGCAGGTTTTGGTGGTTGCACTGTTACTTTATTGGAAAAGAAAGCAGTTGATGATGTCATTCAAAATATAAAAGCAAAGTTAATATCTCTCTTCATAGTTTAAAATTTTCAATTAATATAATTATTAAGTATAATATAATTTATTTATTAGGTATACAGGAACTCCAACCTTTTATATTGCAAAACCAGCTAATGGAGCAAGAGAAATGGATATAAAGTGCTAAATATGAGTAATAACTTTATTATGTAAATTATTGTTTTTATTGCTTTTTAATTTTTCTTGTACACAATAAGTATATCATAGAAATTTCTTATCTATTTACAGAGAAATGAAATTGGAAAGAAAAGATATGCAGTAACAAAGAAATAAAAAACTTTATAATCCAATTTTCCTTTGGTATTAGTAAGACAAAGGTATGTAGTGATATCTGAGAATAAAAAAATTATAAGAATATTGGAATTTCATAAAAAATTATATTATTAATATCAGAAGATTTGTCTTGTAATGAATTCTGATTAGTTGATTTTAAAGTATATAGTTTTGTTTTATGTTCTTGTATGTGTAAACATAATTTGTTAATGAAAAGATAGTTTACTAATATGTTTATATAGAAATATGTTTAATATATATATAGTCTAAAGTAAATAGAATAACAAAGGAAGGATAGGAACTAAACGATTCCTTTTTTTTTTTTAATTATGTACAAATTTCTTATATTTCTATTAGGTATGAGAAGTAAGTACATATTTTATTTGTAAAAATAAGATGCACATTTGAGGCATACCAAAGAATTCTTAGTATATATGAACTAATTAAAAATTGTAACATTTAATAATACGATGTTTAATAAAAGGTATTGTTACGAACGTTTTACCGATTTATGCTTAAGAATACATAGTTCTTTTTACTTTGTTCTTTTTTAATTTTTTCAGTTATAGTTACAAAGCTCGTCATAAAGCTTAATAGTTAGACGTTTTTTGATGATTTTATTTATCAATTACATTTCATTTAGTTTTTATCAATAAATATGAATTCTTAATTATACGATATACATATAATCTCACTTATAGAGCAGTCAAAAAACGTTTAACTTTTTTTTTTTTTTACTAAAAAGATTCATTAATTATTAATTAGTATATCAACTAATTCATTAAACAATACAATACTGTTATACCAGAGTAATGTTTATCGAACCTTTTATACATGATCATTGAACAATCGTAACTAAAAATTATATAACGAAAAAAAAAAGAATATTATTAAATATATAATATCTTCGGCGGATTATTTTTTTTATGCGTAAGCAACAGTATGGAATATAAATCAGGTTGTAGTATTTCATTTATAAAATCCCTGTATGCTTATACATCCGACGCAGTTGGCATTTTAATTCTAAAGTGCTGACATAATACTGTTACTTGCCAAGAGCGGAGAATAGGGCGATCTGCTTATTTATGAATCATCAAAAATATTAAAATATATTCAATACCTGCTTATAGTTGTCGTCGAAATATTTGAATATTCTGAAAGATAAAGAAAATAAATTATTAATTTAGATCAAATTATATAAATAATAATATAATAAATTATATATAATAATAATAAACATACATTAACAATTGTTAAGACCAAAAATTAATGCGTTTCACATTGATTATGTTCATAATTGAATTAAAATCGTTATTAAAATATTATAAATTCAGAAAAATTCTAAGTATATATATATATATATATATATATATATATATATATATATATATATATATATAAAGATTAATAAAAAATTAAGTAGATACAATAAAAAATAATAATGACGACTCTTATACAATTTTGTAGATTAATAATTATATAAGTCTTGTATGCATATATAAATATACACGTAAACGGTCAACAATGTTTTAATATGATCGATAAAGATTTACCTTTAAGGCAGTCGTTTAATTCGAGTTCGCTGGAGCTACACTTCAAACTCGATGGTTTTACTCCTCTGAAAATTTCAACAATGCTAGGCTTTAAATTATGAAAGATTAAAGGCTGACCACGTTTTGAGAAATCTTCTATCAAATTCTTTACACCCTGAAAATAAAAAAATGATGAAAATAACGATGAAAGAAAAAAGATACATTTGATTTGTCTTAAAGATCTTCGAAGGTTTTACCTTAGCTGCAGTAAAATCGACAGCTTGTATGTGAGTAGAATCAATAACAACAGGTACAGTAACACCCTGTTTTGATCCCTGTTTACTAATTACAGCTCGAACATATTCAACGCTTGGAAAGACAAGACTTCTATCTGGAGTTATGACAAGATATTCACAGCCGCTTATACTCTAGAAAAATACATGAAAAATATACAATTTAACATTTTTAAATATTATTTATAAAATATGAAGAAAAATAGTAGCACTCACTGTAGCTTTTTGGACTCGCAAAGATGGCCTGGCCGATGCATAAAGCAAAAATAGAAGATTAACGCCGATGCCGATCACTATACCTAATTCTAATCTCACGAAAAGACAGCATAAAAATGTTACAATCGCAGGTACCAGATCGATCTCTAGAAGAAATCATAAAATTCGTTGATAACAAAATCTAGTAATAATTTGTTAATTTATATCAAATATAAACAATGATAAAATTTGTTAATGTATCTTGTGATCACATACATATATACTCATCTATTACAAGATACATTAACAAATGTTAAGATTTCACAAGAGGCATACGTACTTTTAGTTCTCCACATTGGCTTGATAACGTGGAATTCAACCATAAAGACTACAGCTGCTATAATAACTGCCGCAAGTGCTGCCTTAGGAATATATTGAAGATATGGAGTAAGGAATAGTAATGATATTAAGACAAGAAGACCCGTATATATTCCACCTAAAGTAGTCTTGACACCAGAGGAATGATTAACAGCACCTCGACTGAGTCCACCACTGACTGGCATTGATGATACGAAAGAGGAAATCACGTTGCATACACCTAATGCTAACATTTCTTGAGTAGCGTCTATAGGATTACCATCGTCTAAAGGAAAAGGTGGGCATGATGTAAAATAAAATATTAAAATTATAGTTACTATAAAATTATAATGATAACTTGTATTTTACATTTTATATAATGTTAAAAATAATAATTTCTTACTGAATACTTTGGCGATGGAAATAGTTTCCAGAAGACTCAGCAAAGGTACGACTAGACATCCGGAACCTAATTCGCTGACCATGTCACTGAAGTGATAGGTTTGATTACCAACACTCGATTCGAAAGATGGCAAATGGAAATTCGGTAGACCTGCCTTTACTTCTCCTGTTAACATGACTGGTGATGAACCAAGATAAAGTTCCAATAGCCAACACATGACAGCACAAACGACAACGATCAAGATGTTTCTGGCAGTTGAGATCAACCAAATCAATTTTCTTAACGTCAATTGAATTTTCGTTGGCATCTTAACATTCCGTGTCATTATCGGCAGATCTTTGGCTTTCTATGGATAGAAATATGATTATGTTACATGCTAGGTAAGCGAAGGATAGATCAATTTAATTATATAAATTAATCATTCTAACCCTGAGAAGTAACAAAACAATTATGCACACAATTCCTAACGTAGCGTCCCATGGCCTGGTATCACCGATCTTTTCAAAAATCATTTGCCAGACTTCTAAGAATTTTCCACCAGATATATTGATCCCTAAAATATCTTTCATTTGACTGGTAGCGATGATGATCGCTGCGGCTGAAGTGAAACCAACCGAAACTGGTCCCGAAATAAAATCGAGCAAGAAACCTATTAAATAGAAATAAGAAATATTTTAATTTTATTTTGTTGCGGAAAATTGTCCTCTTTTATCTTATACGATCAAAGCGATTAAATGAAAAGATCTATAGAGTTAATTAATCTATACTAAGTAACAACTAGCGAGGAAGGATATGAAGTTAGTGTTCATAATACGCAATGTGTTTATTGTTGTCGGTGTGATCACTATCATGGATCTTTAATAGTCTCTATGAAATTACCTAATTGCAATATGCCCATTAACAAGGATATACAGCCGGAGATGAAGGTCAATAAAACGCTAAAGTCAGGTCCTAAGTGAGCTTTTTGAAGGGTTTCTCTTGTTAGGATTGCAGCTATTGCTGTTGGTCCTACAGGAACATCCTTGCAGGAGCCTAAGATAGTATATACGAAGCATGCCATGAAGGATGAATAGAGACCATACTGAAACATATAAAAATATTCTTCAATCTTTGCTTTTTATTTATTTAAACAAATTATACATTTAACGATATATAATCGTAGGAGTTTTGTTATCTAAACGAGCAAGTATAAAAATTTATCAAAAATTTTTTCTAATGAGCACAAATTTAATATCATTTTAAAAAATTCTTATTGTGGGTGTATACTAATTAATAATAATAATAATAATAATAATAATAATAATAATAATAATAATAATAATAATAATAATAATAATATAATAATAATAATAATAATAATAATAATATAATAATAATAATAATAATAATAATAATAATAATAATATATACATATATATATATACATATATATATATACATATATATATATGGGTTATCTTAAAATATTTTTCAGTATTTAAGTGTTATTTCATTATTATTTCTTTTTGAATATCACGCGTTTGGATTTTTTGGTATTTAAAAAGAAGAACATTTTTTTAGATTGGAACATTAATTGAATTATTTAAATTATCAATTTACGCACTTACTTGCAGAGGTAGACCAGCGACATTGGCATAAGCTATGGCTTGTGGTATGACTGTTAAACCAACAGTGACTCCTGCTACCAAATCACTTGCTATATATTCCTTACGATATTTTGGTAACCATGCTAGGATAGGTATTCTTTTGTAAAGCAACTTTTTTCTACACGTCCTTTTTATTCTCCGACAAAGCCAATTCCTCATCGACGATAGTAGAAAATTATTGTTATGGTTTCCTAAAATTATAAATACATAAAATTCTCTTTATATAATTTCTCTTTATTTATTTATTTATTTATTTATCTTTTAAAATATTTCTTCATATTTATGCTTCGGTTTTTTTATGTTTTTACTTTCTTTTCCCTTTTTTTCTTTTTCTTTTTTAATTTAGAATTTATATATATATATATATATATATATATATATATATATATTTCATTCTATGGTAAATAATTTCTCTCACAAGTTTAAATGGGAAGTATATAAAATAATCTCGCCGAATGATGTCATTGATCACGAGCGTGCGTGACCCTGTCATGTGACTCTCTTATCAGGTATATCTTCGCGCGATTTTTTTTTTTTTTAATTTCTTCTCAATGAAGTAAAAAAAGCTAAAGGAAAAGATATATATGTATATAACAAATAGAACGTGAAGAATTAATTTTATTTGACATTCCCAAATGACATATTTGCTTTAAAAATGATAAAAAAGAAAAAATAAGATGATTTTGATGAAATTGAATATTTATGGTAATCGATAAGAATTCTACTTTCGTATTCGACTTTAATGAAAAATCCCGATGTGTTTTCTGTTACGAAAGGTCAGCCAATTATACCGCAACATTTCTTCGACAATTTTCTAGTTTCTTTCGGGCTACGTGCCAGTATCGTTACGTTTAAATATGGAAAGCGATGCTATGCGCGCATTGTGTGTCCTTTAATTTAATCGTATTCGTGTCTGGAGTTTCTAACGATGAAACTCATTTAATTCGATTTCATGATATTTAAGGAAAGGAAGAAAAAGAAGAAGACTCACCGTCATCCTTGCTCTCTTTATCGTCTTTGCTAGGAAGATGGACGATGGCCAGTCTAGTTTCAAGGTTATTACTTAGATCAGGATCGTTGTTGTTGAAACCGGTCAGCCTGACTTCTTTGTAACTTTCGAGATCGTACTCTTCTTTGACTGTGTATTTAGCCATTTTATCCTATTGAGTTTTTTTCTTTTCTTTTCGTTCCTTTTTTCTATTAGTAGAGCAGAAGGAAAAGAAATGTAGTAAGGAAGAAAGAAAGGAAGGAAGGAAGGAAAGAAGGAAGGAAGGAAGGAAAGGGGAGGAAGAAGAGGATAGGGCGGTTAGGATTTGTTAGGAATTTCGTCAGAATAATGCTGTAGTTATCTTGTCCTTCCTTCTTTTGATTTCGTAGAATAAGGATTGTGGTCCAAGGTCACGGACGATCGAAGCTTACTCAGGTAGACTCCATCCTTCGACTCGATCATAAGTAATGATACTGAAAAACAATCATTATAATAATTTTATCTCAAGTTTAGATCGTTGTCATTAACTTGTACATAATAGTTTCTATTAATAAAACTTCATAGACGACGACATCAATTAAAATGATGAAATCACAGTGAATATTTTTATTTTAGGCATTAAATTATTCATCCATTTCCTATTTATTATATTTGTACATAATTATAAGAATGGACAAATTAATTTTTTTTCATTTTATCACTTTATCTATATTTTTCATTTTATCTATATTTGTTGAGATATTTTCTAAATAAATTTGTACAGATAGTTAAATAAATATTATTTTTTTTTTTTTTAATACATACATACACTCATAGATAGATGCTTATTACTTTTTTCAGTGCACGTAAAATTAATAAAAAATAAAATTAATATTAATATTTAATAATAATAATAATAATAATAATAATAATAATAATAATAATAATAATAATAATAATAATAATAATAATAATAATAATAATAATTAATTATTAATTTAAAGAAAAATTGAATAAAAATAGATAAAGAAAGAAAGATCATCGAAGAAATAATTTAGTTAGAAAATAGATAATAGATAATAAATTTTGACTTTTATCACATTGGTTCCTCTAACTCTTTTGTTTATAAGTCGATACACGTAACCGGATAATCATTAGCTGTCGATACATTGTACGCGTGAACTTCACCTACATTCTATTGCAAAGTGGTTACTATAAAGCAATTATCTACTCATTCTTGTGCCATATGTATTACAACTGTTAGTAATTACATAAGACCGTGGTTAATTGCGTTACGCTCGAGTCATCGGTACTTGAGAAGTTGGTGGTGGTGGTGGCGGGTATTGGCGGGAGAGGACTGGGGATGAAAAATATTCATAAAACAAACCTATCAATTATCGAGCGAATACGTCTTAGCTTTCTTTAACATTCAAGTTTGTAAAACTTGACGTTCGTTAAATATTTCAAATAACTCGATGATAAGGTTTATTTTTTTTCCTTATCTTTTTTTTTTCATGTTAAAGAAACTAATTTTAGGTCTCTTATTAGTCGATCGATTGACAAAGATAAAAAATCGCCTATTTTAAAATCAACGGCCTTTACTTTTTTGTTCTTTTTTTTTTCTTTACATATTTCATTTCTTTTTCTTCTTTCTTTCATTTACCACGCTGATTGCATTTTTTAATTTATTTCTTTTATTTGTTCATCTACGTCACTTTGTCGACATAATTACATTTAAAAAGAATTTTATTATTCGAGGTATACTTACAAATTGTAAATAGAGATTTGACAGAGCCGATTTTAATTCCCTCAAATTGTCTATTGTTCTATGATTCTACGTAAAATAATAATAATATAAAAGAAAATGAATAAGAAAATGCACATCTTTTTTTATTGTTTCTCTCTCTCCCTCTCTTTTCTCTGTTTTATTCTTATTTTTATCAGGAAGTTCGAAGAACTAGCCATCGTTTTTTCCAAGTTGATAACTAGATACATATTTATACAATATGTATCTTTTCATTTTTTTTCTCTCTTTTTTTTTGCCTTTTTTTGTCTTTAAAGAAGTAAAAAAGATGTTGCGAACTTGAACGCAAATGAAGTTCTTGGACATACATTAGCAACAAATGGCCGCTCATGGTTGTATAGTAATTCGATAAATACCGTTAACTGCGTGATCAAGTGATTAGGATGATGAATCGATCGTTCGATCGATTGTCGCTTTATCTATGCGGCATTTAAAATACAATTTATGTTTGTACGTATATACGCATATGTATGTTGATACATGTATATCTATAAATGTTTCACACACTTTGTCCGTTTCCTTTGTTTTTTTTTCTAAATATTTGTCCTTTTTCCTTTCAATTAAATACGAAATCACGTTTTTCTATGCATTGGCAGTGCCACGACATACTACCTCTCGATTTCCTTTCACATTTTGTTACGATCCTTATAATATGCGTGTAAGGAGTGAGAGAATACAACACGACGGTCTCTTAATTATGCGCTTGACGTCAAAGATCATTTTCATAGATTAATCGTAATTTATATGCATAAATAATTATTAACTCTTAATAAAGATTTCTTTCTGTTCTAATTTTCTTTTTTTACATTTTTTATTATTTTTTTTTTTTTTTTATTTAAAATTATTAACCTCATTAATGTTTTTTAACTTACATATGCACACGGACACAGACAAATGGAAATGATTAAGGTGATTGATTCATATAACTTTTTTTTAATTTATAATATTCAAACCTTATACGAAATTCGTGTTGTCCGATGATATATATATATATATAAAAGGATTAGAATATAAATTATGAACAATTAAAAATATAGTTTTTAGATTTGTACTGAAAGTAAATATATATGAAATTATATAAAAAGAGAAATAATTCAAGCGCGTACGTACGATATTATTGTTGACGTTATTATATAATGGATTGACACTTTTATTTATTCTCTCTTTCTCTCTCTCTGTTTTGACTACGAATTACGATCATGATCGTAAAAATGACGCCTTATTATACGCAAATCGTTCGAATAAGATTGATCTTTGGAAGAATATATACATACATCTATCTTACATCGTTCAAACGTATCTTTGATGTCATTTTGAAATAATATAATAGATTGCGATCGTTATATAAAATTATATCCGGTTATTTTGAAAAACGAAGGTAATGATAATATTAAAATAAAAATGTATAGAAAATGTAATAAAAAAAAAGAAAAGAAGAAAAAAAAGAAAATAAGGAAGAGAAAAAATAGGAAAGATAAAGAAACAATGAGAAAGAAACACGAAAGAGAAATAAAGAAAGAAATTAAATAAAAAAAAAAAAAAAAAAAAAAAAAAAAAAAAAAAAAAAAAAAAAAAAAAAGAAAAACGAACTATTCGTTCATAGTGCGAAAGAGAAAGCGTATATCTTGAAATACTACGTGTAACCAGTGTCTAGTACAATTCTTGTTTTATGTGTACATATTGACATAAGAACGAAGTGAAAAGTAGTCAATTATTATAACGATTTAATTATTTAAACCATAAATTTTTCTTTAAAACAGATAAATAGAAAAATAAAAAGAAGCAGTAAAAAGAAGAATCCCACGTAAGAATTCTATCCTTTCCTTTCTTAGAATCCATTCACAAGGTTTTACAAGGAGGGAGACCTTGGGAAAGGTGATAATCAATCGGATGATATACACTCGTAAAATTCCTCTCTTATGTTCTTTTGCAATAATAAATAAAAAAATAAATATGCGTATACGTTTAGGGTTTGGTCTTTATCAATGACTTTCAATATTTATACATTATATATTTAGTTAATGAAATATATCGTATTAGTCATTTCTTATTAATAAATGAATTATCATATTTTTTGATAGATGAATAAATTTTGTCAAGCAAATCGCTTCTTTCCTTTTTCGATTTCTTTCCTATTCTTTTACTGCTCTCTATTTCATTTTCTTTTACTTTTTTTCCTTCCTCTTTGCTTCTTTTTTTCTTCTTTTTCAAATAAAAATATATAGATTCCAAGTTTCTGGGATTATTATGTAATATACGAGTTAGTTATTATTAGATAATCGAATTTATAAAATGTAAATTTTGTCATCTTTACAGTTTTCTTTTTTTATTTCCTTTTTAAGAGCCATTTTAAATTCCGATGCCCAATGTAGTACATTTAAATCATTTTACGAGCTTTCTTTTTCGCATTAATGTGTCACTCGTTACATTGACATCATCGGTTTAACATTGTTTGAACATTAATGATTCTCTTTTAATAAAAGATACTATAAAACCAAAAACAAAGAAAAAGTAAAATGTCTTAAGACACTTTAAAATGAAATGTTAATATAATCTCGATCGATTAAGTCTATGAGTCATGTAAGGTGACGGTAACATTTATCGATAATTTTATTAATTAGTTATTATTTTCTTTGACGAACGATTTTTTTTTTTTTATTACATTCTTGCTATTATAATATATTTTATATACACGTAAATTAATTTTTTAATATTCCAATGGATAATAATTACAATAAAATACCATTTTATTTCGTTATTCGTGAGAAAATTTGAATGAGTCAAAAATTTTTAAATGATATTAAAAATCAAATTACTTTTTTCATCAAATCATTTACTTTTTTTCGAAACTCTTTAAGGCTTATAATTAAACTTGTTAAACTAATTTAAAATTTTTGAATCTAGTGTTTGCAATCAAGTCTTGCAAAATTTAGCAATCTGAGAGGAAGAAAAACTAATTTGAAATGTTTTGAGAAAGAATAATTGATTCATAATAATGTCACATAGAGAATTTTTTTTTTTTTTTTATATTAATTCATATCAAAATATCGTATAATTAAAAAGATATAAAATATGATTTTTAAGTAAGAGAAAAAGAAAAGAAAAAAAAAAAGATAAAAAAATCACTGAATTGAATCCTCTTTTTATCTATTTTTCTTTAGGCTAATGTAATTTTCAATGGAAACATTTTTAGTTGCACTTCGAAGTATTCTAAACGTTCATTGATGCATTCCTTTCGAAGTGAGGAACGTAAGAATTTTTGCTCGTGAAATTGAACGATCGCATCGGGGGAATTTCTTCGCAAAGCAATGCTTTCGTGTTCTGTTCGTTTAGTCATAGCACGTATATATGTAAGTGTATGCGAAAGTTTATTAGAAGGCCTATAATTCTACATAAAGCCGGATAATGCTTTCCCCGTACGAGTTTAATGTCTAAAACGGAATAAACTCGCGCATTCTTTTTTTTTATTTTTTATATATTTTTTTTATTTTTTATATATTTTTTTTATTTTTTATATATTTTTTTTATCTGCTTAAATTAATCGTTCATAATCAAATGGTATTTAAATAATGTTAACCTCATGATAATATTTATTAGCATAATTATTAAAGGTTAAATTGGAAAAAAAATCCAAACGAGCATTATAAGATCTTTTATCAAAAACTGTTTCGTCGAATTGTTAATAATAAAAAAAAAAAAAAAAAAAAAAAAAAAAAAAAAAAAAAAAAAAAAAAAATAAAAGAAAGAAAAAAAACAATAAATCATTTCTCGTGTAATATGAATATCAAAGAAAAGAAGAAAAAAAAATAATAGAAATGTTCAAGGATCGAATTTGAAATCTCGATATCGTATCAGTCATGTTATAAAAACTCGTATTTAATCACTTCTGTTTTCTTTTTTTTTTTTTTCATTCCTAAGGGTCAAGAACGAAATGAAATTTCATTGTAACGAAGAAATACATAAGTCCACGTTGGCGATAATAAAAAATTATATTAACAATACAAGAACAAAGAACGCGATAACGCACGTTTACCGGATTATTAGAGCGAACCTTTGAATTTTATTTTCTTTATTTTATTATTATTTTTTTTTTTTTTATATCAAAACCTATAACACACACACGCACACGCACACACGTTACACGTGGTGGTTAATCGTTTAATACAACAATCGAAATAATTTGATTTAAAACTTAATAGGTGCCACGTGTTAGACGTACTATCCGTACAACATACTCTATCGGATAAAAACCATACACAAATAAACGTACACGAACTTAAAGGTATGCATATATACACATACACATTTTCTCTTCGTTTGCAAAAAAAGTTTTTGTGATCGAGTTTAACGTAATCATAATATCTTGAATCGTATTTACATATGTATATATGTTTGCTAATGAGTTTGTTTATTATTATTATTTCAAAGCAGAATAAACACATTCAACATCGTAAAATTCAAAGTAACAGAAACAAAAAAGAAAAAGAAGAAGAAGAAGAAGGAGAAGTGGAAGAAAAAAGAAATAAAAAAGATTCGTAAACGATGCGAATGTACGCATAATTTCTTGATAGCTTACCGTTATAGTCTCTCTCGTTTACTCACGTTGACATCATTTCCATTCGATAGCGGACACATCGATACATCATCACACGATTCCCGAACGTCCGAGATATCTTTTTCTTCCTTCGGAAAGTGTAAATAAATAAATGAATAAATAAATAAATTAATAAAAAATAAAAAATAAAAAAATAAAAAAATAAAAAGAAACAAAGAAGAAAGAAAAGAAAGAGAAAGAGAAAGAGAAAGAAAATAAATAATAATTGTATATAAGATAGAACGTAATTTAATAAAAATACGCAGCAAAAGATAGAAAATGACAACGCGAGATATGAATTTACCTTTTTTGTTTTATCTTTTTTTCTTTATTTCTTACCGAGTTAAGTAGACACGCGAAAAAGAGAGAAAGAGAGAGAGAGGGAGAGAGAGAGAGAGAGAGAGAGAGAGAAAGAGAGAGAGAGAGAGCTAAACAGACAGGCAGATGAGAGGAAGAAAGAGGAAAAGAACTCGACGGTGAATGTTCACTGTTGTGATCCAACACGAAACGTCAGGAGTCCGCGCACTTCTCGTAAGGAGCAAGTTAGTTGCTCCGTGAAGCACGCACGAATGACTCTCTTCCTTTCGTGTGGGAGTCAAAGCTGGCTCACCAGCGCAGCTGAGGAGACGATAGCCATTTGGTTGGTCCGTATAATGTTTTCGTGTCCCCTACCAAGAACTCTCCTTTCGTTGTATACTAGTATTATACATATGTACAGTTAGGTATATTAATGATATTTACTTGAAAATATAATATCCCTTTATAATTTTTATCAAATTTTTAATTTATTCAATTTACACTTTATTTTTTGTCATTGTGAAAGTGCACAATGTTTATAAGGCTATGCTGAAGATCAATTAATAATAAACAAAGAGTTATTGTGTGTTTGCGATCATCTATTTATGATATTCAGGATTAATTACAACGAAAGGAAATTTTATTATATTTTATTAGTTTCACGGATAAATTAAATATAGTCAAGAAAAATATCATTGTGTAATTGTATGTTTATATACATTGAGGATAAATTACAAGTAAATTGGGAAATATTATATTATGTAAGTTTCAGGATAAATTAGAAATGACTAGGGGGAAAATAACATTGTTTTACAATAAGTGCAATGTTCATATATATATTTTAAGGATAAATTAGAAATAACTGTGTGAAAAATTATTGTGCAATGGAGAGAGAGAGAGAGAGAGAGAGAGAGAGAGAAAGAGAGAGAGAGAGAGAGAGAGAGAGAGAGAGAGAAAGGAACAGAGAGAGATTGAGGTAAAAAGCGCAATACTTATATATATATATATATATATATGTTGAAGTTTTAATTAAGTCAGAAGTAATAGAAATTTTTTATTATTAAGTAATATTTAGGACAATTAATATATTAATATAATATAGAAATATAATTTAATTAATATATTATAATATATTAAGGAAAATTAATTAAATTAACATTTGACTGTAATTCTACAAACAGTAGAGTCTAAATATATAATATAATGAATTTGACAAAAAAACAGATTTTTGTGACCTTTTAATTTTCATTAGATATTAACTGATAAGATAACGATATGTATATTACATATTCATATGCATTGCACTTACACAATTTTATTCTAGTTTTACATTTACTTTTAGTTTTATATTTTAAGATTAAAAAAAAAAAAAAGTAGAAAGGAATATCCTTATCAGGCACCATTAATATACGTCACTGTACATACATATATATATATCTCCTTGTATTTTGCACTCCCACTGCTATCCTTATAACTGGTAGTATCTCGACTATTCCAGTCACGTGTCGAGAGTTAGACAGCATTTCTCGCAAAGTTATTGGCTACGACGTTCGCGCGGTTTTTCTTTTCGCGTATCGAATATATTTGAAAAATGATCGCAACAGGTATATATATATATTTTTTTTTTTAATTTCTCCTCTCTTCTCTTCCATCCATTTTTTTTCCTACAGGTTAATTTTTTGCTCATCGTTATTGGAAAACGGCGTTAATTTACGCCTATTTAAAAAAACGCTTATTTACGTCTGTTATTCCCTATCATAAATCAATTAACGTGCGATTAATCTTTATCTGCGATTTTTTTGTATTCTTTTTTCTTTTTCGTTTTTCTTTTTTTTTTCTTTTTCTTTTTATTTTCATCGAAATTTTTTATGTCTTTTCTTCTTATGTTTTCATTCTACTTCGCATTAAAAATGTTTGAAACATGACCTAGTTGAAATGAATTCGAAATATCTTTCTGAGTGACGTGCACGTGATTACTATGATCGTAATATATTCTTGCATTTTCTATTCAAACGTTTCTATTTATCTACTGCTTTTTTCTTTTTAGGTATGATTGTATTAATGAGACGATGTAGATCGATATAGTATGTTTATCAGCTCGATTGCGCATTTAAAAGGATAATTTTAGTGGAAAAAGAGGAGAACAAGTTGAAGAATTATACATAGATATAAGAAGAAAAAAAAAAAAAAAAAGAAAAGAGAAGAAAAAAAAAAGAAAAGAAAAAAAGAAATAAGACAAATACACATTCAAGTTGCACGTGTTAAGATGATGAAATAATATGTCGCAGCTTGAATGCTAAATATATAACAAAATAAATCAAGATTGATATCGTTTTTCATTTTTTTCTCGTAAAACATCGGAATCAACGTTTGGACGAATGTATTTATTATATATATTTTTCATTTTTTTTTCCTCTTCTATTCATTATTATATTTCATTTGTCACATTAGCAAGAATATTATTTAATAAAAATGAAAAAGAACAAAGGTTTGAACGAATATAACATGGTTATTAATGGTCAGTGATAAAAAAAGGAAAATATATTGTTACGAGTCATTCGTATATTTGAGTTGTTCAAATGAAATATATACGACTTTTGAATTTTTCTATTAGGTAACTCCTTTACTTTCTTTTTATATTTTTTTTTATCTTTTTTTTTTTTTTTTCTTTTTTTTACCAACATACTTAACGTCAATCGATCTGTAATAAAGCTAATAAGTAATAGTTCTTCGGAGGATTATATACCAAACTTTCAAGCTATTCAAAGCGGATTAGATCGTATTAGGAAAGAACGAAATGCTGCGCAGTTCTTGGTTAACCATACGGAGCATATAGTGTTCTTTTTAAAACCAGTTCCCCTCCACCCCAAAAAAAGAAGAACGGTTCCCCACCATTAACACACATAGACACCTGTTTAGAATATCGCTGCTAAGAAATTCGCTATCTTCTATGCGGGCATTTAACTCACTTGTTTCTAAACGCAATAATGTACTTTATTTTTATATACATGTACTGTATATATACATATATATATATATATTTATATTTATTTATTTTTTTATTTACTTCTTATATATATAAAATATATATATATATGTACACATATACATATATACATGTATATATCATAAATGATTAGATACATAGAAATAAGGAAAAGTATTATGTCGCCAATAGCCAGACTGTTGATTCTATTATATTTTTAACGACGTTAAAAATACAATAGAATTAAGGGGAAATATATATATATATATATATATATATATATGTATAAAATAAAAGAGATTACATTTCTGAAAAATACAAAAAAAGGGGAAAAAAGCTAGAGATAAAAATGATTTAGAACGTTTCTTGTCGATAACAAAACGCTATAAATATTTCAAATTAATCTCGAGCAAAGAAACAATTTATTCATCGATAATTAGAATATCCTTGATACAAGTATTGAATAATATTTACCAACATAATATTATGAAATAACATAAAGAACATGCTTTCGAACGATACTTTGTTATTTCCATACGTTCGTTCGACAGAGAAGAGAGGTAGAAGCAAAAGGAACTTCTTTTTTCTTTTTTTTTCCCTCCTTTTTTTCTGGCGTAACTCCAATTGTTATCTTACGTTAACTTCCGGTTTTTGTTACATCATACGACCGATCGCTTACGAGTAGCACATTACGAATGGAATTCGCGCAAATTGCAATCGTTACACGCCGACGATCGTTCGTAAAAGAGATCCATTTTTTGTTTTCATTTCGGCGGCGATACAATAGCCGAGGCAAATTTTTGTTGAAAAAAATATTGCCGATTTCGCATTTACGGTAAAATCATTAATGATTTCCTTGAATTCCTATCGATAGGGATCGAATTAGCATGAAATTAACGATCTTCATGCTACTACGTAAGAGTATTCACGATAATAGGAGCTGTTTTTTCTTCCATTTCTATTTCTTTTATTCTCTATCTTTTTTTTTTTTTGGTTTACAATTGAAGAAAAACTCATTTATTACTGACATAATGTGATCACGATAAACAATGATGAGACTTTTATGGCGATTAAGAATAAAGTACGATTGCATCGTCGTCATTTAACGATATATCCTTATAAAAAAAAAAGGAAAAATAGTCATGTCTATAACTAATTTGGATTTTACCGGCAAAACTAACAGGAAAAATTAGATGATAAGTGCCATTCGTTGGAAAGTACCGTAAAATTATCCGTTTAGAATTCTTTAGTCATTATATGCATTTTCTTTTAACTGTTCATACTTTCCCTCATAATTATACTTGAGCCAGAATAAAAAAAGAAAAAGAATCCTTTTTTGAATTAATATTACGTCATATAATAACAAATGAGATATCGTTAGAATGCAATTATGTCGTTGAATTAAAAATTGAATTTCGTAGGATTATTCTAATAAAGTAATTATTTGGACAAACATCTTTATTATTATTTATACGATGGATGATCCATCGTATTGAGATATTATCATTATCGTTATTGTTATTATTATTATTATTTCTTTTTTCTTTTTTTTTTTTCTTTTTTTTTTTTTTTAGATCGAAACTCTGGAAATTAATTCATAATATAAAGTTTTGAAGAAGAGAAAAAGTAAAGAAGAAAAGAAAAAAAAATTATTTTATTAAAAATTAATAATTGAAGAGGTTACTTGAAGACAAGTCTTCGTAAAACAGCGACGAGGTGGCCGAGTGGTTAAGGCGTTGGACTGCTAATCCAATGTGCTCTGCACGCGTGGGTTCGAATCCCATCCTCGTCGATCCGCTTTTTGTTCCTAGGTGTTTTCGCTCAAAATATGTTTAAATTGATATATAGTCTTTCCCGCCGGAATTCCATAAAAGTAGTTCGCGGTTATATAAAATTTCCGAAAGAGAGAGACAGAATATATTAACGTAAGGAAGTTTTCATCGATAATCATTATCGACATATGGTAAATCCGTTCCTATCGATAAGGTAGGAAACTCATACGGGGGTTTATATCTGCGGTTACGCGTGGATAAAGTAGATATCGTTTTTACGCATGATCGATCGTCTCTCTCTCTCTTTTATCGACACAGTTTACCGATTAAAAAAAAAAGCAAGTGTGCACACGTGATACGATTTTTGAAGATTCGAAGATATATATCGTTGTAATAAAGTAAGTCTATGTTTTTAAAATTTATTTTTTTTTTGTGCATAGTTTTATCTAAATTATTCCAAGATCTTTTGTATTTTATGTTAATTTACTTATCTCTAAGACATATTTATTCGTAATGTCTGAGTGAAACGGATATTTCTAACGAGGTTCTATGCATGTATACATTACATAGCTGATTATGCAACTCTGGAATGTGCTTTCTGTCTTTCAGAATGTAATTTTTCGTTCTCATGGTCTTTTCGCACGATAGCATTCTTTGTCTTGAAAGACGAGGAGAAAAAGAAATGACGTTAGTTGTTGCGACCTTAGCTTTCTCATCCTTAATCTGGGAAAATATAAGTAACTATAAATATAAGTAATAACGTAGCGTGGGAATAATTAAATGTTAAGTTTATACGGGTTTTCCGCTTTTACGTCAATCTTTATCGATAGTTTTATGTCGAAAAGTATATACGTACATACGTACATACATATAAAACGTAATATCTTCCTTGATGAGACTTCAAAGATATAATGATTGATTTTTATACATATAGTAATAACAACGATTAAATATGAAGTTTAAAAGTTGAGCAATGAAATGACTAATACATTAAATCTAGTGACGTATCTTTTTCTTTTTATGCATTCGTACAAATGTATGAAAACACTGACCAAGCGCCGAATGTTATGATATGATAAAACTAGTTCACATTCTGTCTTATCGACGGATAAACTCTTTTCTACTCATGTTGCAATATTTCTACTGATATGTTCGCTTGCTGTTCAGTAGTGCCTAACAATTTCACGCTATGTCATTTCTCAGAGAAAACGTTTATGAAAGAACGCCATTGTTAACACCTAGTAAGTTTTTCGATTATCGTATATATATATATATATATACACACACACACATTATATGTATACACATATGTGTGTATAGATCATATGCATTTCCGGTATAATAGAAACTTCCTCTTATTGCAGTATTGCATTGATATCTTATAGAAAATCTGATATATGATAGCGAGAATGATTAGTTGTCTATGATAATTGGATATCGCGTTTTGTATCATCTTGCATTTTTCGAATAATCATATCAGACTCGGCATAACGTTTCAAACCTCTCTCTTTTGTTTATTTAATTTCCATATCCGATGATTAATCATCGAAACGAATCATACAGGGCATGATTTATGCTTCACGGATAATTCATAATTTTTTTTTTATTATTATTAGCGTATCTTTCCTTTACCAGTACAGTTGCCTTCTTAAATTGTTTCTTTTCAATGTACAGTGGCCTTTCCAAATATTTCTTTTTCTCTCTCTCTCTCTCTTTCTCTCTCTCTTTTTCTCATATCGTATTCGAGATAAGAAACATCATTTCATTTGTATAATCATTATAAAAATACATCTTTCTTATTAATCGTACGATTTAAACGAGCACGTGATTATTCGACTAAGAGTGTTAATCTCGTTCGAGTTTATTACTTTTTTTACAATATTTAACAAAATTGGATGATGATTGAGAAGATTTCACGTATATTAAAATTGGTAAATATAACAATCCTGTAGATCTTAGTCCTGTTAAGACCTGTGATCGAAGATCTTAGAATATGTTAGAACAATAGAATAATTTTTTATGATTTTTCAATCTTTCCTTATAATTTAATTTGTTTTTCTTTTCATCTTCAAAAAGTTAGATTGTTTCTTTTTTTTTTCTTCTAACGTGTGTTTTCACTCTTTAATTTTACTTTTTTTGTGTATGAAAAAGCATATAAATACTTAATTAATTAAATTATATTACAATTGTTATATTGAAGTGTTATAAATTATAAAACAACTTGACTTCATAAGCAGTCGTGGCCGAGTGGTTAAGGCGTCTGACTAGAAATCAGATTCCCTCTGGGAGCGTAGGTTCGAGTCCTACCGACTGCGAAAAAGTGTGTATTTTTTTTCGATATAATTTTTTTTTCACCTTTGCATTGAGCTCACCCACGATATTTTCTTTCTTAAATATTTTTAATGGGATATGGAAAATAATTGGGAAAAAAAAATGCTTAACGTTTCAATCATGTTTTTCTTTATTACAAAACATAATTATGCTTTTTATATTCAACTATACTTTTTTATTTATCGAAATTATAAATTATTAATACAACATCTAAAACTAGTTTTAATTAAAAAAATATTAATATATGTTTAAATGTTGATAATAAATTTATATACGTATATATATTTATTTTACTTTTTTTTTCTTGTGAATATATTTATTTTTCTTTTTTTCTTTTTCTTCTTATATTGTACTCGTTAAATTATTTACAATCGAATTAATTAATGAACAATATAGTAAGAGCAACTTTGAGTGTGACGTTCAAAGAAAAATCCAACTTATGTTTTTATATCTATTGTACTCTTATGTCTTCATTTCTTATATGTGATTTTTATCGACCGTGGAATATGAAATAATAAACACGTTATGTTTAGTATTTTAAAGTAAACAATAAATGTTTTCTCACGATACATCATCCAAGTTGTCGCATTCTATAGTCTTTTTCAGTCGTAGATTTGAAATGCTATTATCTGACAAAGAGCGAGTAATCGAGCATTAATCATTTTATCGCACTTCAAATCCAATCTAAATATCTCTTAGCAAAGAGCAGCTTATTATTAGCTTATATCTTTCTAATCGTTAAGGATGTCTCAGTCTTTTCACGTTCCTCGTGACAATAACTTCGTATTAATTATTTTTATCTGACGTCTGTATTTAAACATTTTTCGTTTTTATTTTTATTTTGTTTTGTTTTGTTTTTTTTTTTTCTTTTTTAGCTTTAATTGACACCAAAGTATAGGATATTTCGCGGTGGTATTTTAATTGATTCACCACAAAGATATGGTTATGTGTACGTAAATATTATCTTTATTTTTTTTTTTCAGTTTCGTGCACTAAATGTATTTAAAAAATACAATTCGTTATGTGTATGGAATATTATCGTGAATTTTGTTATTCCTTCTTTCTTTTCCCTTCAAATTTAATGATTCTTATCGTTTGTCAAAGGGGTAAGTTCTTCCACTTCGAGCTGTAACGCCAAAGAAATTCTTGTTCGAAGGATACCAATTTTAAAATGGTTGCCACATTATAACTGGGGAAAATGTCTGCAAGATATTTTGGCAGGATTTACAGTTGGATTAACAGTTATACCACAAGGTATAGCTTATGCAACGGTCGCTCTTCTTCCACCTCAGGTATATTGCTTATCATTCTTTTTTAATCAGATAAGAGTAAATAAGAAAGCAATTTATTAACGTTTTGTAGATGACAAATTTTTAATTGTTAGATAATTAAAAAAAAAAAAAAAAGAAAAACAGGATTTTATCTAATACTTTATATCTTTGTAAGAATTAAATTTTCTTCTTTTTATCATTGTAATTATAATATTTGTAAATTACAGTATGGCTTGTATAGCAGTTTCATGGGATGTTTCGTGTATCTAGTGTTTGGTAGTACAAAAGAAGTGACTGTTGGCCCTACGGCCATAATGGCGTTATTATCTCAACATCATGTTCTAACATTAGGCGAAGATATTGCTGTAAGAAAAATTGGTATTTCATCGAATGATATAATTCATTTTTAATATAAAATAATTTCGTATCTACACGAAAAAAATGATTATAACACGTTTTACATTTAATATAAATGTTATAATTCGTTTTGCAGGTTCTCATATCTTTCTTATCAGGATGCATAATAACAGCAATGGGAATATTTCAACTTGGTTTTCTAGTTGATTTTATAAGCATGCCAGTTATTTGTGGCTTTACGAATGCCGCAGCGATCATCATAGCAGCTTCGCAATTAGGCACACTCGTTGGTATAAGTGGTAAAAGCGATTCCTTCGTCGATTCGATCTATAAAATAATTAATCACTATGATAGTATCACATTATGGGATACTGTCCTTGGTGTTACAACTATAATATTGTTAGTATGTTTAAAGGTTAGTAATTGAGTAATCTCTATTAAATACATTCAATCCTAAGATATTAGATTTCAATTTGAGCTTTAACTTCAAGTAGATCATAAATCTTATCATTATTATCTATGTAATCATAATCGTCAAATTGATTTCAAAGACTCTCAACTTATTATATAATAAGATAAATAATTTGTTGATTAATATAGTAAATAAAAAAATGATTTTCTTAATTAATTCAGAATTTGCCTGGTAAAAAAAAAGGTACTATATTCCAAAAGATAATGTGGCTGATATGTTTGGCTAGAAACGCAGTGGTCGTTATTATGGGTATATTCTTGGTTTTTGTTTTATCTTTATACGATCTGAAACCTTTCAAGATTACTGGGAATATCACACAAGGTTTACCGCCTTTCAAACCGCCACCATTTTCTATAGACACCAATAACAAGACTTATCAATTCCCTGAATTGATTCAAGAACTCGGTAGTACCATCGCATCGATACCATTGATCGCCATTTTGGAAAGTGTTGCTATAGCTAAGGCTTTCGGTATGTTTAATTGAATTTAATATTTAAAGAGGGGAAAAAAAACGAAAGAAAAAGAAAACGAAAAATCACAATGAAGAGGTAAAACGAATGAAAACGTCGCATAACAAGTTTTATGCGCTAAAATTAATTTATGCACTATCTAGCGATCTTATAAATACTTAATGAAGATATAAGCAAGAAAGTAGATCACAAGTTAGTAATAATGTAAAACTTACTACCATATACATTATTTATGTATATGTATATGTATGTACCTAGTTCCGGATTATAGACTTACCAAGAACGTATTATCGACTTTAAAATGAATTAATAATCGAAGCAAAGGAAGAGACGTACTTGACACGATTGTATTATCTTAAGTGGAATCAATTGAAAGATTTGCATATCATCGAATCTTTTATAATGTTAATTATTATCGCGAAAGTGATTGTACGAAATATTCGTAGATATTAATCTTTTTATCATTTTCTTCGTTTATTATTATTAGAAAAAAAATCTTGTGTTCAATCAATTAATTATGTCTTTTTTTTTTCTTTATTCCATTACAGCAAAAGGAAAGACTTTGGATGCAACGCAAGAAATGTTAGCGGTTGGACTTTGCAATGTTATTGGAAGTTTCGTTAGGTCGATGCCAACGACCGGTAGTTTTACAAGAACCGCGGTGAACAATGCATCTGGCGTGAAAACTCCAATGGGTGGTATAATAACCGGTCTTCTGGTATTACTGGCATGTGGTATTTTAACTTCGATTTTCGAGTTAATCCCAAAAGCCACTTTAGCCGCTGTAATAATTATTGCTATGTATTACATGTTTGAAGTGAACGTATTTTCAGCTCTTTGGCGTACGAAAAGTAAGAGAATTTTCTTTTATACCTATTGCATTTAAGAAATTGAACGTTATAATGTATTTACAATTTAATATATTTCTGGGTTCATAGAAATCGATCTCGTACCTTTGATAGTTACACTGATATGTTGTCTCGGTCTTAGCTTGGAATATGGTATGATAGTTGGAATTGTTATAAATCTTATTCACCTTCTTTACTTTGCGGCCAGACCTGGTCTATTGATCGAGGAACGGGTTATCAACGATATTACCGTACTATTCGTTTTGCCCAAGCAATCGTTGAGTTTTCCAGCTGCGGAATATTTAAGAGAACAAGTCTTGGAATGGTAAGACAGATAAGATTTGAATTTGAATTTTTAGAATATATAGACAATTTATAGGATACTGAGATTAATATTGTTTTTCTTACGTAGGTGTAATAAATGTCCTGAAAGTATACCTGTGATAATAGAGGGACGTAACGTTTTGAGAATCGATGCAACAGTCGTCAAAAATCTTACTCTACTTCACGTAGATTTAGAAACTAGAAAACAAAAGTTGATCTTTTGGAATTGGTCGGAGAAAGTGAAAAATATTTTGACAAATTACGATTCCTCTTTGACATTATCATTTAAAAATTGTGGTAGTATACTTCAGATATTTACGAATACAATGTCCTGAGGAATTACAATGAATGAGGAATTACAAATGAATATTTAATTTCTTCCTTTAATTTATTTATTGAGAACGCATAATCTTTAGCAGTATAAAAAATTATATCTATAGTTTGACTTCTCTGAGTTGACGTACTTATAAAGAAATAAATTAACGATATGTTATCAGTCGATGATCTTGTCAAATTCCGATTACAAATCAGAGATTCAATTAATAATCCATCAGTTAAATATCTACGCAAAGATTCGTCAAATGATAAGATTACACGAGTTAACGAATTAGATATATTAGAAATGATTATATTATAATTAATCGATACAATTTACACGTCAACATTAAATCTTTAAAATCTTAAATTTTTACGTAGAATTGTATCATTGATTCAAATCAATATTTATGAAGAGATTGATCAATGATTTTTTTTTTTTTTTTTTTTTTATTAATATCTCAATCATCATCGTCATCATCATCGTCATATTACATCGAACACTTAAGAATGAACGAAATTACACGTAAATTACGTGCGTCTAATGTTTTCGAGTGAGAAAAAAAAAAGAAATAAATAAATAAAAAAAAAAATAAAGAAAAAAAAGGATGAAGAAGAAGAAGAAGAAGAAGAAGAGAAAAGAGAAAAAAGAAATATCTGAAAAATGTTTCGAATTTTTCGTTAGATTCGCATAAATGCGCAAGCGCTCGATTGTAGAGTGAAATTTGAGCGGGCGCGCGCATCTTATGTATAAAGGACCAATCAACGTGAATGGTTAAATAGAGGGTGCTTCGATCGATGTCCGTATTCGTTGCGAGCGTGCGCCTAGCTTTCAAGGAAGCCGATAGAGCCTAAGAGAGAGCTTTCGCATCCGCGACGAAGGAGCGAACGAACGTATCCTAACCGGCCGGACTATTTATTGTCCTTTGACTACTCGTGGCCAGTGTTTCCTTCTCGTGTTGTTTTCCATTGTATTTTTTTTTCCTATATTAACATTTACTTCCCTATTTTTAAATATCTCTCGTGTTTTACTTTTTTTGCTGTATTTAATACAAAAAAAAAAAAGAGAGAGAGAGAGGAAGAAGGTTCACTTGCTGATCAGACAAAGAAATTTTTTAAATCTCTCTCTCTCTCTCTCTCTCTCTCCTTCTTACTTTCCCTCTCTCTCTCTCTCTCTCTCTTTATCTTTCACTCTCACGTCCCATTTTTTATTTCTCTTCGTTGGTGGGTGTCACTCATCGATTCGTACCGAGAGTGTAGTTCGCTCTCTCACCAGGGACGGTCGATGAAAGAGAATGAAGGGAATCAGTGACAGGAGGAAAGAGGATGACGCTCATAGGACATTTGTACAAAACGAACGCCCTTCATTCGGACGATTTCGCTCTTTAAACGTGAGTACCGAACACTCACCCTTAACGTGTGTCCAACCCTCTCGAGTCTTTCAACCCGCCTCGAAGATCGTCGATCCATTCTCTCTATCTCTCTTTTTCTCTTTCTTTCTCTCTCTCTCACTCTTTTTCTTCCTCTCTTTTTCTTTCTCTCTCTCTCTCTCTCTTCATCTTTTTCCTTTTGCTTCTTTTATCTTAATATTATTTTAAATTAAGACGTTAGATTTTTATATTTTTAATTTATCTATTATGGAAGTAATAAATGAATATACTTATACAGATAGATTAGATCGAAATATATACTTTAGGTGCAATTATTTTTATCGTTATCTTCTTAGACAATAATGATAAAGATAATAAGCTTTACTTAAAAAAAAAAAAAATGAATTATTATTGTCCTTGTAAATAAATAGAATAAAATAAACGGAAATGTAAGACGTATTTATTTCTTTATAGATACGTCTTAGCGGAATAAATTAAAGTAATTAATATTTGTGTTGATTCATTTTTAACAAATTTTATTTTACATATGCGCTTTTTTCTTTTTCTTTTTTCTTTCTTTTTTTTTTTTTTAATTTGAAATCACTGTTCTGATCGTAGCAATATCATTTTATTTCGATAACAATTAACGTGCTTTTTAATCGCGATTCTTTAGATTGTAATTTTTTACTAGTTTTTTCTTTTTTCTTTTTTTTTTTTTTTTTTCTTTCTGGATTATACAAACAAAAGGCTAACCACCTCTATTTCTTTCTCTGTTAAACTCGTTGAAACTCTCCGGTCGAGATATAGCTCGAGATGAGATTATCAAGATGTTTCGAAATTAGTTGATAAAATTTGAAAATTTCAATTTATTTTCTATATCATCATTATCCACGTGAATTTTATTTATTTATTTATCCATTTTTTTTTCTAATAACAATCAGAGTCATCGGCCTCTTCTTTTTTTTTTTTTTCTTTTTTTTTTCTATTTATAACCAATCGTCAAGAGGTTGAGCGAACCAGGAGTTTATTTTTAATTTTCTACATAAAATAATATTCTATTTATTAGCTTGCCAAAGATAATCGACATTTTATCGTGCCGTTGTTAAAACGTTATGTCAGGAACAAGTACTCTGTGTGTGTGTGTGTGTGTGTGTGTGTGTTCATAACGGAAAATTTAGCTATGATAAGACTGACGTTTTGTAATAGAAAGTATCGACATTTAAACCCTCTTTTAAAAGAAAATATAGGATGCGTTCGATTTTTTTTTTATTTATGTCAAGACTTTACTTTGAAATAAAAAGGAAATAAACGAATATTCTAATTTAAATGAAGTAATGATGTTGAGCATTTAACATTTCTTTGTTTTGCTTTCTTTTTTTTCTTCTTTCTTTTACTTAACTTTTATAGAAGAAACGAGGGCTCGATTGATTATTTCTTAATTATCGGTTTGCTTTCGTTCAGACCGTTTTGTTTATTTCCAAAATATTTTCTTTAAGCTTTTTAATTCTAGACACATTTGTATTATAAATATAATGCAGTAATGCATAATTTTTAATATCATATACTGAGTTATATTATATCATTGTAATACAGTATTATTATCATACATATTATATTATACTACATATACATATATACACTATATCTTATAGTATACAGCAATGATATATTACAGTGTATCTTTCATTATATTATATCTTAGGATAATAATAAATATAATATGATATATTTATTGTTAATGTACATGATATATAATTTCAATCAATAGTTGTCAGCAACAAGTATTACAAAGAAGTGTGTGTGTTACATAAAAATGTATAGAAATTATATCTTATTATTAAAAGGTATTATTAGGCATCAATAGATAATTCATAAGACAAAAATAATAAAGGAAATTGTTAGTTATTAAATCTCATTAGGAATTCTCAAATTTTATTAGTTTTAGTCGTCAATAAAAATCGTTTAAAAATGTCTTCGTCCATATGTACAAAATCAAATCAAATTTAATTTGTCTTTATTACATTCATAAATCCGATAGTGAATTCAACTATGATATGATAATAATTGATGCAAGTTTAAAAAGTACTTAAATTTTTATTACTAATACTTTATTACGGTACGTGTAACGTGAAAAAATAGTCGTAACTTCAAGAAAAAAAAAAAAAGAAAAAAAAATAGAAAAAAAACCGGAAAAAAAGCAAACTCGAATTTATTTCAACGTACACAATCCTTCTTTCTTTCTTTATTTATTTATTTATTCATTTATTTCAGAACACGATACCGTCCTCATGCTTGGCAACAATTTTTCTGGATCTCCTTTAGGTATGTCTTTTATTAAAATATTATAAAATAAAATCGAATGAAAGGAAAGAAAGAAAGAAATAAAATAGAGAAGTCATATTTTTAAACTAATAAAGAACCAATAAAAAGCCTTTTCTTTTTATTCAATTTCGAAGTTTAACTCGAGATGTTAGAACTATTCTACCACGTATATACATGAACGAACATTCATACGTCTACATACATACATATATACATATATAGAAGAAACTTCTTAAGAAACGTTAAGGTACTCCAGTTGCATTTTAAAGGGGAAAATCAATACTTTGTATGGAGCGGTGGACGTGCAAGTTAAAGAAATCTGTTTTAAGAACGCTCGTACATATACATATTTCTCGACAGGGAAAACTAATTTTCTCGATAGTGACTTTTCTCTTTCGTAACATACTGGTTATGTTTCAATGAAATTAAAAAGAGATACGTGAATGTCGTTACGGTATTAGAAAAGAGAAAAAAAAAACAAAATTATTGTAAAAATATTCTTAATAACGCTTTAAAAATTATGTCTGGTATTGTCTGTGTGAAAGTAAAAAAAAAAAAAAAAAAAAAAAAGAAAAAAAAGAAAGAGAAAAGAAAAAAAAGTTTATTTCCTATACAAAAAAAAAAAGAGAAAGAAAAAAGAAAAAGAAAATTTCTTGATGTTGTACTAAAAAAAGAAAAAATATAACTCGGCATTAGCTGGTATAGATATATCATGTATTGTTGTTGTTTTTCTTTACGTGTCTGTTCCGTGACAAGCCGTCTTAACGTTAATTTTTGGATAGGTCTTACTTATGCGACAACTTTCGGTGTATTCATATATTTACATTCGACGTAAAATAATTTTTAATTCACCATCATCGTTTTATATATTTAAATTAGTTAAATTAAATGTTCATCAGTATATTTTTGAACTCTTAACATTTGTTTATGCATTAATTATTATTTCTTTTTCTTTCTTTCTTTCTTTCTCTTTTTGCCTTGAATTCTTTCCTTTTCTTTCCTTTTTGATTTGATCTTTTTCTTTCTTTTTCTCTCTCTTTAAACTGATAACTGTATTATTTATGTAGAGCTGTTCGAGCATGGGTGTCCGACGATCAGGCTCCGGCGGGAGTCGAGGGAACGCCGGGATATTGAAGGAAAGGGCAAACATGTCCTTCATGCTGGTAGTCATGTTCTTCGCAGTTTTCGGTTTGATCGTTCTCACAGAAATATTTCTGATCGACGAAAGACGCGGTGTAAATCTGAGCGGTACAGGTGCATTAGGTGGTCACAGAAACGGACACCGTTTGCCGGCGGCACCAGATCGTCCAGATTACGGAGAAATCGGAGTGAGTTTCATTGAAAATTTTTATTGTAGTTATATCTTCATTGATTTTTTCATTTATTTATTTTTCTTTTTCTTCTTCTTCTTCTTTTTCTTATAAATCAAGATCACAAATCTAACTTTTTTAATGCCACTTCGTAAAGTAATTATAGTGGGAAAAAAAAAAGAAAGAAAAAAAATAAAAGAAAAAGGAAAGAAAAGAAGGAAAAGACAAAGATGAAGAAAAAGAAAAAGGAAAAGAAGGAAGAAGTAGGACCGTTAGGTTAATAGAGAAGATAATCTAAAATAATTGCATTTGAAAATCGTAAAAAAGGGAAAAAGATAGATAAAGAAGATATTTTCCTTGACAAAGCCGTTTAATTAACGAGAAGCAATTCCAAGATGCAAAACAGAACTCCTAGCAGTTAAAGAATAAATTATAAAGTTTCGAGTTTGCTCCTTCTTCTTTGTCCTTTTCTCTCTTTCTTTCTTTTATTTTTACTTCTTTTTTTATTTTCTTTTTTATCACTTTTTCTTCTACTACTACTACTACTACTACTACTATTACTACTACTACTACTACTACCTCTTCAACATATAGGAAATCTATCCTGCGAAAAGATATCGCGTTTGAAGTTCGAGAAACGCGAGTTTTCTATTCAACGATCCTACCAGCCGGTAATCCTCTAACGTTTCCTGTCGGAAGTGAGGGAAAGCTTAGAAAGGACTTTCGAACTAATAGCACCTAGGTTCAACTTTGTACTCGGCCTCTCTTTCTGAACCACTCTCTTTTTTCCTCTCCCAATATCTCTCTCTCTCTCTCTTTCTCTCTCTGTCTGTCTGTCTGTTTGTCTCTCTCTCTCTCTCTCTCTCTCTCTCTCTCTCTCTCTCTCTCTCTCTCTCTCTCTCTCTCTCTCTCTTTTACTCATCTACAAAGAATAAAAAAAAGTGGAAGTGAAAAACTTTATCTTCCATCTCCTCGCATCACCCCTTCTTTTTACATCGATTTCTCATCCCTTCCGAACTACTTGCTAGAATATTTCGTCCTTCACTTTGATTTGCGACAAAGATTTAGATAAAAATCGTCTTTTCAATATTTCATGTTTGCAATTGTAATATTAAAAAGGAAGAAGAAACAAAAATAATAATAATAATAAAAAAAAAAAAAAATAATCGAATGATTTATTTCTCATGGAAAAAATACGTCTTTTTATTTGTCACAGTCATTGTCGTCGTTAGATTTTAAAATAGAATTAGTAACTAGATTTTCATAGAATTCAATTTAAAACAATTGTTGACCATTTTTCAATGGTTAGTGGGCGTGTAAATTTAATCAACAGAGATAAGATTGACAATGTGTGATTGGCTATATTATTAAATAGTTAGAAAATTTATCTACGTTTTATCAACGTTGATCTATCATTCGATAATAATTTCTTGATTATTCCATCTTTTTTATCTTTCTTATTTTCCTTTATGTTTCTTCTTCTTCTTTTTTTTTTTGTTCTTTTCTTCTTTTTTTTTTCTTTCCCATCGAATACATAAACGATTATCGTCATATGTTCCAATATCGAATTATCTCTTAATCGTTTCATAGGCTGAAGACTACGTCGGCTTAAAGGGTACCTTCGACGATCATATCGGTTTATTGGTTCACGGTGAGGAAGGCGGACAGAAGGCAGCGATTCACGCAGATCCGAGGATCCTACCAAGCTTACCGCCTAGTTTGGAAGCTCGTTTACCGCAATTAGACCAAAGCTTGAGGGTTACGCATGCCGAATGGTTACCAGTTACCAATACCAGGTCCGTCGAATTATATCTCTACCAGAGAAAATGTTCTCTTTTTTTTTTTGTTTTTGTTTTTTCCTAAATACAATTTTCCCTAATATCTCTTGAAATAATAATTTTCATCTTTTATTAGTGACATTTATATTAGTGTTATATCAGTAATACGTGATGTATCGTTCAACGATTCCTTTTCATTTTTAAAATTTAATTTAACTCTAGTGTATAGGAATGTTGAGAAACAAAAAAGCAAGATAAAAAGTTGGGCCAAATTAAAAATCAATTAGTTGATTTGGTATTTGAGAACCGTATTTGGGGATCCTTTGGGTTTGTAAACAAGAATCTTTATTATTACTCAGCTAAATCAATATCTCTATTCTTTTATTTTTCTTTATCAGTCTCTTCGAAGATATATATAACATATGTTATATATATATATATATATATATATACACCTTATACCTTACGTATTTTACGGGACAAACTCATTTACAGATTTAAATTCTTCGTTTATTCGGCATATTACGATGATAGAGTAGCTGGTAACAGTGCATCTGGAAACGTTAATAAGGGGATAGTACGAGTAATAAGTGCAACGAAAACTCGAGGTCCGGAACGAGTATGGTGCAGACTTTGGTATCGTCAACAAAACAGTGGAAATGTAACAGCCTCGGTAACGGTTGCTGCTAAAGTGAAGGTGCAATTCGTTCTTTTTTGTTTTATTTTTTCTTTTATCCATTTCTCGCAATCATTCATTTCATCTCAACTGTATGATATGATTTACAGGTGATCAGAGAAAATTGGAATTTGAAATATAGCGCCTGCTTCGTTATCTGCCCTTTACCAAAGGAATCGATCATGGCTGACAGTATACCGGAAGCCGTTAGCGTCGTAGCTAGATTAAGAGCGTCTCCAACCAATCGAATCCTCGTTTTGAATCGACCTGAGGATAGGTTGAAGGACAGAGAACCATTAGCAGTATGCGTGAAACCTTTGCATTACGATTATAATCGGGTACGTGATAAAGAATTGATTATATTATTAATTGGTTATAATTGATGATTATATATATTTCTGTAGGTATTGCAATTGGTAGAATTTATCGAGCTCTATAGATTACTTGGTGCAACTCACGTTACTCTTTATAACGATACCGTTGGTTCCGAAGCTGATTGTGCCCTCAAGTATTACGAGAATAAAGGTCTGGTAACTATATTACCTTGGCACCGTTTGGACATGATTTCTCAGCGAGAAATACGAACGGAAGGACTTTTCGCGGCTTTGAACGATTGTCTTTATCGGTCCATGTATAAGTATGAATACGTAGCGCTTGTCGATCTCGATGAGTTCATCATACCACGTCACAATGACACCATAGTCGATCTTATAAGGTATGATCGTGTACGATCGGAAGTGGATGGATGGGAGATCAAAAGTAATGTAAAATTGAGTGGTTCGACGAATTTTTTACTTTCAGATGGATGAGCAGTCGTATAAATACCAAATCAACGGGAGCATATTCCTTTCAAAATGCATTTTTTTATTTACAATGGGCGGATGATCCGTTCGTAGTTATGAGCAGGACACCAACCGAAGCTGGGTTGATCACGTTAAGAAAAACTAGACGAAGAAGTAAGTTACATCCGCACAAGCAACGATCGAAATATGTTTGCAAGCCTCAGGGAGTCGTTGAAGCTGGCAATCATTTCGTTTGGGAATTCATACCTGGACATGGTACATTGAACATGCCTTTGGACGCTGCTATATTACATCATTATCGAGTATGCGAGTTTGGTGGAGATGATTGCATAAAAACACCTTCGGTGGTTGACAGAACGGCCTACAAATACAGGGATAGGCTAGCAAATAATGCTGATAGAACTTGGATGGAACTTAGTAATGAATGTACCTTGCCCGAATTGGATCCCGTGCCAATAATGACACCACGAATAAAAACTAGCCCACTGGGGAAGTCAGTTAGGTAGCGAAAGACTATCGTTGAAGTCCCATGGGACATTAGGAATTTTACCGGCACGCCGAGGGTCGCCAGGACCTATTTTTACAATTATGGTAACCCTTGATCGATCGATTAACAAAGTCGACGAATCTTTCGTGGAAGAGATGTCTGATCAGATTTCATCAGGGTAATCGTAAATACACGTTCTTACTCTGTTGGTTTACATACATACGTCCGGAAGCTCAAAATTCATTCTTCCGTGTTGGATTCACGTTCGAAGAATTCATTAAATATATCCATGATAATACTGATCGGAGTTATTGGGTTGGGGATAACCGAGAATGATATCGCCAGATCGACGTTGTCTTCGTTGATCGAGGTCCGATCGAAGAATTCGAATTCGTTCGTTTCGCGAGATTAAACATACAGGGGTGTTCATCCGGTAAAAAGTGGATCAACAATATTTTTCTACATGGACTCAAAAAAACCGGGTCACCCCATACGTCGTCTCGCGTTTATTTTATTATCTAATGTTTGATTATTTGTTCTTGAAGCTTTTTTTTCATCCTTTTTTATTTTTTTTTTTATTTCCTTATATCTCTATGCGCGCTTTCGAAACGTTTTATCGAGTTTACACCGGCGGCAATCAGGATTCTACTTTTTTTTCTTTCTTACTTTCTTTTTTTTTTTCTTTACTTTTATGGATCCAATACTTTCTGTCTATCGTTCTGAAATTATTATTAGCAAACAAATGAAGATTTACTCGATAGACTGCATTGAAAGTTAAACACGTCATCGCTTAACCAAACTGCATTCAAATAACACTTTCACCCTCTCTAAATGTTGCACAATAAATACAGTAAATATATTCAAAGTTAGAAAAAGTATCGATAATAGTACATAAAATGTTCTCGAACGAGTTGGATTTTATTTTCACTGTATTTTTATCTGTACGTTAGATAGAAAGTATGATGATCCAAAATATGCGATAGTAAATGTCAATAATAATCTGCTGCCTATTAGGCCTTTAACGTATATCGTACAGCTAATATTATTTTTTCGTTGGACATACGAGCTATACTATTAATTAATTTACATATCCATGAAATTAATTATTTCAACAAATGCTGCCATTTAAGATTATTATCGCAGAACATTACTCGATTACTGTTAACTATTTGCTGATGTTGTTGCTGCTGATAATGAATTATATCGTTGTAGAGAGAAAAATATCTCCTTTAACAGAAGACTGTTAATTCGCTAGTCATGGCCTAATTTTTTCGGTCTAAGGTCTTTTAACCACATTGGCAATAAACCAATACACCAGCTCAACATTTTCAAGGTCCTTTTCTCGTTTCGATAATTATCAATTATTCCTTTGATTTGATCATGAACAAAAAAAAAAAAAAAAAAAAAAGGAAAAAATATTTCAAATGTACTTCGAAATTTTTTTTTTATCATCTCATTTGATCGTTTCATTGTGATCAATTTTATACCATAATGACAAACGTTGAAAGATTATTGTGAATATAGATCATGAAGATTATAAGTTTCGCTCGTTTCTTTGGTTCAGAATATCCTGTTCTTTCTTTCTTTCTTTCTTTTTTTCTTTTTTTTTTCTAACGAGCGCACTCAAAATCCGCACAACGTGTTTAAACGAACTCCCTATGCATATCCATAGGAACAATATCTGACGTAGACGTAGTTAATGTATGTACAATGTGTACTTAGAAATTCTTAATATTAAAGACCCAATAGGAGAGTATTATAGAAAAGAATAATAACGATTTATCGCTAATTATTTATATCTCGGCATTGTTCATTATCAATGAATGCATTGCTCGTCGAACGATCATAAACGGACATTATTATCATTACTATTATTATTATCAGTTTTTTATTATTATTATTATTACTATCATCATTATCAGTATTATTATCATTGAAAATCATGCGAATTTTTTGCCTATATTCTACGCTATATGTAATATCTATGGAATAGGTGTACGATGGTACTTATCTTTTTCTATTTTTTTCTTTTTCTTTTTTTTTTTTTTTATAATACACACCAAATAAAGCTAAAGAAAATTACCGATCAGAGTAACGATTCTGTTGATACTGTTGAATCATCGAGATTAAAATTGTTTTCAATTAAAAATCTTCGTCGGAATGATCGACCTTGCTGACGGATCGTTTATCTTGAGCAACCTTGCGATCAAAATTTCCTATGTCCGTTCCTCTCACAGAATTTAAAAGATCATCGTCGTCCTCGTCGTCGTCGTCATCGAGATCTCCATCGATAAGTAGATCGCTGTCGCTATCGAGCGAGCCAGCACTATCATTAGATTCCAAAATCGTTCCTCGTTGACGACCAGACATGCTGCCATAAATTCGTCGTTGAGACATTTGTGTTCTCGACGTTTTTTCTGTATCTGTAATGAGATCGTATTTAATTAATTAAAATTGATGTACGACGAGGAATGTGTAAAAAAAAAAAAGAAGTATCAAAAAAAAGAAAAAAAAAAGAAGTATCGAGAAAAAGAAAAAAAAATTCCTCTTCTTTTTTTTCTTATATTCGTTTAACCTGTTTTTGTATGAGCACCCTGTTGGATAGTTTTTTCCATATTTTGTTTTTCAACATCGCCAAGAGTCAATCGAGATTCTTGAAGACTTGCTCCAAATACTAGATCATTTCCTTCGATCATGCTTTCGAAGCTTACATCCTCCGAACGCAGTTGTTCCAGCTTCCTTTTAGTTTCCGCTTGTCTAAAACATTCAGAAAAATTAAAATCTCTTTTTTCTTTTTTATTTTTTTTTTATTTTTTTCCATCATCGCACTTACCGTTTCTCAATTCTTTCCTGTTCAGCCTTAGCTGCATCCTCGTGCAAGTGTTCCAGATACGAGAGATATCGAAATTTTTGTAAATAATCGTCGTATAAAATTCTCAATTCGGCTTCGAGTTTTTCATACTCCTCCATGAAAGCAGGACGAACTTTTCTTAAAGTTTGTAGTCTCTTTTGATTTCTTTCTAATTCTGATCGACGTCTTTCTATTCTCGTGTCAAGACTTTGTTCTGTATCCTTTAAATAGAAAATCAAGTATTTAAATATAAAAGATTAAATGGAGAAATATTGGAAACAAAAATTTAATTGTCATTAACAATAATAATATATTGATTGTATTTATTTGTTAAAAACAATAATTTAATATTATTACAAAACGTAAAAATATAGTAATAAAAATGCTAAGAAAATTTCGCGGGCTATTTACCTACGCCATCTTGAAACAAGGTAATAATCGAATCAAAACATCAACTAAAATTAAATGCACATACATATATATATATGTATATATGTAAACATATACGTACACGTTTACTTTATAATGTAAATATTTATACCTTGACGTTGTCGATTTGTTTCTTTGTATCTTCTATCTCTTTTCTCATATTTTCTATGACGTCCTTCAGAGCAGTTTCTATCTCAGCAGTATCGAATTGTCTACCAGCTTTATTGTTTCTAATATCACGGAGTTCAACTTCTCGGCCAAGAAGATCAAAAAGCGTTGCTCCATTCACAGTCAAAAGACTAGCTAATTGCCTCGTCGATTTTAATTCATTTATCTCGTCGGATATGTTGAATTCAATGATCTTACGATTATCATTTTGATTTATGCTCTTGCTACCATGATTTTGAGCTTCTTGTAACAGGTTTGTTATTTTTAATAATTCTTGTACAGCATAACCGTCCGCTTGATATAGTTTTTTCGTATTTAATTTCACGTTAGTATTTAATGCCTGTATAATTATTATATCATAAATATATAATGTACATATATATATATATATAAGAATAATTATCAATAATTTTATTTGTTTTCGTAACGATTAATATTTTAAAAAAAAATTTTTGAAAAAGAAAAAATAGTTTAGTTGCGTCATTCTATGTATCTGATTGGTCGAACAATTATTCCTCTTTACAGTATTATATTTTACAATTGTCTATAATTATTTCTTTATATTTATAATTGGAATAAATAATTAAGTAGTTACCATGAATTCGGCAACACTACGTATTAGAAGAATTCGTTCTTCCTCGGTGTTGTGTTCGAAGGTTATGTCTGAATCCGAATCGAATCTTTTTACAAGCCAGACTAAAATTTCTGCTACTAAAGGAAAGTTCGGTGTGCGAAAATTCGCGATGGATATTAATCTTGGATATCCAAGTACTTTCATTGTTTCTGTAAAGTCTATAGAATATTGTATGAAATTGTTTATTAATACATTATTAATATTTCTTTTTAATTTTATATACTATATATATGATAGAAAATATGTATTAGTTTGAAAATAATGTGAATTTACATACTGCGTAATTCTCGAAAAGACATCCTTTTTTTTCTTTTTATATTCTTTTTCGAGAGGAAAATAATCGACGACAGAGGTTAACCACACGCAATCGTTTTACGAGGTATTTCGTAAGTATTTTATTCAGTTTTGTTTTCATTAACGCGGCATTCGTTACTATGACGATTACTACAAACCTAACCTAACGTTGACTACAACTTTTCATCTGTGTGATACATTTATATAATATGTACATATATAGAAAAGAATTTTTGTTTTATTCATTTCTATTATCATATTTACATGTTTCTATTATCATTTTTTTTTTATATGTTAAAGCAGATTTTGTATGAATTCTATTACTCATATAGTTCTTTATTGGATACACCTGTTCTGTTTTGTTTTATCTGTGAACGTATTCTTTTTACAAAAATTCTTTCTCTCGCTGCTTTGAGTTGTCTCTTTCTTATAACCTCTGCAGTTTCTTTGGTCATTTTTGGTGGCTCTTCCAAACTTTTCCTTATGAATGTTCTAAGTTTTTCCAAAGCGTCAGCTAAGTTTAATTGTTGAGATCTCGTTAAATCAGATTTAATTATTAAATGACCTTCTTTATTAATTTTATTTTTTTGCTAGAAAAAAAAATTATTTTCATCTCATATATCTTGTATCGTTCATGTCAAATTACTATTAATATCATTATATCTACCTGTTCCAATAATTTTTCCTTAATTTCATCCGATAACCATGAAGCGTCCTTTACATTGAATCTTAAATCTACTTTAGTATTTACAGTATTTACGTTTTGTCCTCCAGGACCACTACTACGACTGTAAGTGATAGTAAGTTTCTCAATAGGTATATATCCATTAAATTTAACAGATGGATCTTCTGGTACCTGAGAATATTATCATAACATCTGATGAGAATGAGAAATAAGGTTATGTTGTAGAAATTGTGTTTTATAATACATTATTCTTTTATAAAAATTATGCTGTTATAATAAATTTAATGTTTAACAAGTAACTTACAAAATCAGCTGTAAATAATTTCAAACTACTTTTAGGATATAAATTTTCCAAAGAAACTGCACTTTTATAAGCAAAAGTTTTCGCACTATTAATATAGATTTTATTCGATGTTTTAAGTATCCTCACACATTCTCTGGTGAAAATGTTCATTTTAATTATATTTAAATATTTTGAATTACACTAATATCAACTTTGTTGACAAAAATGATTTTTTTTTACTTTCTATAAAAAAAATGGACTTCGTGTAGTAGCACTCAAGTCGCCATGACATATTTACTTCGACATATCGACCTTTCGATACATCAGAAAAATTATCGATTGTAAATCGATTTTTTAAATTCTACTAGTCCGCAGTATTATTATTTTTATTTCTTTTTTTGCGTGTAGATATAAAACAAATATATATATATATATAAATAATTATCATATATTACATATTTGATTAAAAAAAAAATGATTGTAAAGAAATGATGTCATATAACGCAATAGGAATGTTTGCATAATTAAAAAAAAAAAAAGAAAGGAAAGAAACACGTATAAAATAGTCGTAACAAATCCAACCAAATTTTTCCTCCAATCAATCTATAACATAATTCTTTTTCTTCTTTCTTTTTTTTTTTTTTTTTTTTTTTTTTTTTTTTTTTTTATCGGTCACAGTTCGTATATTTACAATAAAGTCACGTAGCATTGCAATCTTTGATTACCGATAAAAATATTGAAGGATATTTAGATACACGCAATCGGGGACTTATGATTTTTCTTTGAAACTTTAAAAGGATTAACGAACGAGGACACTTCGACACTTTGGCATTCTAATAATTCGATTATTATCATCATCGATAAGAACGGATAATCGGATAATAATTGAGAAATATTAAAGGAATTCATAAAAAAAAAAAGAATAATAATCGATATAATACTTAAATAGAATAACTTGGCCTCTCTCCCTCGCACCCCCACTTTTACCGTTCTCTTCATCCGCCGCCTTCCTCGCTTACAATCGCCTCGGCTCTTGCCTCCCTCCCCCTCTCACCTCATCCCGGTTTAAATGATATTTATCAAATGAAGTGTACTTTGCATCAATTTCCTAGGAATCAACAAAGAAGATTAAGCGTTCTTAATTTGAGTCTACATAAGCGATCGCGCGTCGTCTACGCTCCTCGTATACGAGCCATTGACGCAATCTTTAGTTTTGCAATCGTCCAAGGATTGCAGAAAGCCATTCTGAAAATCACGGTAATAACGGAGGAGCGATCCCCTGCAAGGACACCGAACTTCTCCTGGCTGATTGCATTTTTCCCGATGGGAATACTGTGACAAGGACAAGCAACACGCCACGGGTTGTTGCACTTGTAAAAATCGACGATTTGCTTTACCGATCGGAATGTTAATCGGGGATCTCAGAAATAATCTGAAATAAATTTAACCAAAGAAAATTTTCGTAAGTTTATTATTATCGGTGACAAACGTAGAATATCTTTTGATAAAAATAATGATCATCATATATACATATATACACATATATATATATATATATATATATATATATATATATTTTTTTTTTGTTTCATTTTTTCTTTTTTCAGTTTGAAGAAATTTCAATACAAAAATGAGATTTCAATTGAGGGATATAATAATATTAAAAAGATTTTGGGTGAAAAATATGATAAAGGATGGAATAGGTTGACACAATGGATTGTTTCACGTGATCGACATTTTGGTTTGTCAGGCTGTACCTAACTTTTGTTGATCGTTATCTCTATTCTTTGTCTATGTAAGTATTTACCTATCGTTACATAAATCTAATGACATAATTTGCATTCCTTAGAATGGCGCGCTTCGATCTAACGTTATTTTCCATAAAAGTATACGCGATAATCGATTGCATGATATAACGGCACGTGTAACGCTTACGCGACATGCAAAACGTCTTTACGTCGTCGAATAGGTAACGGAACGTCCGTTTTTCAAGAAGATGTCATCGCGTTCCAACAATCGTTTTACAATACGTCTTCGATACCGTGTAACGATGCGGAATAAGGATTGCGTATATGGCAAGTGATCGGTGGTGTCATCTTCTTTTTCTTCTTCTTCTTTTTTTTCTTCGAGAACTTTACACGTGATATCTTATGGGAGCTGACTGGCTGGCTTATGTACGCATACACATATACATACATAAAGATGTTATCACTGAAGATACCTATTACCACTTCGCATACACACCTATGCATATTATTCCAATATTTAGCACTTTCTTTTCCTATTCCTTTGAGATGCGCACTTATAAAAAAGGAGAATTAGAGAAAACGAGTGGGTTTTAGTTCAGTCAATTATACCCGATGTGAAACCACACAGCAAGCAATTTGCGGTTAACCTAATCGGAAATCATGATTTTTCGACTTGGCCTTTCTTTTCTCTTGGTTTTAATTAAAACTCTTTTCTTTTTCTTTTCTTATCATTTTCCCACGTTTTGTGTATATATATATATATATATATATATATATATATATACAAAATTACTATATATATATATATTTTTTTTTTTTTTTTAATCGTATAATCCAAATATAAAATTAATATTAATTTATTTTCTAATTCGTATTGGAATGATTTAATAATTTTTAACTTGGCTATAATGAATGTAATAACAACAACTCGTTTCTTTGAGATTGAATTATTTTCGAGTAAATAATAAAAAAAAAAGAATAGTATAAGAAGAGAAAAAAGAGAAAAGAATACTGTAGAAAAAAAATTTTGTTCCTTTTTAAAGGAATATAAAAAAGAATAACACAAACATTTTTTCAACGCAGTCGGTAGGACTCGAACCTACGCTCCCAGAGGGAATCTGATTTCTAGTCAGACGCCTTAACCACTCGGCCACGACTGCTGCATGAAAATTATTTTCCACATTGGAAAAATTGAAAATTCGTATGAAATCATATCTCATGATCAACGAACGAATCAAAGATTCCGGAAATAATCTCTCTTGATTCTTGACTCATAATCATTCGTGGAATTAACGGGACATATATCGACTCTTATCATTCAACAATCAACGAGAATGAATCTTCGAGAGAAAGAGAGAGAGAGAGAGAGAGAGAGAGAGGGGAGAGAGAGAGAGAGAGAGAGAGAGAGAGAGAGAGGGAGAGAGGAAGAGAGAGATGATTATTCGATAATAATTATTTCCTTTTTTCCTTCCTCTTCTCCTTCTTCCTCTTCTTCTTCATCTTTGTTTTTTTTTTTCGTTCTTTTTTTTTTCTTTCGTTTTTCCTTCATGCCTTTATAAGCTATCCAATCATGATATTACGATAGATGGGTGTAGAAAATGGAAGGCTATTGCTCCATATGTGGTATCAGATTGTTTATCGCTTCGAAGCTTAAGAGAAAACCTAGATGTATCTTCGTCTTTTATTCCTTTCATAATAGATTACGTACATGGCACATCTTTATCTCTTATATTATTGCTTTCCGGAACCGGATCTGAATTATTCCACACTTAGCCCGAAGGAAATTACAATGGCGTTTACGAGTTAATCATTCGTTACTTATTCTATCTTCCTGGTCCGATCTCCATCTCATCAACATTTTTAATCATTGATTTCGTACGAACAGTATCGAATAGTTGATTCGAATAAAAATTCTTCGGTCGATCGATCAATTGATTTATTTGTTTAATTTATTTTTTTTTTCTCTCTGTTCATTTCTTTTTCCTTGCCTTTTTTTTTCTTTCTTTCTTTCTTTCTTTCTTTTTTTTTATTTTTTCTTACGACTGACCATAGATATCCATATTTAATGTATCTCATAAAAATTTTTTCTTCGTCCCATATCATCCTACATATATATATATATATATATATATATATATATATATATATATATACATGTATATATATTCTCGAAAGCCATCTTGTTTCAAAATGGCGAGAAGTAAAAGAGAAGGAGACAGAAAGTCCATATTTAATTTTAATCTCAACGGATCGTGAAGAGAATCCGTGTAGATTTTTATTAGCCATTTTACATTCCTCATTATATACATATATTCGTAATACGTTTTGCCATAGTGTTTAACACCTTCACTTTTCTCTTTCTCGCGTAAGGAACAACCTCGTGATAACTAACATGTGAGAGATTTGTTCGTGTTGTTTTGGTCTACCTCGTGATCACTGTTCGATCACTTATAAGAATTTCTACGCACGCACATAATTACCATGTGTTCGTTAAATTTAAATATACACATACACACACGCACACACACATATATATATATATATATGAATGTATGTATGTATATGTATGTGTAGGCGAATGGCAAAATACTGGTTATTAAAGGATCAAAAGTTCTTTCGATGGATGATCAAAAAATTTGATAAAATTTTGAAAGATTCCTAGTTACTATTTAGTGACATTAAACAAACCTCGTCGTGATCCAAAAGAACCAAGAAGATTTTATTATCGATATTTAATCGTTTTATTCGTATCTTCCTTTTCTTTTTCTTCTTTTTTTTTTTTTGTCGTCTTGGACTCGCAAAAATTTCACATACAGGTATGCATATTCACTATACCTATATGTGTATTCAGAGAATTATAAATTCTAAGAGGCGAAATCGGTTGACTCTCGACGAGGTCATATTCTTATGTCGTCAGCCGCAATTCTGGAGTTTCCATAAATATCAATTACGAGATCGAATCAAATGCAAAGTTTCTTTCACGAAGAGAGGTATTATGCTATCTAAGAAGATAGTGTCGTCATGGTTACATTAATGACTTAGAAATGGTTGATTGTATGTAGCTTTTATTTGTTCTTTTTCTTTCTTTTTTCTTTGTTTTTTTTTTTTTTTTTTTTTTTTTTTAATCTCTATTTTTGTTAATTCTTTCTTTCTTCCTATTTTCCTTTTTTTTCTTGTTTTTTTTTCCTTTCTTTTCTTTGTTTTTTTTCTCTTTTTTCTTGAACAAATATTCACAGAAGATCCGATGTGTTTTATTATGATCGTATTCAGAAAATACAAGATAAACAAGCTCGTAAAAATAGAAAAGTGTCTTTTCTAGTTTCTAATGAAATCCTTGTGATTCTAATTTCATAGTCACAGTGTTCGTTTTCGAATATTCGCCTTTCTATCTTCCGTATGATCTGTTAACCACATTTATAATCTAGGAAAGAATCTAAACATCTCAAGTGAGACATTCGATGGTGATAACTATAAAAACGTAAATGGTATCATTTGAAAGCAGTCGGTTGAATCGAAAGAATGCATTTAACGTCATTTTGAGTGTTTCATGACTATAAAGTACTTAGAAATACTATTCTAATTTGCGTACAGATTTGATTATGTAATCATAGGACTTTTGTAACATCGAGATATACTTTTTAACGTCAATCTTTTCTTCCTCCTTTATGTTCATTAATGTTCTTATAAATTGACAAGAGTATAATATATAATATTAAATATAAGTATATAATATATATAATATATAATATTAAATATAAGTTTTTCATTTAAAACAAATTGTCTCAAAATATTCTTAATTATGTAATATTGATTAGAAAATATTAATTAAAGAATCATGATATCAAAGAAAATACAATTATCTCACAGTAGAATAAAATGTTCTCACAGTTCGTAATCATTATGAAATTCTAATCAAATATATCTATCATAGGCTTGTATATAACTTCATAAATTTTTTTTTCTAATCAATCATCTCCCATAATATTTTAATTTATGTAAGATTAATCGATAAGATTAATTAAAGGATCAAGCCGTCTAACAAAATATAATTAAATCATTCTCATTATTATGAAATTCTAATCAATTATATCACATTCTCATATATATATATATATATATAATTAATAATAATTAATAAATAAATTAAATAGAACTTCTTAAATTTGTAAATTAAAAATATAGTAAATTTTTATAAAATCAATTCGTCAAGAAAAAATATAATATGATGGACGCGACGTTATAAGATAGAAAGTAAGAAAGAAAGAAAGAAAGAAAGAAAGAAAGAAATAAAAAAAAGAAAGAAATAAAAAAAAGAAACATAAAATAAAAATAGAAAATACCTAATTCACATTTTCGAATCATTATCAAATTTCAATCGAATTCTTCGTACTCATTTAAAGCAATAGAAATTCAGATTTGAAAAAAGAGAAGAAAAAAAAAGGAAGAAAGAAAAAAATGTAGAAACCTATTGATAGGAGGAAATCTCTCATTCAGATTAGAAGAACATCATCGAAGCCAACGAAAAGTCACGAAGTATACTTCACATCTCCATCTCTAATATACTCTCTAACACTCTCAACGGATACCTCGTGATGCACTAATCGAGGAGGAGGCGAGAGAAGCTCGCACACGACGAATACCCACGTATTCGACGACGCGACACGGCAGATATTACGAAACGAGGATCCGTCCGCGGCGGAAAGCGGGTCAGTGCACGGCTCGTTTATCTCGATGCGCCCGGTTCCTGGATCGTTTCTCCTCGCTACGTCGCTCCTGTTTCCTCAGACATATTTACTTTTATATATATATATATATATATATATATATATAAATATATATAAATATATATGTATGTGTGTATGTATAGATGTACATATATTCATATGTATTCGTATAAAATATGTAAATATGCATATACATTTGTGTGTGTGTGTGTGTGTGTGTGTGTGTAAGTATATGTATATAATAGTAATTGAAAATATAATATATATATATATCTACATACGTTTGTACTTATATAAAATATGTAGATAGATTGAAATATTTAAAAATACGTACATTGTTATATATTAGCGATATATATATATATATTTTTTTTTTTATTTATATGAAGATACACATACACAAACACACACATACACAAACACGCACATATATATATATATATATAATATAAGTATATGTATATCATCATAAACGAAGAATGAATACATATATTATACATGGTGATCATTTTACGTTCTATCATCCTCTCGCCGAGGAGGGTGCGGCCAAAAGAGGGTGTATGTAAGCAAGTAAACAGTATCTGATGAGCATCATCAAGTAGAATCAAGAACGATCTAGAGAGACACGTGTTCGAAAGGGAGAGGATAGTCTAAAGGGCAAACGTTAAGAGAGAAAGAGAGAGAGAGAGAGAGAAAGAGAGTGAGAGAAATAAAAGGCAATTGTTCTTCTCTATTGTAACTCTATTCTTAATATAGAGATAGAGTAATTGATTATTTAAAAAATCATTTTCAGACATTAAAAGATCATTTTATTTTCATTTTTTTTTTTTTTCCATTGAAATCACTTCTTTATATTTTTTTCTTTTCCTTTTCTTTTTTATTAAATAGAATCACATAGACGATGATTTTAATAAATACATAATTATAAGATTGTATATCTTTGAAAAAAATGAAACCTGAGACATTTTAAGTTCTAATATATAGTAACCTAATAAAGAAACTAAGTTTAACAAAGAAGCTTATTACAAGACGGTACGACTCATCGGTATGTGTTTTCTTCGGTATTAGCTAATACTGATTAATCCAAACCTTGATCCGATTTCGAAGAGACATAGTATTCGATTGTGGTAGATCCACAATACATTGTATAACACTTACAACATCTAACTTTAAAAAAAGAAAAAAAGAAAAATAAATATAACTATTTTTTTTTTTCTTTTTTTGTTTTACCTTCTCGCTTTCGTTATTTAACATAGGGATTATAAATAGATATAATAGATGGTATATACATATATGTATATACATACAGTAAAATAGTAATGTGTATATATATATATATATATATATATATATATGTGTATTTATGTATGTATTGAGTTTTAAAACAGGCTTAACTGTTAATCTTTTTTATTATCGTAGACATCAA